AATCCATTATCGATGTAGTGGTTTCTAACCAACTTCAAACTCTTGGTACTTCAAACTATTTAAAACTCACTTTCCGATATACCCAGCTGTCTCCATAACTTTTGATTTCCAGGTCCCAAATCAGAAACGATGGCTACTACTCGATAACCTCTTTTGTGGAGTTTCTTCACAATGTCATTCAAGGTATCCGCATCCATCCGAGTTTCAAAGTCAAAGAAAACTGGCTGTTTCCATGACTTCTTCAACCCACGAACTATAGCCATTTGTACGTACTTACTTGGCTTATACACCACATCGGCTGAGCTATCATACTCAAAATTAGCACAAATTTTCATCTCGTCGAAAGATAAAACACATAGCTTATCCACGTCAAGCATTTCTTCATTTTCCATAAGGTCAATGACAATATCCAGGGTACCCATTTTAATTGGGACTTCTGCTAACCACCTATACAGCGTGGCTCGACTCGTCAAGGGATAACCTTTTTTGTATACATGGTTATACGCACGTGGCCCTGCTGTATGCAGACAAATCGCAGCAGAAATGTCTGTGGAGTTAAATTGTGATCGCTTTCCTCCGTTCTTTAATATTTTCAATTGGGTCTCCGTGAAAATTTTGCTAAGAGACACATCCAATTGCTTGTATTCCTCCAGCTGCTGGCGTAAAGACAAAATTTCTTTCTCCATTTCATGGTTCCTTTGCTTAAGGCTCTTATTTTCTTTAAGCATTGTTGACTCTAATATGTTGTTCCTTTAATAAAAATACATTCATGTATTATATTATATCTGAATTTTTTAACTTAACACGTTGAACTTACTCCGTTTGAGTGCTAGAATTACCGAATCCTAATTTTGTAATGCAGAGATCAGGCTCTCTCTGTGGAACAGCATCGTCGTTCAACCGCCTTTTTTTAAAACTGTGGCCTCTTTTTGTGGCCGTCTTCCACTGTGCGTCCCTAAAATGCGTTTCGCAAATTTTGGAGTGATCACCTAGTTTGCACTCCAACAATTCCTCCCATAGATTTCTTTTTTCCGAACACTTTGGCGCTTTCACAAATTTTACACCATTTACGTGTTTTCGGCACACATTAAAAAAAGTTATTTGCACAAGGGCAACCTTTCACGTCAAAAAACGAACACGTACTGATGAAAAATTGTGCTGACCTTGTATAATTGTATTATGGAATGGACTACCTTGTATAATTGTATCATGGTGTCCATTACTATTTTTTTTTTCAAATGATGTTTTACAAATGAATTTAGCGCATGTGCTTTTGGATGCAACTGCTGACTTTGCAGTTTTTATGCTATCATATGCTGATATTAATTAATATTTCAATGGATGGCATCCTTCCTGGGGCTCACCAACAACAAACACACGAGGAAAAATAACTCAAAGATTCGTTGACAATGCACACCTTATTCTACTGAACGACAAATCCCCCACTCACTTTTCAACCCACAATACTTACACACACATCGACCTTACATTCTGCTCTCCAATTTTGGCCCCCACGCTAAGTGGGAAATACTGAACGACCTCCATGGTAGCGACCATTTTCCTATTATCATCACCCTATTTCCATCAACCAATACAGAAAAATTCAACAGACCCTTCTTTAAGCTAAAAGAGGCCAACTGGGAAAAATACAACCTTCTTACCCAGCAATCAAACGTAAAATACCCAACCTCTCAAAACGTAAACAAAGAAGCAGCCCAAATTAACAGAATTCTTCTATCTAGCGCAAATCTTTCCATCCCACAAACTTCACCAAATATCCATCCATACAGGGTTCCATGGTGGAACAAAATACTCGACCAGCTACAAAAAGAAAAACAAAAAGCGTGGAATACACTCAACCGCCACATAACACTAGAAAACATCAAAGACTACAGACGTAAAAATGCAAAATTTAGATACACCTTAAAAAATAGTAAAAATGAAGCCTCTAGATCCTTCACTTCATCAATCCATCCGTCATCCCCTTCATCCAAAATATGGGCGAATATAAGACGTTTTTGCGGACTTAACCCAGTCAAGCAAATCCACGCCATAACAAACCCAGACAACAACGAAGTAACTACAACTAATAACGAAATTGCCAATATCTTTGCTAAACATTTTTCAAATCTATCAGACGACATGAACTTCCCAGAACAATTTCAAAACAACAAATATAGAAACAACACTGTAGACTACACCCCCTCCCCATCAGCTCAAACCATAGAAAAACAGATTTCAAACCTCGAACTAGCGTCAGCACTACAAACCGTTAAAGGATCTGCCCCAGGACTCAATAGAATCTCGTACCAAATGATCAAAAATAGCTCCAATACTACAAAAAACAGAATAACAGACCTATTTAACAAAATATTCGACACTCACATACCACAAGCCTTCAAAACCAGCCTTATAATTCCTATCCTGAAGCCAAACAGTGACAAAACCCAAACTACCTCTTACAGACCCATCTCCCTCAATTGTTGCCTAGCAAAAACACTAGATAAAATCATAGCCAAAAGACTTTGGTGGTTTGTAACTTACAACAATCTGCTTAATAAAAACCAATTTGGATTTAAAAAGGGCAAATCGACTTCGGACAGTCTACTTTACGTAGACTATCTCATATCGAAGTCACACCAGCACAGCTCACTCGTCACTCTTGATTTTTCAAAAGCCTTTGACCGAGTAGGTGTGCATTCTATAATCGATCAACTTCAGGAATGGAAAACTGGGCCAAAAATAATAAACTACGTCCGAAATTTTATGCTTAACAGAAAAATAATAATCCGTGTCGGTCAACACAGATCCAACACACTACCCTTATCCAATGGAATCCCTCAAGGTTCCCCAATCTCCGTCATACTATTCCTTATAGCTTTTAACAAATTGTCCGATATAATATCCTTACACAAGGAAATCAAATTTAATGCATACGCCGATGACTATTTTCTAATAATTAACTTTAATAAAAATAAAAATATTAGCTTTAACCTAGGTAACCTTTTAAATGACATAGAGAACTGGGGTTCATACTCCGGGGCATCCCTATCCCTATCAAAATGCCAACACCTCCACATTTGCAAAAAGCACAACTGCACCTGTGTCGTAACATTCAATAGCATGCAAATCCCCACAGTTAGCTCGTTAAAAATCTTAGGAATAAATATAGACAGCAAATACAAATGGAACACACACACAGATAAACTTATACCTGCACTTCACAAAAACTAAATATAATTAAATGCCTATCCAGTCTCAAGTTTAACTGCAGTACATACACATTAATCAACGTAGTAAAAGCTACTATTGTTGCAAAAATAGAATACGGCCTATTCCTATACGGACACGCACCCAAAACAACACTAAACAAATTAAAACCGCCTCTAAACTCTGCCATTCGCCTAGCGCTCGGAGCCTTTCGTTCCACCCCAACAAATAACCTCCTACAAGAAGCCAATATCCCTCCAATAGAATTAAAACGAGATCTGCAAACAGCCAAACTAAGTAAAAACCTTATTTATTCCAAAGACACACCAATACACAAATTCGTAAAACAAAGTAAACTTAAAAGGAAATATCCACCAATTATAGACCGTATAATAAACCTCTGTGAACAATTTCATCTACCCTTCGAACCACAAACACCAAGCAAACTCAAGCCACCCTGGGACCTACCCAACCTTATAGACACATCCATAAGATTACATAAAAAAAGTAACACACCCAAAGAAACATACCAGAAAATATACGAAGACACAAAATCAAACCTCAATTCACACAACTTTATATTCACTGACGGATCAAAAATAACCGACATTATAACATACGCCATTACAACGGAAACAAACATCCTAAAATGTGGAATCCTGCCACCATATTCCTCTGTTCTAACAGCCGAAATCATCGCCATTCTTGAAGCTATCAAAATTATAAAAGACAAAAAAGGCAAATATGTAATCTGTTCAGATTCCCTCGCAGCAATAGACTCTATTAGAAATACAAACAATAATAATATTTATCCAAATAAAATAAGATCACTAATAACCCAGCTGGCCCCAAAAATCAAATTAATTTGGATTCCTGGCCATGCAGGCATTGCCGGAAACGAACTAGCAGATCAAGCAGCAAAGTCGACTAACAAAAGCCCACTAATCTTTACATCCAATATAAATCCTAGATATAAAAAGACAACTTAAATCTGAATTCTAAAACTAAAATTACCCGTCTACGTCTAGGACACACCAACCTGACCCACCAACACTATCTGAACCAAATTCCAACACCACCTTGCCCTTTCTGTCAAGGCAACCTCTCCTTACACCACATACTAAACACATGTCCACCTCTCTTGCAAACAAAACAAACTATCTTCCAGAACTCCAACCCGCTACATCTTCTCAATGATCTAAACCCAGAAAACATTAAAAAAATACTACATTTCCTAAAAACAACACAATTATACCACAAAATATGAATATAAATATTTAGTAAGGCTAGTTCCCTAATTTAAGAAGAATAATGTACAGAATACATACATAAATAACAGTTACTAATAAGACACAGATGTACATATCCCTCAACATTCAACCATCCCTTAGGCTTAAGCACTATCAACTCATATTGCCGAAGGCCACAGTAGCCAGCGCTATACCATTAAGTTAGTCTAGTTTTGTAAACTTTTCTATCTTTTATAATAATAATAATAATAATTAATATTTTGATTATGAGGCATAACAGTTTGATGATTTGTTAATCCCACAAATTTTATTTAAATCAGAGAACTTTTAAAAAATGATTAAATGCCACGTAAAGTGGTCAAAAGCCCCATAGTGCACTGATATAGATATGGTACATAGAGAGTCATAGTATCGTTGAAAAATACTCAGGAATATCAGGCAGTTAAAGATTGAAGTAGGCGTGAAAAAAATTCAAAACCGTTGACATTTTATTTTTACTGAGTAGTTTTCATTTTCATTTCGGTAACACAATAGATAGCACACATATTTCAAAAGCTTTGCTCAGTTTCTGATATTTATACACAAAAAATGGAATCAGTTTTGAAAAATACACCCATATTGTCCATCTACGACATGATGATGGACCGCCAGCGGGCCGCGATCCGAGAGAACCAAAAGAAGGCCATGTACCGCGGAGCTCTTGGGTTGCGTAAGATGATGGAAGAGAAGGCTGCCGTGGCGGAGACAAAGAAGTTCCCAGGGATGCCGAAAGTGGACAAGGGCAAGTTGGGTCCGATGAAGGTCTCGTCGCCTTACTGTGAAACCCCCAGATCGGGGATCACGCTGCCGCCCAACACGATCACCGCTTCCCATTTGACCAAGAAGCAGCTGTCCGTCAAGGTGCAGCAGCCGGGCAAGAGAGAGGTGATAACCCAACTAGTGGAGCGGATGTCCCAGGGAAGCCCGCAATCTTGTATTTCGCCAAGGATGGTCAAGAAGACCAGTTCCAAGTCGAAGCAGCAAGCCAGCTCCCGGCGCAAGATTAAGAAGAATAAAAGCAATGTCATGCCGGAAGGGGCCAAAAGGTTGCCGTTGTCTCCCCGGAAGGCGGAGAGACCTACAAAAGGCACTGGCTCGCCTCGGAAAATTCTAAGGACTCCAAAGTCGTCACCCAAAAACACTCTTAAACAGGTTCTTGAATCCAGTGTCCCAAATGTCCAAGTTTTTTCACCACCCCCCACCGGTCGCTGGAGGATTTAAAAGTCTCAGTTGATTAGGATTGCACGAGAAACCAGTCCAGAATGCAGCAAAAATTAGATTTGATCTAATAAGCTCCTATACCTTCCAGACGGCCAGACTTCATTACGTTTAACATTTCCCACGCTTTCACGTGGCATTGACCCGGGTCCTTTTCAAGTGGGACTAAGCATTCTTAAATTGTACGTTTATTTCAGAACTAGCGTATTTTAAAATCGATTAGTTACAACTGCTTTTGCTTCCAAAATAAATATAAAATTTAGTTTAGTGTTTAGTGTTCCAATTGGGGGAGAAAGATGGCAACTAGAGAGGTCAATCAAACACAGTTTTTCTTTATTCGGTTTTATAATAAATTAGAATTTTCTCTGCTGCGACGTAACATTTGGTTTCTTACAAGTCTAGGTTGTAGACTTACAAGCTGTTCGGTTTACAAGTCGACAAAATAAAGGAAATGGTGCTCGAAAATCGTCATTAGAGTTTGCGAGAGATAGCCCAAGAAAGGATCATGTCTCATGAGACCGCTCGTTATATTTTGGTTGATGTTTTAGGTATGCGGAAAGTCGCAGCGCGACCACATTAATACACCAGCACACAAAGTTTGCTGAACGAGTTTTTGAACAAAAATTCAACAAATATCATCGAAAAACCACCGTAATCTCCAGATTTGGCTCCGTGTGACTTTTTCCTGTTTCCAAAACTCAAATTACCACTTCGTGGATACCGTTTTGAGAGCATTAAAGACATCAAAACTAATTCGCAACGCACACAAAAGGTTGACTTGTTCCTAATGACGCCGTGACCAAACTGAATGGCACATAGCAATACAAATTGACAGAATAGTGGCTGACAGTTGTGCCAACCTGGGAAAAATTTTAAATGAGAATTTCCAGATACTTATTGCGGATACGTATTGCGCAAGAATAATCGGATTCGTCAAATAAACAGATTTGACGATAGGAGTTGCATTTAAAATATTATGCTAAGGTGCTATACACGGTTTAAAAAGTCATTTCAGGAGGCAAAAGATATTACATTATTGGGTTGGTCAGTCAGTCAGGAGCTCTACACCATCAAGACAAGATCTAAATCTACAAGATTTAATTCACCGTTGGCGACAGAAGCATTTTCTTTCTTATCACTAGTCAGGAAATTCATTTTCTCATCTTTACATCCGACTAGACAGAGGGAACCCTTTTTATGATTAACCGAGTTGATAACACTCGCAATTGAATGTCACTCTGGTGAAATGTCTGCGGGCGTCAGAGCTACATACCTAGTCTGAATTTTTTTATATTTTTTTAAGTTTGAAAGCGGTAATCTTTTATTTGGTATAATATTTGCGTAGTGCTGCGAAAAACAAACTCATAACACTTCAAGCATTTAATATAACTTTAGTTTGAACTTTTTCCCTTGAAATTTTCTTGTTTGTTATCATATGTACGTTTTTATATTCTTTTAAAAAACTCCTGCGAATTATATACATATACGTAATTAACGTAACTATTAACAGTGTTATTTTGTAAACAAACTCCTGAGTTGATATAAGCATGTCCGTCTACCCGTCTGTCTGTCCGAGAAACTAGTTTGCGTAAATACAGACATACGCAAACTAGTCTCTACTAGATATTTAAAGCTATCGACTTGAAACTTTTAACACACACTTTCTTTCCTTTGCACACAGTATATAAGTCTATACGACTTATAAGTCGGACGACTATATCATATAGCTACCATATAACTGATTGATCGGAAATGCTGTAACTTTGGTGTTAGGTGTTTTTAGAGTTAAAGTGTTCGAATTTTGTACATGAATTTTGTGACTGAATTTTGCATATTATTTTTTAGCAAAAAAAAACGACATGCCGAATTTTATAAAGATCGGCCGACTATATCCTATTGCTGTCATATAACTGAACAATCTTAAATGACCCAACTTTCGTATTTTTGAAGATAGAAACTTGGAACTTTGTACAGATTCGTACAGAACGTTCGTACAGTCAGTTGATCCGACCTGATCCGAAATTTCATAACATTCGGTGGACTGTATTTTATAACTGCCATATAACTGAACTATTGGAAATGGTATTTGGTGTTTAGTAAAAATACCAACTTTGGTGTTCTTGAAGATAGAAGTTTGGGACTTTTTTTAGATTTTGAGAGAATTGATAAATTTTTTTTTTTTAATTCAATCTATTGTGTTTCCATGCTTTATTTCCCAAATTTTTATATATTGCGCAATATATTTCCCTAAAGAATAAGCACAAAATAATCGGTAGGGTGCGGCGCCAAGAGTCGATGCACGCACGAAGCGACATATTGGTGCTCTAGCAACTAACAAAGCTTTTAGATGCTTATAAAGGCACAATTGGAATTGGCAGTAGCTAATCAGCTGCTACAACAGATTTGACGAGAGGAGTTGCATTATAATATGATGCTACTAGGTATAAAAAATCATTTCTGGGGGCAAAAGCTATTACATTATTGGGCTGGTCAGTCAGTCTGGAGCTATAAGTCAGAACCATCTCCTTTCTTTAATTGAGGATTTTCGGGACATTCGTTTCTAAAAGATTAACTACCTTATAAGATTGGTAAGGTTAAAAATCTAGTAAATTTGATCCCTCGACGATTAAAATTAGTTGCAAAACGAAAGGGAGATTCTATATCTTACTAATATTAACAACAGCTTAAACAAAAAAAGTTGTGTTATTAATTTCATTTATATATTTTACTAATTCTGATTTTTCACAATTATTAATTTTCGTTTTATAAAGTTTTCAAATTAAATTGTTTTAATAGATTTATTCATGTAACTGTAAATATTTTTCCAGTGTTCCAAATAAAATATGATTCCGAAAATATGAATTTTGCTGCGTTAATTTCGAAACAAACATTTATCACTATTTTTTTTAACAATGAAAAGAATAATTATATAATATATTCATATAAATCTATAATTTGGTGATGGCATAAATTGTTTTATACACGCTTAAACATTTATAACATTAGACATACTCTACACCTGTAAGACTTAGTTCGCCGACGGCGACAGAAGCATTTTCTTTCTTATCACTAGTCAGGTAATTAATTGTCTCTTCTTTAAATCCGACTAGACAGAGGGAACCCTTTTTATGATTAACCGAGTTGATAACACTCGCAATTGAATGTCACTCTGGTGAAATGTCTGCGGGCGTCAGAGCTTCCTAGTCTGAATTTTTTTTATTTTTTTAAGTTTGAAAAGCGGTAATCTTTTATTTGGTATAATATTTGCGTAGTGCTGAGAAAAACAAACTCATAACACTTCAAGTATTTAAAATAAATTTGGTATGAACTTTTTTCCTTGGAGTTTTCTTATTTGCCAATATACAAACATACAGACATATTGTACATATTATGTATTACAGACATATTATATTATCATAATACGTATGTAAATTTTAACGGTGACACGCTAGTTTTCGCTAAACGGAGAGAAAAAACTCCGAATTAAATATTTAAACGAATTATATAAACGGTCGTAACTATTAACAGTGTTATTTTGTAAACAAACTCCTGATTTGATATAAGTATGTCCGTCTATATGTATATATACGGCCGTCCGGCCGACTATATGTATCTTGTAGCTGCCATATAACTAAACGATCGGAAATGGTATTTGCTTAAAATACCAACTTTAGTATATTTGAAGATAAAAGCTTGGGGCTTTTTTTTAGATTTTTTATTCTAATATATTGTTTTTTTTATAATATTCTCATAAGTTAGCTTTCCTTTCTTGTGCGCTTTAACGTTGAAAAGCCATCTAGCAAATACTCGTATAAGTGCTGCCGAACATGGAATACATCCTTGGAATATTTTTCTGAGTGTTGGTTTTTTTTTTGCCACCTCCCATTTCCAGAACTGGATGACTTCGGTTCAAAATCGTATTAAAGGTCACACAGCTCTAATTGGAAGTCAGGACCTTGGTCCATTTAAAAATATTTTAAAAATATGTGCCATATATGTGCCAATATATTGAAAATGTCCATATTGAAAAATATGTTCCTTTTTTTCTATATCGTCGAAGTCATTGTAACTGTTTTCAAAATTCTTCATTAACAAAGTAATATGTGTCTTAAATTTAGTGAAAACATAGGAAGTGATATTAAATTTATCAACAACTTTTTTCAGTGTTGTACATAAGTCAAATAAAAATACATCAATTTTTTTTTTAAATCTCTCGATGGAACACATTAGTTTAAATGTCATTATTTTGACTTGGCAGCAAGTAGTTCCAGTTGTTGAGATGATTTGTAATATCTGAAAAAATTTGAAACTTGTGGTTAACCATTCTAGGAGCTAATATTAATTGACTTATGTTTGTCCGTATTATTGCAAGACTCATCCAATGCAATTAAAAAGTTTTGACAGTACTTGAATTTGTCACTCAAAAGCGGATTCAAATTAAGTGCATTAAGTTTTTCAATTCTACAAGTTACCGCACATCTTTATAACAAAATTGTATAAATACATATATTTTGCAGACTCCGCGCCGATTCCTCCATTTTTATCTTTTTATGTAATCCACTAAATGGAACTAAGGAGTTAACAGTTAAATAAAATAGTTAAAAGGAAGAAAACTATTCGGAAAATATCGGAGATGTCTGGTTCACTGCTTTGCTCACTTTTGACCAAAATTATAATACCTTCTGCAAGGATACCAATAAAAAGAAAAGACAATTTGTTTCATTGCATTTATTTCATTTTCTTTACATATATTTTTATTCTTCAACCATGGATTTTCCTTTGGTTTCTGGGAGCAAAAATAAAATATAAACAAAAGTCACCAAACAAGAAAAGGCAGAGAACCACATTGTGGCGGAAATGCCCCAAAAGTGGAGTAATAAAGGAAATAGCTTTAACGTAACAAAGACAAGGATACCCATAAAAGCAATTGAAATGGATGTGGCGACAGATCGAATCTGAAATTTTTATAAGAAATTAATTTAAATTTATTTTAAAAGCTCATAAAAAAATTACCTTAGCTGGGTGGACTTCACAAACGACCAGAAAAAAAAGTCCCATTATACCGACGTTACCCACATAAATAATGAAAATCATCAGCACGAATGGAAGCCAATTAAAGTCGTGAAGATCGTAGAGTTCTCCAAAGTATGTAAAGCATCCAAAGGCAATGCAACCAACTCCCACTCCCAGAGTGGAAATCAGCAACAGCAACCTTCGGCCTACGATATCCACAAATATGGTAGACGTATAAACTCCAATAACTTGTACAACGCCCATAATAATTGTACAGGTGTCAACGTCCAGAATCGATCCAGACTTGGCGAATATATCCGACATATAGTTCATGAAGCTGAAGACATTACTGAACTCGAATCCGGTGCAAAGAACAAAAGCGGCTGCGAACCCTTTAAGAGCTGGTTTTGTAACTGAGATACCAACTAATTAGTAATTTTCCAAACCCCAAAATTCGTGTAAAGTCTTACCAAAGTCCTTAAATGTGATTCCCGAAGTACCATTCATCTTTTGGGAGAGAACTGCTAGTCTCAATTCCTCAAAAGTTTCCATTGAACTCTGCTTGTCACCTCTTTGATTTTTGTAGTACCTGAAGGATTTTTCAGCTGCAGTGAGCTTGTTTGTCTTTAAAAGATATGGAGCTGATTCTGGCAGCATTAAATTTGCCAAAAAGTAGACAATAGGCAGGAAGGAGACCACTAGGGGAACAACGTGGTAGTCGAGGTAGGAGCTAGCAATATAGCCAACTAATATCCCAAGGTTCACCGATAGCATCAGTATTGAAGTAAGAGCCCCTCGGATGCTTTAATGAACTGGTTAATGATTTTTTATAAATTTTTTAACAGGGAAAACACTTACCTAGTATCGGCTATTTCACTGATGAATATGGGTAATACTACGTAGGACACACCTCCAGTAAATCCACCTAAAAATCGAGCAGCATACAGGAAGTACACATTGGAGGCACAGTAAATCAGAATCCAAAGGCACTATTAGGGGAAAAAGCAACCATATTTTTATTGGTTTAAAAAAAAAATGTATGTTTATACTTACAGCGTAAGGTACAGCTAGCAGGTATAGGAAAAATTTCCTACCAGCTCTTTCCAATAAGAAAACAATCACCAAGTTGCCAGACAAACTTCCTAGCCCCAGCATGGAGCCCAGCCAGGATATTTCGTCGATATTAACTTCAAAGTCAAGCGGGGTGTCCGGTGTTTGGATTTTAGTCAAGGTCGGCGAAAGCCATCCCAACACAATGCCATGAGCAAAAGTTATTATATTCACTTAATAAAGAGTTTTTTATTTTTTTAAAGGATAAAGGATCAAGTGTGGTTGGTTCTCACCAATAATTGTGGCCAAAAATTGGTAACGAGTTTGCGGCTTCAAAAAGCGACTCTTCAAAATGCTTGCCATTTTTCGTAGTTTACCCAAGGAGATTACAGAAGTTAAAGCTACTTTTCACGACTACTGCCTCCTTATATATAAAGTCAAGACCTTAAAAACTCGGGGAAAGCAAACACCTGCCAGGGTTCAGTGTTTGTGTGTTTAACAACAAATCTCTTTTATCACAACACAGAAGAATTAGTGTAGTGATTATTCTGAGATTTTCCAACAGACAAATTTATTAAAGATTGTGATTTATAAAATTTGAAATATTTGAACAGGATTCATTCATAAAGGATACGAAAAGGAGCTGCTTTTATATTTTAGGGGAGTTGGTAATAAAGTATTAGATAATGGTATTTTGGCTTTTTAAACTTTGAATTTCAAAATAAAATAATTTTTTTTTGTATAATAACCTATAAAATACAGTAAGGAGTCTCTGTTTAGCGTGCTGTTTATTTAAATATCGAGATGGTGAAATATGTTATTTAAAAGTTCATCCCAGAAGTAGGCTAACTAATTGGAGTCAGAAATTATACCGCAACCACTTTAAGCTTTGCGATAGCAATGGGGCTCCTTATAACGGTAAATAAAATGAGTACATACAATAAGAGAAATAACAAGAACAAAATTAAAAATTAAAAAAAAGGTAAGGTAATTTTTTTTTTTTTTATTTATTAAGTGAAGAAGCGGTACAGCATAAAATGTACCTGAACAACACATGGATAGAAAATGAAAAAATTAATCAAACCTCAATACAAATATGAGGATTACATCATGGGTATGGTAGCCTTATTGGCTCCTAATTGTTTTGGCAAAGCCTTGTCGTTTAAGGCGTCTCAAAGGTCTAGCTGGAAGTATGTTTCTAGCAAGTAGGCTACGGTGTCTTAGAAGTCTTTCACTATATCGGATTGTGTGCCTACCAATCCACAGTGGTCCAGCCCGTAGGCCAAAAATAAAAAAACCAAAGTCCAAATTTTGACTTTAAATGTACTAATTCTTATTTATAATTGGTCTAGCTATTTGAATTTATTCATCTTTTTGTTTTAATCTGTCTGTCCGCTTCAAGAATAGCATCGAAAGTGATAGCATGATATTCATTGTGTATTGCAGCGTAAGCAACGTGCAAGTGAAGCTCTCCGCAAAAAGCTTATTAAACATTTTTAAAACAAGTGTTTGTGCCATGGAAGTTATTAATATTTTAAAGAAAGGTATCAACTTTCTTTTTACAATAAAAAGTATATGTAGTATTTGTTGTGTTTTGTGTAAATCATTGTTGTATTTAGTACATAATTGTGAACGTTCTTAGTTTGTCTTTTTTTGTGTTTGGTTAGAGTTTTAGTTGTGATGGCACACTTTGGCATTCACAAATCTTTTGGTATAATATTCTTAAGCATTTTAAGAATATAAGAAAGTTTAGTTCAAGTGCCGTAAGGTGCCGTGCGGCTTACAAATTACAAAAAGGTAACCTAACCTCAATTTGAAAAAAACGGATATATGTCGCAAGAATCAGATATAGTTCGCCGATCCTTATGAAAATTATTGATATCCTTATCATTATTGAACCAATCTATTACAATACAAAATATAAAAAAAAGTCCTAAACTTCTATCTTCAAAAACACCGAAGTTGGTATTTCTGCCAAAACCATTTCCGATCATTCAGTTATATGACAGCTATAAGATATAGTCGGCCGATCCCTATGAAATTTGGTAGGTTGAATCAACTGACCAAAAATAGAATCTGTACGAAGTTTCTATCTATCTTAAAAAGCACAAAAGTTGGGTCATTTCCGATCAAACATTTATATGGCAGCTATAGGATATAGTCGGCTGATCCTTGTGAAATTTGGTATTATTTTGTCAAATATAGTACTCGTACAAAAACTGAACTTTCTAACTGTAAAAACACCAAAGTTATAGCATTTTCGATCAATCAGTTATATGACAGATATATGATATAGGTGCCCGATCTGGCTGATTTTAACATATTATTTTAGAATAAAAATATAAATATTTTGTGCCAAGTTTCCAGTCCCTACCTCAACTAGAAGTATTTTTGGCCGCTCTCCCCATACATACAAGCCGGACCACTGTGCAATCTGGTCTTCTACAGTATGTAGCTTCAAATCTTTATGAAGAGTGTTCCCGCGCACATACTAGGGGCAGTTTGTTATATTCCTTTGTATCCGGTTCTGCAACACCTGGATTCGTTTATAATTTCATTTGGCTGCGATTCCCAAAGTCTGTATTCCATAAAGCCAAATTGGCAGGATACAATGCGCATATACCGCTCTTTTGCGTCTAAGCGGCAATTTACTCTTTCTATTTATAAGCCAACGCAGTTGCTGTGTCCTCAGTTTACATCAAGCTTGTACCAAGCTACAAGATAATTAAGAAACCCCTGCAGCCATAAAAAAAAGGTATGAAATTCTATTATTTATTTTATTTATGTTTAAATCCTGGACTGCAAATAATAACTATATGTTTTAAAAACTTTGGAAAAAAGCTGTTATTATCGATTTTTATTATAAAAATCACAAAAAAAATATTACTTTATGATCTTTATATGAAAAAAATTAAATTATTCTAGATTTTTTATGCTGCAAAAGCATAAATAAGCGTCGTCCGCTTAACATAGGGTCACTTCAATAAGCACCTTGTGTAAATGGGTAAGTGGTTTTTAATCATTACATTTAAAATATTCTTCACTCCTATCAACATTAATCTTTTCTCCTGAAAGAACTCATTGTCAGAAAGATCAGAACAAGCAGGTGATTGTTAGGCGTACTTTTTCTAAAACAGACTTGGCAACTGTGCTTTTGAAATAAATTAGTTCAAGTGCTATCTTTTTTCAGATTTTATTGAAAACAACAACAAATTATTAACATTATTTTTAATACTATAGGCTGGCTAAGAGGGCTTCCACTGTCTTGCCTTTGGTTTCGGGAACAAACACGGCAATGAAAAGAGCGGCCAAAAAGGACAAACTGGCAAACATATAGACTGTCCCATACATTCCCAGCGAGACTGTGAGAATTGGCATCATCTGAAACAGAATTATCTTAGAGAATTCAAGACTTGATTGAAATATGTATATGTTTTACCTTGATGACACAGGTTGAGATAAGCCAAAGTACCGACATGAGAATCATACTCGCTGTGCTCCTTATTTTTGGAGGCAATATCTCGGAAATGACCAGAAAGGGCAAGGACAATAGTCCCACGGCAGCCAGGAGAAGCATGAAGGAGAATCCTACGACGGGCACCCAGCTGAAGGACTCAACCTGGTAGCCCAGCATCTGGAAGTAGCTGTAGGTTCCCATGGCGCTTTGGCCCAAACCAATACCGATGGCCGACACCAAGAGCAACAGCTTCCGGCCCAATCGCTCGACTAGCACGGTAGAGGCGTATGTTCCTAAGAGCTGGATGGCGCCTACAATAATGGCTGCTACTGTAGGAGGCATGCTGGCTCCAGCCTGCTCGAAAATCACAGCCGTGTAGTTCAGCATGGCGAAGCATCCGCACAACTGGTTGAAGGATATCAAGCCGAGGCCAATCAGGAAAGCCTTTCGGGTTTTTGGCTCAGCTGATGGAAAGGATGAAATATATGAGCATTTTGGCATAAATTACGTATACGCACTATAGGTTTAGCTGAAAAGACTTCTTAGAATGTAATACTATTTCTAACTACTTTTTCAGCAAGTAGTATGTTTAATGGTACATATATACATAGGTAGTCATATATATCTTACCGAAATCTGCCCAAGTCACTCCGTTAGCATCGTCATCTAATTCATCATCGTCTGGATTATTATCAGCTTTGTCTGTGACCTTTAGTCTTTCCAGTTCCTGCTGGAGGTCCTCACTGAGCTCTTTCGCAGGATTGTTCCGAATATTTCGATAATAGCGCAGAGAGAGCTCAGCCTCCTCAACCTTCTTCAATTTTAACAAATACTGAGGTGTTTCTGGCATAAACCAAAAGCAGGCAATAAACACAAAGGACAAAATGGACATAATCCAGGAGACGGCAGCATAATTAAAGTAATAGCCCAGGACGAAGGCTAGAAGGATGCCGCCGTTGCATGTTAGCACTATAAAAGTGCCCAAGACACCACGGACACTGGATAAGAAGAATAAGTTAGAAGTTCAAACGCCTTGAAAAAAGGATAACCTCACCTCTCCGATGCCAGTTCCACTATGTAAATGGGGATAACTGCAAAACAGCCTCCTCCAGCAGCTCCTCCCAAAAATCTGGCAATGTTCAGGTGAGTTGGATTGCGGGCATAGGGAATAATCACCCAACCTAACTAATTGGGGATATTTAAAATGAACTTCATTTTTAATGTTGAAATGTGTCTAGTTACCAGGTTTGGCAAGGCAACCCATAAAAGGCACTTCTTCCTGCCGATTTTATCTGCCAACCAGGCGAACAGAATGGTACCAAATAGTCCTCCCAAGCACATAATCGATGCAACCCATCCTTGGTCCTGTTTGGTCAAAGGACCTGTCTCCAAAGGGCTCTTGTCCGACGCCAATTCCAGAAAACTGGCCGAGGGCCAACCGCAAAATGCTCCATATGATATGGTTACAATATTTACTAAACATTTTAAGTGCAAATTAGATTAGCATCAAGTTTTGGGTCGGAAAGGATACAGTTTTTATTTATTTTAATTGATTCTGTTACCAACCGCTTAGGGCTGCCAGATACTGGTACTTGGTTCCTCCAGTGTTGCTCATTTTGTTACCACTTTTTAGAAAATCATCGAATCCTTGGCTAGTTTTCCCGTGCTGCCGACTCTCTAATACCGTTAAGAGCTCGCGCTCAACTAAGCGAAACCAGTGGCTGGATGGTAATATTTATATATTGCTCCGTAGATTATAGACCGTTATCGCCGCCCATTATGCTTAACCAAAATGAGAGCAGAGCAAATCCAGTGTCACAGTCAATACGGCAAAAAAAATACAAAATAGTAAGCTTTTGCCCCGATTATTATTGCATATATGTTGTAATTCTCCATACGACATTTGTTTGTTTTTTCCTGATTTGATAGGCGAACTTTTTCTCTCTATTATTCTATGCCATTGCTGCTCAATGGGACTGCACTCTACGGAATTCTCGTAATCTTCTAGGGTCTCATAGAGAACTAGGGTAACAAAAAGAGCGATTAGAGCTGCTGCTATAAATTTCGCCTAATGTTGACAAATATTTACTTTGCTTCGATATGAGAGTCAAACAATAGGCAGGCCTTCTTCATTTTTGGCAACTATAAAGGTAAGTCCCCTTCTAAAGGCGTAAATTAGAATTAATACCTTAGACGGATTCGTATCCATGCGAGAATGCGCTGGCGCCTAGAAGAGTGATTTTAAACATCTGAGGACGGATGCGTATCTCGTGGCACGGTATACGAATAATTCATAAGTTAATAAAGTTCTTTATCACTCGCATATGAATGAAAAAAATATCGTGCATACGTACATATATAAATTAAAGTTAGTTTTTGGCTTAGTCGCATCTTTAATACTCTTGCCATACGATAGGGTGAGACATGTCAACTTATGGCTGTTACCAAAACTTATGGAAGAGTATATAAGATGTTAAGAAAAAGTTACGTACTTATAATTAGATAATTAAATAATTTTTTAATGTTCTTTAAACGTGAACGCTTTTGTGAAATTGTAGGGTGTAGGGTTAACACTGTACACCCTTACATTGTAGGGTTAACACTGAAGTAATATTAAAATGTTATTTTATTAATATTATAGTTTTTTGATATTATTTTAAATAAAGATATACCTGAAACCACATTGTGCCACAAAATAACACGTGTGTGAAAAAGATTAGATATTTCATAGCACTTTGTTTTAAACTTCTTAGTTTAGTGAACATGTGGGTAATAACCCACCTTAACTTTTATCTTGCCCTTACTTTTATTTTGTTTGGGGGTTACACTTAATGACTAAACGTTTTTCTTAGATCGCCATTTAGATTAGATAGACTTTTCCCAAAAACGTACGTGTACCTACGAAATCCGACATTACTTAACTTTTCTTGTTAGGGTTTAAACTATTAATATTTAATTGTACAACTAATTAAACTTTAAAATTGATACTCAATGTAAATCTTAGAACAAATAAAAACCATTGAAGTAGTTTTTGTGGATTTGCATGGGTACAATATTTAACAGAAGTTTTTATGGAAGAACTTACTTGCCTGATGTGCGATTGATAAGTGATCGGCCATTTTCAAAACCACAAAGCAGTACCATGGAGCATTAAACGCCAAAACAAAAAACCGAATTTGTGATATTTTTTTTCAAAAACAATTCCTCAGTTACTATTGCTTAACGCGTTTACCAAGCAAAGTAATCAAGCAATGATTCGAGAATTATTAGCACCTGAGCTGGATGAATATGTTATGGAGTATTATTGGTTCCAGCAAGATAGCTGGAATAGCTTATTGAAGCAAATGTTTTCGAATCGTCTCATCTTAAATAAGGGCGATTTTGACAGACCACCTAGATCACCGGTATTGCCTCGGAAATTTACGAAAAAACGGACTGATTTGTGCAGAGCAGCCGCCGATAGCCACTTGCCAGCTACTGTTTTAAAAAAGTGCCAAAAAAAATTGTGCTGAAGCAAATTTAAATAACATGAACGATCGTACCCACTAAAGTAAGTTTTCCTTTCTTTGTTTAAAAAAAAAAAATCAGTTACCACAATACGGCGAATCCTGTACGATAGCCTAGGCCGGTTGGTCTGATTTTGCAATACGTTTTCAATTGTATGCAGATCTACATATATCAACTACATATAGAAGCACCATTGTCCCGGCTGTTTTGACTTGTATTCTGCGTTCAAAGGAAAGAAGGGTGTACGCAAAATTTTAAGTCAACAATTGTCGAATAATCATAATACCCTCTGCAAGAGACAAGAGATAACGGGGATAGTCGAGTTTCCCGACTACATTATACCCGGTACTTCCACCCACAATTTAACTAACATTTAAAGTTTAAACTTTAAGCCAGACTCAACAAACCAGACTAAAAAGTCTATAACTCCTCTAAAATTATCCGATTAGGCTGATTTGTAAGTGTAGATTAGACATTGGAAATGAAACTGGCGCTAATATGAGATTTCTGTTTTGGTGGCGGGAGTGGGCGTAGGAAAATTTTGACACAAACGTGATCTCCACGGATACTATACGAGTCCAAGTTCAAAATCGGATAGCTCCATCTCTTATACTCTTCGAGATCCACGTGTTCATACGGACAGACGGAGATGGCTATATCCACTCGGCTGTTGATGCTGATGAAGAATAATACATATGCGATACGTACACCGATAATTACATACTGAGGAGTGGCGTGTTATAGAAATGATTAAAAACCAAAATGGGCGGTGGGTGAGCGGCAGAGCTCGGGCAGACAAATTTCCTAAGCCCCTGCCGACCACTGGTTTAAATCAAAGGATTTGCAGCTTTCAACTGGTAACAATATTTTGAGAAAACTCAAAATGTAACATGAAGCTTAAAATTGACTGAGTGCCTAATATTTTAAGTTTTATCGCTTTGAATAACATTAATAGATGTTCAATTATCTTAACGTGTTAAACAAATTTTGTTACAAATTTTCAAAAAATTTTGCAAAATAAATTTAAAAAAAAAGGTAATAGTTTTTAGTGTACTTTATAAGAAATATCGATACATCGATGTGTCTATATTTTTATTCTTTTATTCCACTCTTATTAAATATCTGTCCGTGTTGAGAGTGGACAGTAATTAAATAAGATCATGAAATCTTAGCATGCCAGGAAATTGAATTTAGGTAAACAGGAACCTAAACAGCTCCATCCTCTATACGGAGATTGAGTGGGTGCGTGCGCTCTAATCATCTGGTGGTGTTGCTGTTGTCCAGCAGGTTGGTGGCCAAAAGGTTCGGATGCTGGCCCAATCTGCCCACATACCAGTTGGCAAACTGTTGGACTTCGCTGCTGACCCAAGGTACTTTCAGATGGGTGTGGATGACAGAGCTCTCGTGGTATGGATGGACAGCATCCTGAGCGGCCAGTTTTGCGCGAGTTGGACGAGCTGTTTCTCTCACCTGGATCCCAGACGTCCAAATTGGCTTGACGATTGCTTTGTAGATAAGCAGCTTAGCCCTCTGCTTTAATCTGGAGCGCTTCCCCAGTAGCCAGTAAAGCTGCCGCAGCTTTTTGTCTATTTGTTTCCGCTTGCGCAGCAGATGGGGTCTCTAAGTTAGACGACTGTCCAGAGTCATTCCCAAGTAGACCTTCCATTGCGCTTATTTCTTTCTTTTACACACTGTTACTCCGGAGCGCTAGCAAGATTGCACTGACTTGTTTTGGAAAAGCGTTATAACTTCAACAATTTTCATAGTTTCTAAATGAAATTGGTCTCGTTTTATCCAGAATTAATGAGAAAATGTTGATAAGTGTCAAAAATGACAAATTTTCTTGTAAGTAGTACCAAACATACGGCGGACTTTGACGCACGACAAAAATGCAAAAAATGTCACTTTCTTGTGTAAAAATGTTATCCTTTCTGTTAAAAAAAAAATTTAAGACCTTTTTTTTTTTAAAAACCAAAAACAACATTAAAATATTGAAAAATTGCGGAATTTTTAAAATCGATTTAAACTACGCGGTTAGAAATTTTAAGAGCAAAGAAGTCCCGAAAAACGTTTAATTTAAATAAGTCAAGATTTTGAGCGTGTTACAAATATTTTTAACACGGATTTGTGTCATATTCGACCTGATAAACAATTCTACTATGTCACTTTAAAAGTTCCAAATTACTGTTGCACTGTGTATATTTTCTCTAAGTCGCCTTCCTACTGTTTTCAAGCTTAAATCAATTTTGCAGTTTGTTTTAAAGCGATAGGAGACATCATTAACTGACATTTTGCATGCCCCGCTAGACATATCTTAAGTGGAGCTCGCATTTTTTATGCTGGCTTATATTTGTCTTTCATTGCAATTGGGCTTATGTTCTCCCTTCCTTTTAAATCACATTTTGACTCTCAGCAGGCCAGTTGTAAGCACGTACTATGTATATTGCCAGGACCAAATGATAAATAATAATCTTAAAAGTAAAAATACTGTTGGAAAACATCTTAAAGTATTATTAAACTCAAAAACTTTTGCACTGTGTATATTTTCTCTAAGTCGCCATGCTACTGTTTTCAAGCTTGAAAAAAATAAGAATAAATATTAAAATAAAAATAAAATAAGAATAAATTTCATTTATTTCAAACTTTTCTTTCGCATTAATATTATTTTGACCGCGTCAACCAGGGGGCTAATAGCAAATAATGGCGAAAAAATAGACAGTATTAATATTGGTAACAAATAGCTCCCCGCCAGTACCACTTAACCTGAATCACGCCTGAAAATTTTAGACCCTACGGTCAACGGTGAGACCCGATGGCCCCTGAATCGGCTCTGATTGCTAGAACAAGGGGCTCTACCCTAAAATCATTTTCAGGCCTGACTCAGCTCTGAATGCTCGGATTCGATTCAGGAGTAAAAATATTTTCGAAAGCAGAGGTGAAACCGTCCTGAAAAAGACGGCCGAACTCGTAATAAAAAAAGAGCTAAAATGGCCTAATTCTTCGCCCAGAATCTTAAAAATAAAAGGATAATTTCACTTTTTGCGGAATAGAACTTCTTAGTTTTTTTCTTTCATTTTTTTGTTTATAGATATTTAGTGAATTACCTTCCCGTGGAAATCGAACCTTCGTGCTTCTGGACATGTATGCCTCTAAGCTATTGAGCAGTTTTATTAAAAATTACTAAAAGTTAACAAAATTTAACTCATAAAACAGCTTTTTCTACTGGAAATTGAACCAACGACTTTTTTGATCAAAAGGTAGACAAAAAACAGACAAAACTTTTGCTCGAAAAAAATGTTGAATCCCTAGAAAACTGTGAAGACATCGAAATTCATTAGCAGCAGAGGACAGGCAGAATTGGTATTGGTATTGTGTATTGGAAGGTATTGGGTATGTTTTTTAAAGAACTCTTTTGGGAGTTATTGGTTAGGATGTTCTTTAGAATTTTTAGGAAAAATCCTGCAGAAAGTCCCTAAGAAATAAATGGGTCCCTAAATAAAATGTAAATATCAAAAACATGTGAAATATACAATAACTTGCTTATTTATTTTTATTTTTAAATAATTAAATTAGAAAAAATAAGGAGAAATGCTGAAAGTAAATGAAAAAATACGCACTAAGAATATCGACGCATTTCCGCGAAAGTATCGTATGTTGAAAAATCCAATTTTACAGGAGAAGCTTTTTATACCCTTGCAGAGGGTATTATAATTTTGTCCAAAAGTGTGCAACGCAGTGAAGGAGACATCTCCGACCCTATAAAGTATATATATTCTTGATCAGGATCACCTCCTGAGTTGATATGAGCATGTCCGTCTGTCCGTCTGTCCGTCTGTCTGTCCGTTTCTACGCGAACTAGTCTCTCAGTTTTAAAGCTATCGACTTGAAACTTTGCACACACCCTTCTTTCCTTTGCACGCAGTATATAAGTCGGAACTGCTCGGATCGGCCGACTATATCCTATAGCTGCCATATAACTGATTGATCGGAAATGGTATAACTTTGGTGTTTTTAGAGTTACAGAGTTCAAATTTGACACGAGAGCTATTTTTGGCAAACCATTACGACATGCCAAATTTCATAAGGATCGGCCGACTATATCCTATAGCTGCCGTATAACTGAACGATCGGAAATGACCCAACTTTCGTGTTTTTGATGATAGAAAGCTGGCACTTGGTACACATTCTATTTTTGGTCAGTTAATCCGATCTACCAAATTTCATAACGATCGGTTGACTATATCTTATAGGTGACATATAACTGAACGATCGGAAATGGTATTTGGTAGAAATATCAACTTTCGTATTTTTGATGATAGAAGCTTGGGACTTTTTTTTTAGATTTCTTATTGTAATTAATTGGTGTTATTATGATGTAATCATAAGGATCGGCCAACTATATCCGATGTTTGCGATATATATCCGGTTTTAGCTGCAAGGGTATGTCAACTTCGGCTCCGCCCGAAGTTAGCTTTGCTTTCTTGTTTTTTATTTAATCTCTTACAAACAATAAGCAAAATCATAAGATTTTTAAGCAATTAGAAACATTTGTTATTGTAACATTTGTAAATTTGTATGGACATATTTTTGGAGTTGTACCGAAAAAATGGCGTCAAAGTCCGAAAAACACGACAAAAATTAAAAAATGTCAGTTTCTTGCGTAAAAATGTTACTCTTTTTGTTGAAATAAATTAAAGATCTATTTTTTTTTCTAAAGCTATAACATTTAACTATTGAAAACGTAAAAAATTTTAAAATCGGTTTAAAATTACGCGTTTAGGAATTTTTTAGACCCAAAAAGTCCCGAAAAACCGTTTTTCCCAAATAAATCAAGATTTTGAGGGTGTTCGAAAAATTTTAAACATGGTTTTATACTGTATTGGACCTAATGAACAATTCCTAATAGGTCTCTTCAAAAGTTCCAAATCACTTTCGCACTGTGTTGTTATTAGAAAATGATGATCTTGCATTCTCAGAGACGACGTTTTCTAAATCCAGTGGGGCAACTTCGTTGTTATTTGGTGTAGCCACATTGCTCAGACCGTGCGGCATTCATATTGACGCTTCATGGATTCCAACGAAACTTTCGAACCGTTCACTTTGGTTGGGGTTTCGCCGTTGGGGTTTCGAGTCGGGCCTTTCCTCGGATCTAGCTTCTACATCGGAAATGTCCTTGTGATCCACCGTTGGGAAAATTCCCGGGCTTCTGGAGAAACTCCATTCAGACGCAATGCAGTTTGTGTCAAAATTTTGCCACGCAAAATGGCGGTTGTATCGCCAGTTCGTGGGTGTTTTTGGCAGTGACCAGAGTCATTGAGTTTTTTTTTGAGAATAATGGTTCTTTTATTAATCAACTTTATTATATTATAATTCTTTATTATTATATTCTTTATTATTATATAATTAATATTTGACTGCTTATCTCATTAGACCACAAATACAGGTACCATTAAGTACGATTATTTATCATAACTGCAAGGGTATATCATCTTCGGCTCTGCCCGTAGTTAGCTTTCCTTTCTTTTTAGATTCTGAAAGTCTAAATGAAAAAAATATATCGTTCTCGGAAAAAATTTTTTAAAAACAGATTTGTGAAAAATAAAGATAAACTAGATTAGATAAAGTTGGACAAAATATGTCACTATTGTATTCTTAGGAGGAACGTGTGCGGGAATTTCCGGGTCTTAATGATCAGCCATAGAATAAGCAAATAAAGTTGCATGTAATCTTATGTAGCAATTAAAGAATATTTCAACATATGTACTATATGTATGATAAGTATGTTTTCCGGACACCTACTTTTTGATGCATTTTTAAGTAGTTAAAAATAACGTTTTGGTCATTGAGATTTTGCAATAAAATTTTAATGTTTCCAAAATTAAGTTATTGAAACGCTATAGCGTTATAGCGCGCTATAAGAATATTTTTGTCTGCATCTAGATAAAACAAAATTATCCGAAAATAGACCATTTTTTGACCATGTATGACCATGTATGTACAGACAGGGCGGCCCGACTTGGACATTGTGGAGCTAAAGCTCTCTTAGGATAGGCCCGTTGAAGTCGAGCGGCTGAGAAAGACGCGACTTGCGATTAACTAGGCCTTAGTTCCATATATAAGCATAATAAATAAACTAATTCTGCTGGTTGCTACATGACCCGACAAAAATGTAATGATCTTTTTAAAGAAAAATTTCTAGCTGGTACTACAGAAGGATGCCTTTTTTTGAGTTGGGTAGTGGGAAACATTTGAAACAAAACTTGGGTGTTATAGGAGTGTACATATTAAGCCTTTTACTACTAGCTCGTATAGTCTCTAAGATCTACGCTTTTATACCGACAGACAGACCAACGGACTGTTGATTTCCTTTCCCTGTTACAAATAATCGCAAGAATAAAATATACATTTGTACTCTACGACTAAATTATATAAAATAATTAGTAAATATCTTATTGTGAAATTAACAGAATTAAGTACCCGATTCATAAAATATATGTAGCTTGCTAAGATTATAAACTGGCCAAGAGGGCTTCCACTGTCTTGCCCTTTGTTTCCGGCAGGAAAATGAAAATAAAAATAGCAGCTCCAAAGGAAAAACTCGCAAACATAAAGACGGTTCCGTGCATGCCAAGCCACTCAGTAAAAATGGGCATCAGCTGAAAAAGCGTTTAATTTGTTATATATATATTTGTATATTGTAATTTGTATTTTGTTATATTTAAAGTGCGTAATTAGGAACGGAACCTATACGTTACCTTTATTGTGCACGTGGATATCACCCAAAGAACCGACATCAGAATCATGTTCGCAGTGCTTCTTATTTTTTGAGGCATGAGTTCTGATATCACCAGGAAGGGCAGTGACAATAGCCCTAATGCGGCCACAAAGAGCATGAAAGAAAATCCTGCAATAGGAACCCAATTTAAGGACTCCACCTGGTAGCCCTTCACCTGGCAGTAGCTATAAGATGCCATGACACTCTGGCTTATACCGATTCCGATGGCCGAAACTAACAGGAGTATCTTACGGCCCAAACGCTCCACCAGCATCGTGGATACGTAATTACCAAGCATTTGTATGGCCCCAACAATTATAGCGGCCACTGTGGGCTGCAGGCTGGCTCCGGCTTGTTCAAAAATCACGGCCGTGTAATTCAGCATTGTAAAGCATCCGCACAACTGATTGAATATTATAAGGCCAAACCCAATAAGGAAAGCCTTTCGGGTTTTCGGTTCAGCTAAAAACAAATAACATAAATTAATTAATTATTTAAATAAAGAAGCGATTACTAAAACAAATTACCAAAATCTGACCAAGTCACTGCGTTGCTATCGTCACTTGTGTCGTCGTTGTCAGTTTTCTCCGTATCCTTGAGCTTTTGCAGTTCGTATTGTAAATCACCGCTGAGTTCTTTGATTGAATAAGATCTAATATTCCGGTAATACCGCAAGGAGTATTCGGCCTCTTTGACCTTGTTCCGGCTGGCCAAGTACTGAGGGGTCTCTGGCATAAACCAAAAGCAGAAAAAATAGGCTGGGGTCAAGGTCGCCATGATCCAGGACACTGTGGCATAGTCAAAGTAGTAGCCCAGAACAAAAGCAAGACAGACGCCACCACTGCAGGCCAAAACTAGAAACGTGCCCAAAACTCCACGGACACTAGAATTTCGAAAATGAAAACTTACTCACACAAGAATATAAAAGAGCTCTTACCTATTAGAGGCCAGTTCCACTACATAAATTGGAATCACTGAAAAAACACCGCCCCCAGCAGCTCCTCCAATAAGCCTGGCTATGATCAAGTGGTTGGCATTTCGGGCATAAGGAATTAAAATCCAACCTAGCTATTCAATAAATTGGCACTTATGGTAATGTGGGTAATGTTTATTGACTTTTGTCCCTTACCAAATTCGGTATTGCCATCCAGAGTAGTGATTTTTTCCTTCCGCTTTTGTCAGCCAGACGGACAAAAAAGATGGCTCCAAACAATCCTCCCAAACACACAGCTGATGCAACCCAGCCCTGCTCGTGTTTGGTCAAAGGACCTGTTTCAAGGGGGCTCTTATCCGATGCCAGCTCCAGGATACTGGCCGAGGGCCACCCGCAGTAAGCTCCATACGATATGCTGATAATATTGACTGTGCAAAATTTTTTCCATATTATCTATGCATTTTTTTTAACTTTTTAACTGACCACTTAACGCAGCTAAATACTGGTATTTGGTTTCACTGGGATTGTCCATGATTTTTCGACCAATTACGCCTCAAATCCACTGAAGTGTTTAAAATCCTTAAAGCTCATTAAGTAAATTGAACCAACTTTATCCGTTTTTTGTACGTCAAATACCCGTTGATGTTCGCTTTTAACTAACCCAGACCCCGGCGTGATTATAATATTTATATATTGCTCGAGGCTGTAAGCTCCCCTGGATTGTCAACCGTGAATGTAGATTACAGACTCCTCTTATCTCTGCCCCATTATGCTCTGAGAACAAAGTAGATCCACGAGCAGAGTTGAAAACAACAAAAAAATAGATAACCATTGCTCTAGGGTGTTAATGCAAATTTGCAATTACTGTGTGATTATAATTATTTATAGGTTTTTCTTTTTTCTGTGGCACAGGCTCGGATTAAAAAAGGAGAGGATTCTCTCTTTAGATTAGGTGGTTATTATCCGTCTAGGCGTTAGATTATTTTAGTAATTGTAATTTTTGTATATCACAGTAGCAAATATTTACCTTTATGATAACTTGTATATAAGGAAGACAGTGTGCAATTTTTGAAAACTCATCGTTGAGGATGGACCCATTTAAACCAATTTCAGAAAATGTTTTAAATTCAACCTGTGTTAATTTTTTTTTTTAAATATGTTAAAAATTTTCGTTTTTAATAACATTATTAATATATCCTTAATGAAATTTCCAAATACTCGAAATTTAATGGATCCTCATATTGTAAGATCAAATAAAAAAACCTCTTTACAAGTTAAAAAAAAAGGTGACAAATCCCCAACCCACGCCCAAAATATGTGATATTTATTTCTGTCAAATTAAAAACTATTCTTACGCGGCAATCGTTCTTTTTTTGCACGTGCCGAATAACAAAACTTTAATATATAATAAGAATTTCGGAAAAAGGCCCATCCTATTTTCTATCTGCAGAACCACGAAAGTTATGACATTTCTGATCATGAATTTATACGACATCACAGTTAAGAGGACGAAACCATATCCGGATTTTAGATATATATTCTACCATTAGACTTTACTTAGTATTATTGAACTTTACTGTATTTATATTTTAGTCTATGAAGGATAGTTTAATAGAAAAAACCTTTTAAACAAAATAAAATATACGCACAAATATGTTTCAATAACTTCAGTGCTTCTAAAGTTATAAGCACTCGATTTTACTACGTATTCCCATTTTTAGATTTTTACCGATTATTTAAGTATGAAGCTGTTAAACAAAACTTGTGGGTGAAATAAAAGCAAACATTTGCTATCTTTTCATTTGAGAACTGTATCAGTAGGAAAAATGGTGTAAAAGCAGGCAAAGGTGTTGTATTTCTTGAACAATTTATTGAGCAGATACCTATCGACGTTTAATCAAAAGTAGAAAGTGGTTTATAAAATGTATTTTTTCTTTTGACTTAAGTCTAATGGGCCTCTTCAATTTAAGGTAAATTTTCCATTTAGCTTAGGTTAATAACTTTAAAAATCAACCACTTTATGTATGTATGTGAGTACCATAGCACTATAGGAAATATGACCACTTTTTCTGGCCAAAAATAATATCTCAAGAACGAAACAAGATATTTAAGTTCTGATTTTTGATTTGAGTTCACATGGTCAATAGATTCAATATTTTTAAAAAATGTGGGCGTGGCACCGCCCACTTTTTAAGAAACACATTCTAACTCAAAAACTAAGCAAGATATTTAAATTTTGATTTTTGATTTGAGTTTATATGGTCAAAAGAACTCATAAATGAAAAAATTGTGGGCGTGGCACCACCCCCTATTTAAAAATAACATTCTAACTGTTCGGTTTTGCACTAGTCTCACAGCTAACAGATTCACATTCAAGGTGTTGAGGTTGTCTCCTTAAATTATGAATTTCTTCGAAAGTGCATTTTTATGCATATTCATATTTCACTCATTTGAAGAAAATTAAACAATCTACAACATGGACTAAATTACATTGTCCGACTCCGCCAGACTTGGTTTAAATCTCTTTTTAAAAATGTGATTTATTTCTAAAAATTTCTTATGCTAGACTGCTTACATTTTCACTTTATTAAAAGGACAACACAAGTTTTTTGGACACTTCACATACACAAACACACAATACAAACCACTTAAAAAAGTATTCATTTCAAAACTTTTTATTTTGTCCATAAAATTTTAAGTATTCGTGTTTTTAAAATCGCACCAAAAAATCGTAAATTCTAAGCTCATGTAAATGTTAACATCAACAGCTGTTTTTAACAGCTGTTTTCTTCGCAGTGGCGCCATCTATGAAAATTTCTGGTATGCAACATTAAAAATTAATCTATTGTGAATGATATGCAGTTAAAATTATTTAAATCCTTTAACTTTCAAAAAATGGTTTTTGGCCAGAAAAAATGGTCAAATTTCCTATAGTGCATAGGCTCTTCTCCCTGTTTACGGAATGAAGTTCGTCACCTACGTGGACGAAAATTAAGGCACGTATATTAAAAGATAACTGAGTGTTTTCCCCATTCTCTACTGTTTGAAGTATTTTAAGAGATGAGACCACTCAAAAGGGTTTACTGAAACACTAAAATGAATCCACTACCGAAACTCTTATTTTGTGGCTGGGGTTTATCTTTATGACGACATCTTTAGCATTAAACTTCAGATTTACTTTAAGATAAGGTTTTGCTGAGTTCGGGGTAACGATAAGGCATAAGTGTACTCAACGCTAAAGTGACGTTTGAAGATTTCCGGATCCAACGCGTTGCCAGGCGGATGACTAATCTATATAATTTTGTAGATTCCACATTCGCCGATTTCTTTGCATACTTTTAAGAGCCATCTAAAAGTTCTAAGGGTTTGGGTTTGGAATTTTAGCGCCGAGGTCTCTTGTTCTTATATGAATATTTAATTTCTTTATTTTTAACAAGCCTGCTTAATTAACCTAAATCCAGCTAATATCGTAGGGTAAACATAAATCTAGTCGACTATCCTATATGTGGGTGGCAATGTGACCATTAGTCGCCGTAGACACCTTGGCAACCCCTCCGTCGTCCACGTATCCTAGCTCCCGTTGAACTGCGGAAGCTCGGCGATTTCGCGTCTCCGGCAAAAGTGGCAGAGAAATCAGTCCCACGAAAATAGAGGCTCCGCCGAAAACCCACAGATACAAAACCAGTCCGGGTGCAATTGTGGCCTTAATCGCGTTGAATGCCTAAAGAGAAATGAAGTCCGATTAGGTTGAGACATTGACAATGTGGTCTATAGTGAAAATTACCTCTATCATTCCGAAAAGCAGGAGCCAGGCAAAGCTTGAGGCTAGTGAGTACAGCAAGTCGTGTAGCTGAAATCAGCAAATTAATGGATTAGGCTTCTAGATTTCTATGTTGACATTCATAACGCACCTTTGTAGGCAGAAGCTCGCTGCTCACCACGGCTGCCAGTGGGTACAGACCGAAACTAACCGAAATTTTGCCACGACCACTCCCGTCCTAGACAAAGAAATCTGTTGTTGTTTTGCCCAAGTTCAAAAGAATGCAACAAAAATTTGTTGCGGAGAATCCATACCGTTAAAGTTTAAACATTAAAGGTTACTTAAAGTGTGGTGGAAGAGATGAGTACCGGGTATAATATAGTCGGGAAACTCGACTACAGCCGTCCTTTCTTGTTATTGCTTACTTTATATTTCACTTCCTAGGGAAAACGCAAAACTCACCTATTGCCGTAGCAATACTTTGAATGGCCGAGCCAGTCACTCGCTTTGGCAGGCACATATTGAACTCGAAGAAGTTTCCCTTAAATCCAGGTGGGAGAGAATAAGACCCGTATATCCAAAGGTCGGAGGAGTAGCTCCGGGTGGAAACGCCTGCAGCTGGTTGCACTTAATACCGAACTGAGAATCGCTTAATGTCTATGACTTCCTATTTATGCCCATGGAATCCGACTTATTATCTTGCCTCTACGCTGAGATAAGAGCCGGGACGATGCGACATCCAATTGAACTCCACGGCCCACTCACGACCGGAGACTGCGTCCGGACTTGTATTCATATAGTTGGCAGCTCAGTTGGCCAGAGGGATGAGGTAGTCAGTACACAGGTATATATTTGCTCAACGTGAGCATACAGACCAATTCGGCGATAAGATCCGGGGACGTCTGCCTAGGCTTCTGCTTCTACTGATGATGGAGAAATCTTCGGTGAAATCACTATGCCAGGGTGGTTCAATTCCGTGTTTTTGATTGCTTTCAAGCGAATCAATTAAAAACAATTATGGATTAATTGAAGAAAGAACCAATTTTAATGACGCGTGCGAGAGCTGTTGTTGTTGGTATTATTTTTTATTTTGCTTGTATTACAAAATATTGTATTCATATAAAAAATTAAAGGTTTCTTTATCCAAAACGTAAATCTAAATTTTCTTATTTATATGAAAAAATGGTTTTAGTATGGAAAATGAAAAAAAATGTTTTTAAAGTTTGCGCCAATAGTACTAAACTGATCTATCGTTATCAACCTATCGATACAAAATGTTTCGATCGTGTCTAATTTTTAACTAGGGGTCACACTGTCAAACAGCTGATTTAAGCCGGGAAATTAATCAAGTCCCTTGAATTTGTTATTAAATTGTAAATTATTAAAATGAACGAAGAACTGTGGAATAAAACGTATTCAGCCAACGAAGCAATATTTCGTAGTTCAGAATTTTCAAATACCAGAAGAGAAAACGCCTGGCGTACACAAAAATTTCTGCTCGCCCAGAAAACTCGGTAAGTTAATAAATAATAGGAGTTTTATTACAAATTAAACTTGACTTTTACTCCTTCATTAAAAATGCAGAGAACTGAATGATAATATTCACTATGCCGTGCTCAAGGAACACCAGGACAAGCTGCAGACGGTGGAGGAGAAAGCAATTCTCGAACGACTGGAAAGATGCCAGAAATTAGTCAATGACTGTCGCAGGACGCCCTTGCAAAAATCTGTGAATCTGAAAATGCCTGATGCCAGTGAATTTGAAGCGCCTTGTAGGGGCATCTATGAAAGTTGCCAAGGGAATGAAGTATCGAGCTTCGACCTGCAACGGTTTAGCCTTTTCAAAACCTATGTTAATCCAGGCAAAAGGTCATCATCGGCTCCTGCTGCTCCCAGTCCACAGCCACGTCGGGAGAAGAGCCCTAACTCATGTCGAGATTCAATAACTGACGATTCTAATTGGCTAGGATTCCGCACAGCTTTAGAACAAAAAGCCCTCGACGATATAAAGGTTGGTGCTTGGGTAGTTGGCTAAGTACTTGTCCGTCGTATCAGAAAAGTGGAGAAAAAATAAAAAATTAAATTCAATTTTCAAGTATGTATATCCACAATTTGTATTCGCAGAAAAATAATCAGCAAGCTGCTGGAGGAAGAGCTGCCAACACTGCCCCTTCGGAAATGATGAATTTCCGGAAAAAAACATTGGGTGGGCGACGGACCGTAAACTCCAATTTCGTCTCCCCCGTGGTACAAAATAATGAAGCCTCCAGGTAAATTTTTTGTTTTAGATATTACCACAGTTGTACTTACATTCATTAAATTCAGGGCCAATGAAGGCAGCAACAATGCAACAACCATTCCATCGACTTTGGCCCATTTGAATGCCAAAATGGTGGAGCAAATTCTTGGTGAGAGTATGCATAACTTTAAGCCTGTAGGTAAGTTCCATTCTGTGTTCTGTCGAATTGTCACTTCCTTTGCAATGCCCTTCAGCTTGGGAAGATATTGCTGGCCTCGAGTCGGCAAAGTCTACGTTCCTGGAAGCGATCATTATGCCCCTTCGTCGCCCGGATTTGTTTACTGGTGTGCGCTGCCCGCCTCGCGGAGTTCTGCTGTTTGGACCACCTGGCACTGGAAAAACTCTCATTGCCAAAAGCATTGCATCGCAGGCGAGAGCCAAGTTCTTCAGCATCAACCCGTCCACCCTTACCTCCAAGTGGGTAGGCGAGGCAGAGAAATTGGTAAAGACACTGTTTGCCGTGGCAGCCGCCCATCAGCCAGCGGTGAGTACCTAGTATTCACTCTAAAAAGGTCTTCTATAATGCTTTTTCAACTACAGATAATTTTCATCGATGAAGTTGACTCTCTGTTGTCTAAGAGATCTGGAAATGAGAACGAGAGCACTCTGCGCCTAAAAAATGAGTTTCTTATTCACTTGGATGGAGCAGCCAGCTGCGAAGAGACGCGAATCCTGGTAATTGGAGCCACTAATCGGCCTCAAGAGCTCGACGAGGCAGTGCGTCGTCGGTTCGTGCGGCGCCTTTACGTTCCGTTGCCAAATAAAGAGGCACGTCTGAAAATCATTGAGAAACTCATCAGACAGGTGAAACACAGCCTAAATTTGTCCGATATAGAGCTGCTGGCGGAGCTTATGGACGGCTACTCCGGGGCGGATGTGGACTCCTTGTGCCGCTATGCCTCTATGGCCCCGTTGCGCTCTTTAAGTCCAGCTGAAATGGAAGTCGTCAAGCCGCATGAGGTCAGTTTACCTTATACCAGAGTTACCATCTTGATACCCTTTAATATTGTTGCCATTCTGCCCACAGCTACCTGCCGTTACGATAGGGGACTTCAAAGAAGCTTTGAAGGTCATATCGAAGAGCGTGTCAGCTGAAGACTGCCAACAGTTTGTGGCGTGGAACGAAATATACGGCGTGAAGCATTAAACATGTCAGGAAAGGTTTATTAATACTTTACAGAGTATGCATGCACATCTAATAACACTAAAGAAGGAAATTTACAAGAATATACATTCACAGTATTTAATTATTTTCATTTTAACATGAAAATTGCGTTCGTATACAGCTGATAAAATTAGCCTGCCAGTGCATAAGGCAGGCGATTACTAATTGCCAATTTTAACAAACTGGCATAATTAAACTTATGAACTAATTATAAACCTCAACTTATGTCTGTACTTTGTTCCTAAAAGATTTGAACTCACAGAAGGAAATGCCTTAAGCGTACGTCGAATTACAATTGAATAAAGTTTTCAACGATGATTTATAGTAAGATAACTATTATTTACAGCTTAACATTAATACTAAGATATTTCATAAATACACTTTCAAGATAAAAGTATTACTAATCTTAGTCTATTCTCTATTCTCACTAATCGGCGGGAATACGTAATCATCACTCAGACTGTTGATATCCACGTAGGTGGTCTTTGGCCGCAGCACCTTGTACAGGGCGTCGAAGGTGGGTCGCTTTTCCGGCTCCTCCAGCCAGCACTGTAGCATGATGGTGTACACCTGAGGGGTGCAGATATCCGGCCTCTCTAGCCGGTTGCCTCCCATCAGGAAGGGTATTAGCTCACTGTTGCTGATCGTCGGGTAGGGGGAGGCGCCCAAGGTGCCAATCTCCCAAAGCACCACGCCGTATGCCCAGACATCGCTCTTGCTGGAGTAAACATTGTCGCGAATCGCTTCAATCGAGAGCCAGCGCAGGGGTAGCTGAAAGAATAGAAAATTTGTACACGTCTTCATAAATTCATCACCACTGCTTTAAATTTATCTTCCGTTCAACATTTGTTTCGATCATGGAATTTTTTTCAAGAAGCTGTAATATGTTAAAACATTTTTACTGTGCTGCTGTTTTTACTGTTACTGTGTTCCTTCGTACAAGAAATATTAATTCTATTTAAAATTAAATTTTATGCAGAAGCTTCTAAGAAATTGTATGAAAATTAGAGGACTACATGTTCAAATTTATGTAGTAAGTAGCATATGTATTTAGTATATTCATGCAGACACCGAGTATAGAGAAAAAAGAGATAAAATAATCAGATTTTGGAATCAGATTTGTGTCAAAATTTTGTCACACCCACTCCCGCCCCCAAAATAGAGATCTGTATGTTGCACCAGCTTGTTAATTTTTTTGGAAAATTTCTTGAGTCCGAACTGTTCCATTGGCTAGTCTACACCTGAAATGGGATAATTTTTAGAGGAGTTCTAGACTTTTTAGTCTGTACCCCTACAGAATCGGTAGTATGGTAGTACGGTAGTATAGTACCGGGTATTATATATTCGGGAAACTCGCATCTTGTTATTATTATTTAAATCTTATACTAAGTCCTTACTTATGGGAGAACATGGGATTTGAAAGTGGTTGATGTAAACATTTTCAAACTTTAAAAGTTATACCCTAATTTAATTGTTAATTTTAAGCTTGAACATCTATGTGGATGCTGCCGCGATAACTAAATATTAAAGTAATAGTTAAACTCACCTTTCGAGTTTTCGTGTTTGTATATATTCCATGCCTCGAAAGCCCAAAATCTGATATTTTCAGAGTCTTATTGCTGTCAATTAAAACGTTCCTAGCCGCCAGGTCTCTGTACAAAATATGGAGAACATTTTAGAAAATTTCCGTAAATAACAGACCCAATCATACCTGTGTGTGATTTCCTGCTCTTCTAGGAATCGCATTCCATTAGCAATCTGCAGGGCGAAGTTGTGCAGCTCCTTGTTATCGAGGATGTACTCGAACGGCTCGTCTTCCTCCACAATCGTGTAGGTGGCTGTATCAGTGTTCAAGTTAATTTTCTGTAAATCGATTATATGCATGAATACTTACTTTCAGCCACCGAAGGATGCGGCTGCCTTGGACCATGTCCGTTCAATAGGCTGTGGTTGTCAGAGTTCTCCAGCTCCATGCTCTGTGTGGCTGCCTTCAATTCGATGTAGTTTACACTCTGGGTCTTTTGCGACGATGTGCTGATTGGCCGGCAACTGGTGTAGTTGGCATTTCGATTTTTCAGCTTAGTAGCCTCCTGGCGCACCGTTCGCAAATAGCTCAACTGTTCGGAGAAAGAAACACTTGTTAACTAATTATCTCTAAAAATAGAGTAGAATTTAGCTTACCAAGTTTCCTCGTCCCACAAATTCCATTATCATCAGATATGGCGGCTTTATAGTGCAACATCCCTGAAAGCACACCACATTGTGATGGGTTCCTACGCCTTTGAGCATTTCAATCTCGGCCAGGAATTCGGCCACCTCATCTGCCGTGGGATTGGCTGTAAGAATAAACAAATTTGTGCTTGTTATCCACCATTTGATCCTTTCAGTCAGCGCTTACCCTTAAGCTGCTTCACGGCCACAATGGTGGTGCCCCTCATTCGGCGCAAATTTATGGCGGTGGCCTCGTGAACGCGTCCAAAGGCACCTTCGCCCAGGACACGTCCAATGTGAATGGATGAGTGGGGCACCTCGAAGATGTCTGCCAAACCAAGGACCTGGGACTTCTGCTTAAACGGATGCCGACAATTATAGGATAACATTCATAGCATAAGCACACTCGAAAAGGCTTACCTCCACGTATTTGTCCACGTAGTTGAGGTTCTCCTCCATCCTGAAAGGATTAATTTGTATATTTTTATATATATCTATACATGTATATATAATATATATAATTTATTCCAGAAACTTACTCAATGGCCGAGGTGGCAAACGTTTGAAAATATATCTCCTCTTGCTTCCTCAGCTTGGCCTTGGTCTTTGCTCTTTTATGTCGCAGGATAAACATTATAAGGCCTGCCAGGATTATGGCGATGAGCATGCCACTCATTATTACTATGGAGTTGCTCTGGGGAAAAATAGCACCAATAATTATGGATGAACGAATAACTCTGGTTTCGCCTTACCACGCTGTCGCCCTCCGTCACTAAAACAGGATTAGCAGGCACTAAATAAAGGGAAATATTTTTGGAAATAAGTCAGATAATTAATTAAATAACTTTCTTACCAGGAACCTTGGTAACACTGCGAGGCCCCTCGCAACCTAGGGCATCAATAATGACGGCCTGGAGACTGATGGAGGCCTTTTCCTTGAGCTGTGTCCCCAGTCCTAGTTTGATGCTGCCATCGAAGCCCTTTGGAGTGGGTCGGAAGTGCAACTCGCTCACGTTGAACTCCCTGGTCACGAGATGTTTTAAAACTCCACCCCATGGCAGGGAGGGGTTCGTCTCTTCGTTTATTCTGAAAGAGATATAATTTTTCAATAATGCTCGTTTTAAACCGCAATGGCTAATTTATGCTGTAGTTTTCTGCACACTTTTCTGAGCGAAACATGGGACTTGAAAGGAGTTAGTCATTTGTTAATGTTCCACTTCTATTATTATTCATGAAATTATGTTTGGAAATAGTTACAACTTTCGAAACTTACTTTAATTGCATTTTGTATGTCCTGAGGGTCTCGTGCAGGTGGGTGTCTTGTTCCTTCCGGAACGGATCACTAGCCTGGATGGAGAGATTGATGCTGATGGTGTCATTGCCCACCATTTTGCCCACGGCCAGGACCTTCGGGGGAGTCGGTGTCAGTTGGCAGGAGCACTTGCCAGCCACACATTCTGTGAAAACGAAAAGTTCTGTAGTGCCTATTTTGTTCTGATTTTGAACAGATTCAACATACGTGGAATGTAGACCCTGGCAGAACGCCGAACCAGTGCATTAGAGGTCTCCACTGTAACCTTGTACTGACACCCGAACATGTAGTTGCAATCGACGGACTCCACGTTCAGGTTGGGGTTCATGGGCAGGTAGACGTATCCGGAGTCCGACGGCTTCTGTTTGATGCCGTACTCACTGCACGGCGCATCCGGACAGCGACTGTTATTCAATGCACTCACAAGGACATTGTATGAAGTTCCTGCGTGTGAATTGATTCATTTAATTCATAGTTAAACGACTCAAAGTGAAGGTAATTGCATTTTAAACTCAATTTACCTTCTGGCAAATTATCCTGCCATCGAACCAGCAGTCGCGGAATCTTTTCCATGTAAAGCGTTACGTTTGTACTCAGGTCAGTGATTTCGCCATCGGGTGTGAGCTGAAAAAAATAGCGTAAATAAATGAGTAAATTTCAAAAGAAATAAGTGATGTTTTTATACCCTTGCAGAGAGTAGTACAATTTAATGTAGTAGTGGTATAACACTAAAAAAAAATATTCGGCTTCAAAAATAAATAATTTACAATTCATATCGTGAACCAGCTCTGAATATGATGAAATCTACTATATCATAGGATTTAATTATCTTATCAATTGTTTTGTTGATTAAATCAATAAATTTAATTGTCTTCAAATTGTGTTTTATTTTAAATAGATTCGAGGTATGTACTACATTATAAAATATAATATTTCAAACAATATCTTATTATAAATTATGTTCAAAAACTTATGTGTTTATTTAAGTTAAGTTTAGTTATTTATTTTATCCCATTATAATATGAATATTGGGAAAATATTTTGTTTAGTTATGGTACTATATTCTTAGGTTCTAAATTACAAAATTAAATAATTTTACTTTTTCTTTATTATAATTTTTTCTTTATTTTTTATTTTAGGAAGTCGATTCAAAAACATACTCACATTTGAACGAATTTTGTGAGACGTTTCGTAGGTTTTCAGACTGACATTACTGGCCAAGGGAGGATTCGGTAACATGGTCACATAGTGGTGCATTTGAAGCTCTAGCTCTGGGTGGGCAGTCTGGCCCAGAGTAACCACTGTGGGACTGGTGGTTGTGGTGGTGCTGCTGTTTCCCTGGAGCTGAGAGTCTAGGCAGTTGCACGACTGAAACAGCAGGAATACAGCCAAAAATCCAACTATCCTAGTGCCAAAATCTTCGAATGGCTGCATTCTGGTAAATTGATTTCCTCATAATGAATGGGATTAAATTTCTGCAAAAGAAAGACATTATTAAAAGATATTTATCCAATGTTCAGTTGTATTAATAGGCAGAAATACGCCGCTTCCTTTTCTATCCTTAAAGCTTTCTAGGAAAATGAGCTCATACCCCAACGGAGGAAATTTAATAGGAATGTAAACACACATATGTTTGCCATCGGGTGGCTCTGAAAAAGTACACACATTCGAATTATAAAACTAATTAGTGATGGCTTGACCGGCTTTAACAGCTCATCCTAGTGTCGAATATTACGGAAATTACGCATACCCCCGGGAATATAGGAATTTATATTGCGAATGGCCATTGATCTGGTCCGGTATGTGAAGCCAAACACATTAATGTGGGTTTCAAGGCGCCCCGAGCACTGGCTCCCTCCCCGCCTATCTGGCCAAATTAAAGGCGCAAATATTTGCTCGTGGGGCTGCCTTTTGTAGCTTTTCAAAGTCAAGACTTTGGCGAAAAAAGAAACTTGAAATAGAAAAACAAAACCTTAAAAGCTGACTGCACTTACAGCCAGTTGTTGGATGAGTGGTCTAAAAACAAAGCGACGACAACAAACACACTTAACAGCTGATGGCACATTAATTATATACTTGAATGTCTGCTGGTATTCCAGCACAAGTTTTGCGCGACACATGCTCTTATCATTATCTTTATTATCACTCGAACATCATCATCGCCGCCGTCATTATCAACTTTTGAGTAGACAATACACTGTTTGCTGATTTCATTGGCAATTTTGCTAAGCGACTCTTAACAATGGGAAATAGGAAATAAAGAGCCATTTATTGGCTTAATTCCTTCAAATTTAAGTCAGTTTTGTCTGTGAGGGAACTCGACAAGGAAAGACAAGGGAGATGTTTGTAAAAAAATAGAATAATTCCTTGGAAAAACAAAAACAATCGCCAAACTCCTATTGATTTGAAAGATGCCACCCCCTGATAACACATATATACATTTTTTTATCAACTGTATGATTTAATCTTAAATGTTGGCAAACAAAAAATTCGCAAAAATAATGATAAATAATGAAATAACACCATCTAGGGATCCCACCCTTGCATAACAATGTGTCAGTGGCACCACCCCCTTTGGGGCCATAAATAACGTAACGTAGAAGTCCACGCCTATCAGTAATCCCTATCGGATTTGGAGCCGCTATCGCGCTGATTCAGCAACTTGCTTATTTAATTTATGTTGAGACTTTATCGAAGCCATCGCGACACAACCTCAAAATTTTCAAGCTGGTAAGTTATAAGAAATAAAAGAATTTTTTGTCCACATTTTGATTGTCCACACAATCATTTCGGGGAATTGGTGCAGCATTGGGACCTTGGAAAAAAATAAACCGAATTTTTTGATTGTTAAAGCTGTTTTGCTTAAAACCCGGTACACGAAGAGTTCAGGGGTTCATTGTTAGTACGAGGCAGAAGGAATCTTTTCCAATCCCATAGAGATTATATGTTCATGTATTCTTGATCAGCATCAACAATTTGTCCATCTGTTCGAATGATCGCATGCATCTCACAGATTTTAAGAGCTCGAGCTTTAGGAAAGAGCCTAAGTGAAAGGAAAGATTACCGGATATCGTATCGTACTTGTAGCTAGACACTCAAGACACACTCATTTCCTACACTCAATTAAAAACTATATTTCCACAATTATTATTATTATTTTCTCAATTAGTATTATTAAATGATCCTCAACGAATATAGACATGACTATAAGAAAGTTGTATAAATTTGTATACCCTTGCAGAGGGTATTATAATTTCGTCAAAAATGTGCAACGCAGTGAATAAGAAATCTCCGACCCCATAAAGTAAATACAGCGTCACATCCTGAATTGATATAAGCATGTCCGTCTGTCTGTTTCTACGCGAACTATCCTCTCAGTTTTAAAGCTATCAACCTTCCAATATCCTATAGCTTCCACTCAACTGATTGATTGAAAATGCCATAACTTTGGTGTGTTTAGAGATAGAGTCTTCAGATAAATTCTATGCCAATAACTAAAATATCGGAAATGACCTAAGATTCGTGTTTTTCAATAAAAGGTTGGAACTTTCTACAAATTTTATTTTTTTCCAATTATTTCGACCTACCAAATTGCCTAAAGATCCTATATCGTATAGCTGTCATATAACTGAACGATCGAAAATAGTAATTGGCAAAAACACCAACTTTGGTATTTTTGAAGATAGAAGCTGAAGCGGATTTGTATTGAAGACAAAGCTTAACATCTTCTGCCTACATGAGAACTAGAAAGATCTTTAAAGCAGGGGAGGGGAGGCAAGTCGTTTATAAAAAGGGTAAACCGTACCGGGCCAAGATGACTTCCTTGAGGGACCCCAGATGTAGCACGGACCACGCGGGAATGTTCATTTTAAAAAAAGACTCTTTGTCTTTTGGTCTGTAGGAAATCCCAGAAGATTAAGTTTACTAAACTTAATACTTCAGTAAATTAGTGGTGGTGGAGTGACGCTTAATGAAGCCATGCAAGAGTAAAGGTCTGAGTAGGTGTTAAGAGGAGCCCCAAATAAATAGGTTTTACTCCAATGAGTTCCTTTTTGAAACTGTTTTTATTTTGTACAATTATCTTACAAGAAAGATACATGAAAATCGTATCCCTCCGATCCCTTGAAACTCTATCTTTGGAATTTGTATCTGCAATCGTGTTCAATGATTGAACAGGAGGTGTTGCAATTATACATTGGTTGTCTAATAAAATTCTCATAACTATTTATATCCAATCATAACTGCAAGAGTATATCAACAAAGTTAGCTTTCCTTTCTTATTATTTTTTTAAATATTCATTATTTGGAGGGGCTCCCTCTGTTATGGACTGCAAAAATTGCTGGCCGAGCAATTTCAAAACAGTTGCACGTGCCCGACGCGTTGCCCAGCGCAGATCCGACGCTGGCGGGGATTAGGGCTAATATATGTGTATTAGAATTGTGCTTATAAAGCTATAATTGTTGACACGACATTAGTAGCAGTGGCGACAGGTGGACCGGCAGCCAGTGGCTAGGCCATAAATCAAGCCCTGTCTACCTCGCTTTTATGGTGGTGGCTCCCTCGACTTCTGTTTCCAACTCCGGCATGTGTTTTGTTTTGGTTTAACGCCCCGCGCGATAAAAAACAAAAACAAGAAAAAAGGTGGGTGGGAACTGTGAAGTAGCTGAACTTTATTCGCAGGGGACAGGAACGAAATTAGTCATACATTGAGCGACCCTTGGTCTCCTCTACGTAGACCACTACGTAGAACAGGCAGATGGCACTGACGGCAGCGCAGAACCACATGGTGGCGGCCAGACCCAAGTGGACCATCATCAGCGGGAAGGTCTTCACAGAGCTGAAGGCAAAGAAGCTCAGGCAGCCCAGGCAGAAGCTGGTGGCCACTGATCGGATGCGCTGCGGTAGGATCTCCACCAGGACCACCATGGTCACCGAAATGACTCCCACGTTGGCTATGAATATAATGAAGGACATCAGGCAAACGGGCAGCCACGCGGAGTAGGCCGACATGTCCGCTTCCAGTTCCTGCACAAAGAAGCCGTACAACCCGAAGGCGGCTGTACCAATGCCACTCCCAAAGCAGGAGACTATCAGCAGGACCTTTCTTCCATAGCGATCCACCAGGTACATGCTAGCCAGCGTGCCCACGATCTGGACAGCTCCGATTATAATGGTATTCGTGTTGGGATCCAGCTTGGTTTGCGCCGCGTCAAAAATGTTGGACATGTAGTTGATGAAGGCGAAAGTTCCCGTGAAGATGTTGGCCACCATTAGCACCAGGCCCGTGGCCAGAGCCTTCAAGGCCTGCTTGTTGCCTGGAAATACGAGACCATAAATAAATGGATTGTCTCTTTATCCGGCTGCACTCACAGAAATCTCCCATCGAGAGGCCTTTGTCATCCGAGTCTTTGTTCTGCTGAAGAATAGCTACCCGCATCTCATCAAACTCCTTCTGGTACGCTCGCTCCTCCTCCTTGGACACATTCGGGCCATCACAACAGCGATAAAACCTCAGGGAGCGCTGGGCGTCTTCTTCGCGGTTCCAGCGGATCAACTGCTGGGGAGGTTCCGGGTATCGAGTGGCCAGCAGAACGTACAGGATGGGCAGGCCCACCACGGCACAGGGAATCACGTGATAGGCAATGTGCGAGGAAACAATAAATCCCACCAGAATGCCCGTGTTCATGGTTAGTGTGAAAAACGAACACAATCGCCCGCGAATGCTATTGTGAAGAAGGGAATTCAGCACAAAGGTTAAAGGCTGATGGGCACAGCAAGTATAAAATTTGCAATTTAATATTTAAATTTTAATTCAAAATCTACAATCTTGAAATTTGAAAAATCCAAAAACTTGAATCTACTATTGCAATGCAGTATACGTGATCACGCGTACGACCTCATGGTAAAACAAGAAAGGAAAGCTAACTTCGGGCGGAGCCGAAGTTTATATACCCTTGCATTTAAAACCGGATATATATCGCAAACATCGGATATAGTTGGCCGATCCTTATGGGAATATGAATATATAATCCAATTTATTACAATACAAAATCTAAAAAAAAGTCCCAAACTTCTATCTTCAAAAATACGAAAGTTGATATTTCTACCAAATACCATTTCCGATCGTTCAGTTATATGGCAGCTATGGGATATAGTCGGCCGATCCTAATGAAATTTGGTAGGTTGGATCAACTGACCAAGAATTAAATCTGTACTAAGTTCCAGCTTTCTATCTTCAAAAACACGAAAGTTGGGTCATTTCCGATCGTTCAGTTATATGGCAGCTATAGGATATAGTCGGCCGATCCTTTTGAAATTTGGCATGTCGTATTAATTTTCCAAAAATAGCTCTCATGTCAAATTTGAACTCTCTAACTCTAAAAACACCAAAGTTATACCATTTCCGATCAATCAGTTATATGGCAGCTATAGGATATAGTCGGCCGATCCGGGCCGTTCCGACTTATATACTGCGTGCAAAGGAAAGAAGGGTGTGTGCAAAGTTTCAAGACGATAGCTTTAAAACTGAGAGACTAGTTCGCGTAGAAACAGACAGACGGACAGACAGACGGACAGACGGACAGACGGACATGCTCATATCAACTCAGGAGGTGATCCTGATCAAGAATATATATACTTTATAGGGTCGGAGATGTCTCCTTCACTGCGTTGCACACTTTTGACCAAAATTATAATACCCTCTGCAAGGGTATAAAAAATAGTATAGCATACTTTTCAAAGCCGAATGGCCGGATTTCACTGTAGTTCCTCACACCGCACTTTAGTTTATTCTGTTCTTTTTCACAACTCACCTATTGTCGGCTATTTCTCCAATAAAAATGGGCAGCACCACAAACATGCCCCCGCCCGTAAGTCCCGCGCACACCCGCGCCACGTATAGCCACTCGATGCTCTCGGCGAAGTAGAAGAGAAACCAAATACACTGCGGATCGGAATGTGACACATTAAACCCCTTTCAGATACCAAAAAATCCAAGATAAACACACCGTGTGAGGTACGGCCAATGCGTAAATGGAGACCTTTCTCCCGAAGCGGTTCATCAGGTAGGAGAAGGAGAAGTTCCCGGTGATGCCGCCAATGCTGATGACGGCGCCCAGCCAGGAGGCTTCGTCCACGTTGATGTGGAAGGGCAGCGGCGACGACTCCTGCAGGAGGAGCTTCGGCAGCATGGGGGACAGCCATCCAAGGGCAATGCCATGACAGAAGGTTATCAGCGTGGCTGAAATGGGTTAAATAGATCAACATGACATCATCTCTCCACAGCTTTTCGGACGGAGAATCAACAGCTCAAGTGGCTCATTTGCATAGGCACGCGTGAAATTGAGTTTTCATCCGTCAACTTTGTGTCAAATTCTTGGTGGGTGGATTCGTGAAATTAATTTATGCCCGCACACCATCCAGGCCCATGGCCGGGAAAACTTTCCATTACCCCTCCGAGCTGTAAATCCGTATTATCTGTGCAAACATACCACTCAGCGAGACCAGGAGCTGGCGTCGAAACTGCCTTTGGAAAATCCCCGAGTTGAATATATTAAGAAGCATTTTCGGGATATTAATTTAGCTGGATTGTTCACTTCGATTAACTACGCGTACTTTGGATAATTGTTTAAAATTACGTTGATCCTTGAATCTCGGATATCACAGTTGGGGTGGGGCCTCGGTTTCGAGGAGGTCCTAGGTTCTTTTAAAGCTCTTGCGTGAAAACTTCAGGGTCTGGTATCCTTTTTCCATGCTATGGCGTGGAGAATCCAACTATACTCTGGTTGCTACAGCTGTCCCGAAAATGGCTTGTGAAATAGTAGCTGGCGGTGTATTTATACCCGAATCCGTATCTAAATCTTTTGGGTAAACATCTCCTATTTCATCTAAGAATCTGCGACCGATTACGGAGATTGTGGCATCTCCTGATTACGAACGCATCACTCTACCGAGTGGGCGGTGCCCGGAGCAGATAGAGCTCCGTAACACTAAGCACAAATTCGTAAATCTTCCTGTCTTTGGAGCGGCATCACGTCACGGCATGGCTTTGGTTTATTTTTGTCTCAGTTTGTTGTCAAATCACGGACGTTGATGTGGGAAAAGTTTCGCTTCATTGGTGACGTCGGTTTACGGTTGAAGTTTGTTTTCCTGGCACTGCAGCGGGTTCCCCGACCTAGGGGAATTTATGGTCGACCATAACACCTTTGGCGTAGTTTGAATATGTAATAAAAAGCTCTGGCTCGTGCGAAACCAAAACAAACCAAGTTGTTTGTTGTCACCGCTTAAAATCTTGAATCTAGATTTTTGATAAACCAATGGATGGGGTGATATTTCCCAGCTCTTTTTTCTTTTTCTTGGGTTTAGGCTTGGAAACTATAGGGTTTCCAGGTCTTCTTGCGCCCGAACATCCATATGCGGGTGTATTTCGTATCTATATGGTGGCACTTTGCAGGACAGCACTTAGATAAGCTCCTAGTTGATTGCCCTTTGGACAGATAGCAATCAAAACAGTTGATTGAGGGAACTAATTTACGACACCGGCATGATTCACTCGAGGGGGTACAAACAAATCCGGTGATTTTGTTACATTAATAACATACAAGCATATTGTTTCAGAAACAAGGCAAAAGATGGAAAATTAAATAGAAATCGAAAAGTATATTAAGTTCAGGAATCCCTTTATAAAATTAGTTCTTAAAATATATGTTTATTAGCCTTGCTTTGTTTATAACCTTTGGAAAAACACAACCATAATCACAGACGTAGATTGCAGTTTGAATAGATAAAAATCAATCGGCTGGGTTGTGTTTTATTTTGCTGATATTGTGATGATACAGTGCGGACTTTGGTTTGACAAGCACTCCTGATTATTTTTGATTTAAGCCAACAATGTTTTATAAAACAGAACTAATTCTCAGAAAAAAGAGCTCCTTTTTATGGCGTTTTATATTTTTTAAGTTACTTAGGGGTTATAGGGTATACACATAATGATAATTTCTGGTAGAGTACCAGAAAATGATCCAAGATTCTCTTTCACAACCGATTGAGATATCAGATTGAGAGAGTTAAGTTAAGTTTTCAGTTATATGTATGTATGCTATTATGGTTATAATGGTAATGGTTGTATTGATGTGGTTTCGAAGAATTTCATTAAAAACAAGGTTATAGCTGGTTCGATTGATAGTTTCCCCATGCGTCTTATGCATTTATTAGGTAGAATTATAATATTCTTATCAGAGTTTTTGGTTTATTAACATTACTCACTACGTATAAAGATGGTTAATTTATTTTGACCTTAATATGACTCAAATAGAGGTCACTTTTATAGTGACTTACCAAGCTCCTTTGGTGGCCAGTTAGGGGAGCCATTTGTCTAGTATACCCATTAGATTAGGGCGTTTTGTCAAGTTTATTTCCAGGTGGCATTCGCGCGTTTGATAAGAAATTCTTAAAGAAGGCCGCGAAAGGTTTTGTTTGAAATCGTGTGATAGGTTCAAAGAACATTGCAATCATTAAAAGAAAAATGGCCAAAATTAAACTTCAAAACATAAAACGCTCTTAATAAAGCTTAATGTTAGCTTAAGTGGTCTGTGGGAGCTGTGGATTTTAGTTCGAATGCCTTTCAATTCTGGCTGACTGCTAGGGAAGGCCCCACCTGGCAATCTATACTCATAAATTAAATGCTTTTATTTTAAATAATTGGTTAATTTGTCAGGTGCTGGTGACTGAAGTTCTACGAAAAGTGCGAAAACTTTCCGTCGTGTCTCCCTGTACATGCACTTGAGCATGGAGACAAACCTATTAATAAAAGAATAAATAAAAATAAATTGGGCTTACAGGGTATGGACTACATAATCGCATATGCCCAGACGAAGAGGGTTAAAAAGTTGAGCCCAAAAGAGCAACGACTTTGGCTCTTATCTTGGCCTGCTGGCCTGGGTGTAGAAATGGCGGTAGCCTTACCCGATTTGGTTCGCTTGGGCCGAATTTTGGACGCGTCATAGTACGAGCACTTTTCTAATCGTTATCGCGCACTCGATTTATTGATAAGTTCAATTTGTTTTCCATTTCACGCCAACTTCAACAAATTGTTTTGGTTTGCTGATGGGAAAAAGAACACACAGCTTTGGCGGTTACGAGCCTGGCCGAGGGCCAACATGGAACGCTGTGACTGCTGTCGGGCCAAATGCTCCAATCATGTGAAAGTGATAAATTAAGCATTTGTGGCTGTTCAAAAAGTATTCACCTTCAGAGTGTTTCTGCCAGAAAAAGGATTACTAATTCTGTTTCTCATCTTTACTATTGTGGCGATAAGGAAACAGCCAACAGAAGTCCATTAGATTCGTGCCCGCGTGGACTTTACGCTGGCGATGAATGTGCTGAAATTATCGATTTGGTTTGGTCTATAACTGGCCGTTTTCTGGAAATCCCCCCAATCTACCAAGTCTATCGGCAACTCGTCCATAATCTTCACCACTTTCATCTTTCTAGAGGTCAACGGTCAGTGATGAGTTGAGGCTCAAATGCTATTATTCTAGTAATAGGAAGCTAATGTGTCACAGTCCAAGGACTCCATAAATCCGAGGTTTGAAGCTTGGTTTTCCAATGACATGACTTTCAGCTACAATCCCATCATTTAAGAACACAGATTGGACAACCATCAGAGCGGCAAACTAACCGCAAACGGGCCATTCCAGCTAAACTCCGAATATTTCAACAGCAATTTCAATTACAAGTGAATTTACTGACTATTCCGCTATTCAATTTCAAATTGTTACGAGCCTGTGGCTTGAGAGTTTTAAATATCTGGGTGCAATTGCCCTGAGCTTGTTAGCCAAAATGTGTCCCGCTTTAAAGCTTCCGAGTGTGTCCGACCAGCAAATGCAGAGTATTTGCGAAATAATTGATGAGATACTACAACGACCGCCATTAGATATGTATACCCATTTGTGTGTATGAGTAGATAATAAAAAACCAATGGAACAAAACAACTTGTCGGAAAAACTGTAACAAAATTGTGACGTCAGAAAACATATGTCTGATTTTTGAAATTTTTTATTTGTTAGACACCTATGTGACATATAATATCAAAAATCTTAACTTAAAGAGGTTCATGTAACACTTGACTACAAAAGCTATGCAGTCATATCCACATAACTCTTAATGGGATTGAATATAATGAATTATTATTATTTTAATTATTTTTAAAAATATTTTAAATTTTAATAATACTTTTCTTTAAAACTTCCATGTTGATTTTATGTATTTGTACGGCTACGTAAAAAAAAGATTATAAATATTGCAATGAACATAAAAGAAAGAAAAAGTTTTCCAAACATTTAAGAACTATTAAAACTCATATGTAGGTTCCAATGGGTAATATTTCTCCTGGGTCTCTACGAAAATGTGCCGAAATGTGAGTAATTTGTTTTTGGGCTAGATTGGAGAGGGGAACCACTATAACTTCTGTTCATTGTCGGCTATTATTTATTAATTTAAGCGAGTGTTTAAGTAGATTAAGTGTGGCTACTTAATCATGTGCAGGGTATATACTTTTGTTCTGGCTCGATATTCCTCGAAAGCATTGGGCCCTCTTGGCCATGCTCTCCATTATAAACAACATCATATGCTTTTAAGCTGTAACAGAAGAAGAGGCAAGAGGGTGACCGGCCTGAAAGGGTGATAATTTTTAGTTCGATAATTAGTGGAGTAACCGAAACTGACAAAATATATAGCGGTATATGGGACCCACAATCACACGCGAACGGTAAATGGCGACACTTTGCTTATCACTTAAAGTGGCCTCTGTCGAGCAGAAAAACAAAAAAAAAGAAGCCTCAAATGAAAAAAAATAGCCGTGGCACAATCTAATAAAAACTTAAATACCATCGCCGAAAGAGTTACCCTGTTATATATAGAATTCAATATACACTCTTTGCACCCGAAAAAGGGGGCGTGTTCCGGGCCAATTACCTGGGTGAAAAATCGTACCCCCAACTTGATTGACCTGAGTCAACTGGGAAATTAACTGCGCAGTGCGTGCCCCAATTGAAATGATCGTCGATCAGGTCATAATTCACTCAAGCGACAAGCAAACGATAAAATGATGCTTCGAGCAGAAACATTATTTTGGAATTCTCAGAAATTCTACTCATTGTATCTTGTATCTTCGCCCAAAATATGCGGGCTTCTTCGCTATCTTATCGGTGAATTCAACGCCTTTAGTTACCGGGGCTCAAGCCAAAAACTCGATCAAGATGGATATTTTTCCATTACACTTACCATGTGTGGATTCCTCCACAGTTGGCGCAAGTGCCTGTCGGATTGCTCTCAAAACTGTTGAACTGTTTTCAGGTGATGACTTTGTCCGCAATCATTTCAAGTTATTGTTTGCGTTCAACACTTTTGGCCTATTTGTTTTCTCGCCCCTCCCACTGTAAACATTCGCACTTCGATCTCTTATTATATTGGATGGGAAAAAATAAACGCACAAAAACGGCTGAATGCGGGGCCGGAATCTGTTTCCGCACCACAATACTTATTCGAACGGCTCGCAATTTAATTAAATTTCCGTTGTCCGTTTACACATTCATTCAGATAAATTCTAAGTGTTATTTTCACCGTGCATAGCCTTTTGGAATGCCTCTTCTCAATTCCATTTTTTGATTTATTTTTTATTTGATTTATTATAGATCTATTTTTGAAATCTATCGAACTGAAAAGCACTTTAAATCTTCATTGAAATATATTTTATTTTCACAAACACAGCAACACGGTTTTGAAAATAACTAGGATTATTTTTCAAATTAATCGCCTGGGCAGTATTTTTCGAATTTATTGTATTCACACAAGACAAGCTTGCAGCTTCTGTTGATAAAAATAATTTAACATTATCGAGGGCCGACGATTAAATAATTTTAATGATAGCCCGCTTGAAATTACGTATCCGACGTGGTGACCCAGGACAAGTTTGAGCAACAAGCGTTTGTACCGGAATGATAACAGTTGTTAAAGGTGCGAACTGCCAAATATTGTTTGAAAGCTGTTAAAAGCTTCACCATACGAAATCTTAGGGTTGGCGAATTCGATGTAACATTAAAAGCTTTCCCATAATGAAACTTACTTTTTACACATGAAATTATCCTAAAATATTAAAAAGGTATAATTATTTTTGAACTTATAGAACACTTCATACTTTAATAGAAAATCTAAAATGGAATAAAGTAAAAATCCCTGAAAAATCCTTGAAAAATGATGTTGGCAACGCTTATGTTCAAAGCTTTGCGTTGCCAGATGGTGAAAAAAACTTGTATTTTATTTGTTCTTAAACATTTTGGTAAAATTATATTATAATTCAATTTACATTAGATCAAAAGACCTGAAATTAAATATTTTTAATTTGAATGTTTATTTTTAAAACTAACATAATTAACTCCTTTTTTCGGCTTAGAAAAGGTACCCTGAGAAGAAGCCTGTGGACAAAACTGGTTTGACTTGTTTCTGTTTAGCTTTGTTTTGTTTTAAATTTCGCATTGACCTGGGACAAAGGTACAGAAGTCTGGACCAAGAACACTGCAACCCCTCGGATTAAGAAAAATAAAAAAGAGCAGCGAGAAATAGTCACCCCCGCTTTTGCCGGCAAGAGAAGTCACAAGCATTATAAACAAACCGCCTCGGCCAGGGGCGTTGCATGGGGGGGTGATAACAGACAGCTGATGGGTCTCTCCCGAACGGCGGACTAATCAGCTTGGTTCATATTTTTCGAATTCATTTCGGTTCGTGCCATGCCAGGCGGCAGATCGTGCGGCTCTTCAGTTCTCGGTCCCGGGCGATTATTAACCAGATATATATACATACGTTTACGCATATATGTATATAATTACGCGCGGTAATGCTCAACAGTTAATTACGAGTGTGGGTGTGTGTGAGTGTTGTGTGTGTGTGGGTGATGCACCTCTTATCAGACGGCTCTTTGACACCGCGATAATCAGTTACTTTTCAAATTTTCGTGCGTTCGAACAGAATATTTTGTGGTTTACATGGCCTGGTTGTCCCCCTGCTCCCCCATTTTACCTTTCAACTGCGGTGATAAGCCGCAGCACAACAATAATAGCAATAAAACAGCAAAAGCCATAGAATTTGATATACTTTTCAGTGAGAACTACCTACTAAACACTTAGTAGGCGAGACTAGTACAAAATCGCGAACTTGGTGGAATGGCAGAGGAGCCAATAAGTAGACGGCTAGGCCAACACTTACACTCACAAAGAAATATCAGCTGCTCGGCAGCAGTGTACACCTGCTAGCCTACGAATTAAAGCTCACAAAGAGACATTACAAAAATCAGAACTATGAACGATTAAAAATGCGTCTCAAGTTTTCAAAACAAAGAAGAGAGGAACGTATGGCGGGATGTATACAAATACTCATGAATTTGCATCAGAGGAAAGACGCTTTGAGTGCATTTGGCACGCGATACTCAAAAGCAATTGGCAGGGCATATTAGTTTTGATAAAAGACGGAAAGATTGATATAATTTCTTTTAGTGGGTGATAAAAAGGTATCTACCTTGGAAATAAAAAAAAATGTTAAAAAGTTTTTTTTTCTTTTTGTTAAGTCCTCATAGTAAACACCCAACCAGCCAGTATACTTTTCATATTCAATGTAGGGCACTTGACTGCTCTCCCCTCACAGCCCCATCAAGCATTTGTGTGGTGGAGAGCAGCAGATTATGTCTGTGCATCTCAGTCTGCCCTCTTCTCAGTTTCAGTTTCATTTCGCTCTCAGAGGGGGCCACAAAAAAAAAAAAATAAATAAATAACAACAAAACATTGTTTATGTCTCTCGCACAGCCGCGTCTTACATGGGCGACCATGTGTTGGTGTGCTATTCTCGTTTTTGGTGGCATGGTCCGATTAGCAACAGGCAACCCCGTTCGGCTTTTTATTAAATGGGTTGCCGGTAGGGCCCCGCCCCTAAAGTCCCCTGCCCCTCTAACCAAAAGCGAATGACCTACCAGACACTCACAGGCACTCCGCAAAGAGCGAAATTCAAATTCAAATGAGCGGCTATCACGCAGACACACAAACGCGAAGAAAATATAATTTATTCTAATTGTTGACGCGCCTTAAAAATTAAACAAAAACAGGCCTAAGACGAACGGGCGGAAAAGCTAATTGAATGGGACTGAAATGATACACTACACAACCTAAAGGAGTGAAATCGAATCTGCTTGAAGCCGACCCAAGCCCGAAAGATCAAAAGTGCTAGAAAATAAAGTGATAAAAAAAAACAATAAAACAAGCCCACGCAAACAACCATGTCGAGTTGGAGTTTGGCTAGTGCCGTGTCGCCAAACTTGACAAGTAACAGTGATGTAATCCGGCTGAGCACCCTCAAGTCCAGCTCGGAAACCAATCTTCCATCCAGGGGATCCGCCTCGGGATTGCCCCGCCCAACGACGCCAGTTCCGGGAAGAAAACTCTCCTCCAAGCGACCCCCCCACTTAACCTTGAACATCGGAGCCAGCAGAGCCCAATACAACACAGCGCCCTTGGCGGAAACCGAAAACACGGTCCTCTCGGCCAGCTCCTCCATTTACGAAACTCCCCTGGGCGCTACACCAGCCTCTGTTACGGCTACCACCTCACCTGCTAGAGCCAGCCAAAACAGCCAGGCTAGTCAAGGTAGCCATAAAAGCCAGCAAAGTTCCCACAGCACCACCAGTGGTGGGTCGATCTTCCCGCACGAACAGTACAAAACCATCAAGAAAATCAACATAGGATTCGAAAACATACGCTACACCACCAAGTTTGGAGTTTTTAAGAGAGGTGAGCTAGAGATTGGAACTGCTTAAAGGTTCTTACTGAAGTTTTATATTATATTTACTTGTAATACATAAGTTTGAAGTGTTTACCATATAATACACTATTTTAATATTCAATTTATTATAAAAACAGTAAACGATTTAGATGTAAGGTCTGTTAGTTGAATCTATTTGAGTTTTGAATTTTTGTATGAAAAAATACGTGAGTTTATTTCAACACCTTATGTACAAAGACCCAATTATTTACCAGCCTCGTTGTCCTGTTAAAACAAAAAAAAGTTAATACTGGAGGCAAAGTGTCTCCCTCAGGGTCATGTCGTTGCCCATTTCGTCCCAGTCACGCATTGGCGACAATTATAATTAAGGGTGGCGGTTTAAGTACACACTTGTATGAACACGGCAGTGTCCAGTCAACTCAATTAAAGGCGGCCAGCTTCAAGCGACTCCACTAAGTAAAATAAAAATGAGTTTTTAATGAATAAAAAACGAAACTGAAATGGGGCTATAATTATCTGAATCATTGTCAGTGAATGAATCAAAATCTAGTATAGTCTCGGTTCATCAATCTCCAGATAATGACATTTAGAACTAGAGTGGCTTTTCCCGCATGCCGCATTGGCATTTATATTTTTTAGTTGCCTCTTCATACATACATAAGTACCTTATCAGATCCCTGATACCGCTCGAGTTTCTGATTTAAATATTGGCTAAAGTCCGGCAAACAAACAAAGAAAATACCGAGATATATGCAAGCATCGGACACTTTTTCAATTTGTAATATTGACGAGCTGATTGAGCGAATCACAGGGTCAAAGAGCCTTTTAAACTCAATCAAACAGGGCACATGTACACGCATATGGGAAAGAAGTACACACAGTTACACGAAACAGCCAGAAAATAGGGGTCACTTGTTGTTATCTAAATATAGCACGCCAACCTATTTGCATATTGTCGGCTGTCCCTGCTTTTATGTTTGCTTACTAGTTACAACAGATGATAATACGGCTTTCTACGTGCATAAATAAACAATCTCAGATACTGGATAGTTTTTTGAATGTGCCCGCTTGTGGTGGGCCGAGGAATTATAATTAAGTGCTTTGGTAGTTTGAAACAGAGTGTAATGACTCATAGTGCAGCACTTCTGATAGATGGGCATTACCAATTGGATATTGGCAATAAGCGAGAGTGGCAGGTAACGCTTTCAAGCTGATTCATAGCATGAGTCATTTGAGTATCTGATTATGATCCTGATTAGAATTATGGCACGTGCCAAACGCCGATCGCAGACCCGATACAGACGAACCCTGTGGGGTAATTCCAGTGTTCCAGTCACGACATGCCAAGAAAATCATATGTGTTTGTTGAATTGCGGAAACTCGAAACTGACGAAAAACTCGAACCAAGGTCCCTAATATTGTCAACAAAGCATAGCTCAACCTAGCTTCAGTTACTCGGGTTCCATATTCCATATCTGTAGCTACCATTATCGCGCAACCGCAATAGGCAAAGATAATAACATGAATTTTTTTGTTTCTTGTTAAATTAATAGAAATTTGAACCGGGGAATCCAATCGATTTTCATATAACGTGTTGTTTACTTATTACAAAAATTTTGCTCAAATATGATAGCATTGTACATGCTGGCGCTGTTACAATATTATTAGGTCATCGAGGACGTAAACATAATGAGATATTCTGAATAGATATTAAGACAGACATTAAACGCGATGTTATAATGAAGCAGAGCCTTTTGTTGTGGAAGAAAGGCGCAAACGATTTAATTGATGTCACTTGAGCTCCATTAAGTGACATGTCAGTTCTTTGTTTCATTTGATTTTCCCCTGGTCATTGCGTGTTTTCGTTGTCGTAAGGTTAAGTGAACTCTCTCCCCCCTTTTCCTTAAGACCCCCAACCAGAAAATATATGTACAAAGAGACCGACTTTGAGCCCGGCTTTCGAGATGAGTCAGGGATATGAAAGCGAAAGCTTCCTGTTTACACTCGTACTATTAAGTGGCTGGCATGCTCTATCATTAATTGTTGGCTTTGGATAAAATCAACTAGAACTTCCGGATTGAATGTCCGCCAGGCAGGCAGAGGATTGACAAAGTTATCAGATATCGAATGATCCAATGAGTGGTGCCTTCTGTATGCAATAAAATTGTCTATGATTAATTGACCTTCAAATTGGTATTGAACTTGAAGTGTTGGTGAACATAAGCCTTCCAATGCAGGTGTCTGTTCACTTTCAATACTCATTCAATAGTCTGGTTGTTTGCTCATAGTCCCCCCGCTGAAGAAATTGCAGCTCCAAGTACAAGGCTAAAAGCACTGATAAGGGGCCAACTCCAACGCAGTAATGGGAGTGCAATAAAATGGCTCAGGGAACACCTGTTGCTCCGTTTGGCTTTACTCCAACATCTGGCCAAGGAACTTAAATGGCTGCCTTGACGCCTTTTTAATGACATTTTAGTCATACAAGCACGTTGCGATAAGATTTAACAATGGACTGATTGATAAGTGGGCGAACAGACCCCTGAAATCTAAATTGGCCGGTAGCCACGGCTAATCGGCAGATTAAATGGCCATTTTATACTTGGCATGCGCGTCTACAATGTATGGATAGTTTTTGAAGCCGATCCTCACCGACATACAGTGAGCCAAAGTCTCTTTACGACATTATCGGAAACTGAACATTGAAACAAGAAGAACTGGAAACCCTAATCGCTGGGAACTCAAACAGCCTATCTTTGTGGTTCCAAGAATATAGGACATATTGTATTTTTGCCCAGCTATCTTCTTTGCATGGGAATTATGAAAATATTTAGTTTTTATAACTAATGTTCTCATGAATCGGACATAAAAACTGATCTAAAATTTAAAATTGTTAAGCCTTTATAAACATCTCGCAATAGTGTGCGTTTATTTTAATCGTTTACCCGTTATCAATAAACTAATCTCCGAATTTGAATGGCGTCAGTTTTAGGAATGATTTACACTTCCTAATATTCAGCTAAATAGTATAGGGTTTAGTCGAATTTCGTATGAAAAACGCACGGGCATTTAATTGAATAACGAACTTTATCAACAAAGTCACTAATCAGCTCTGGCACGGAGTCAATAAAACTAATGTGACCTCTTGAAAATCCGTCGACGGAAACTATACAAAAAGGCTTTTCCTTCCATGCAGTCACAGATTTTTTTTGGAAAGATATCTTGGATGTTATTTAATATTTTATTCCTAATAGGAAATCTTTTTATTTTTATTGCTATCTTGTTATTTCTATCAGATTTATTTAAAACCCCCTACGATCGTAAGAGAAAACTCACTACGGTCGAATCAGTAGCTTATATACCCTTGAAGTTAAATGTATATGTCGATATATAAACAAATAAGTCGATCCCTATGATAATTTCGTTTTCAAATAAATCAGAGATGTCAGGGAAGCTCTAGTGATTTGGTAACAAGTCAAAACCACTGAACAATTTTCGCATTTCACAGATTTCTAGAAAAACAAGAATGAAAAGATGTAGTGGGCCGATCATTATGAGAAAATCATAATATGACCAATTTATTACAACACAGAATCTTAAAAAAAAGACTCAAGCTTCTATCTTGAAAAATACAAAAGTTGCTGTTTTTACCAAATACCATTTTTTACAAATACCATTTCCGATTGTTTAGTTATATGGCATAAGATATAGTCGGCCGATCGGTTTGAAATTTGGTAGGTCGGATTAACTGACCAAAAATTGAATCTGTACGAAATCTGAAACTTTTTATTCTCAAAATCAGTTATATGGCAGCTATAGGATATAGTCGCAGCTAGAGAATATCTGCGTGAAAAGGAAAGGTGTGCGCAAAGTTTCAAGTCGATAGCTTTAAAACTGAGAGACTAGTTTGCGTAGAAACAGACAGACGGACATACTTATATCAACTTAGGAAGTTATCCTGATCAAGAATATATATACTTTATATAATCGGAGATGTGTCCTTCACTGCGTTGAACGCAGTTAAACTTAGGAACTTTTGATTTTTACCTGCAGGGGTATAAAAATCTGTTCAAAATAATTTCAAACTTCGACGAATACAGTGCTTTTAAAACTTGAACTTCGAATTGGGACACAAAAATCACTATACACTAAAAAAATCATCATAATTACTATACATCAAAATCAGCTTTAAACTGGATTGCTGTGTCGAGCTGTGCAAAATCTAGCATTTTCTTGCAATCTTGCATGACTTATAAAAATAATAATATAATAATCCTGATCAAGAATATATATACTTTATATAATCGGAGATGTGTCCTTCACTGCGTTGAACGCAGTTAAACTTAGGAACTTTTGATTTTTACCTGCAGGGGTATAAAAATCTGTTCAAAATAATTTCAAACTTCGACGAATACAGTGCTTTTAAAACTTGAACTTCGAATTGGGACACAAAAATCACTATACACTAAAAAAATCATCATAATTACTATACATCAAAATCAGCTTTAAACTGGATTGCTGTGTCGAGCTGTGCAAAATATAGCATTTTCTTGCAATCTTGCATGACTTATAAAAATTTTCATTTTACTAATTAGGTCTACGGTATTAATGTTTTAAGGATCCTAAGGGTTTAAGGGTTACCGGGTATTTTACTCGAAAATAATGCTTAATTTCTTTGTGGCACCCCTAAATATCTTGTATAAATTTTTAGTCTTAAGTCTTTAAATTCCTTCATCAAAGTACCTAAAAGAGTACTTTAAGCAACAAATTTTCATATTTTCAATAATATTTTTACTGTTTTATAGAAACAAAAGAAGTGCTCAAGGGCCTTACTGGCTATTTCAAGTCGGGAGAGTTAAGCGCTATCGTTGGACCCTCGGGTGCTGGAAAAAGCACCCTGCTAAATATTCTTTCAGGATATACGTGAGTACCTTTAGGCCTAATCTTATTTTCTTCCAGACTGATCCGACATCTTTTTTAGGACCTATGGCTACACCGGCGACTTTCACGTCAACGGAAACCGCCGGGATTTAAAGGCCTTCAAGCCCAATGTTGCCTTCATCCGTCAGGATACGAGCCTGCAGGCCTTACTAACCGTTAAGGAGGCTATGCATTTTGCCGCGAATTTAAAGATAGGCACTTACATGACTTTGCCCGAGAAGCGAGAACGGGTGACAAGCATCCTGGAGGCCATCGGGATGTACGAGAACCGGCACACTATGACTGGGCAGCTCAGCGGGGGACAGAAGAAGCGCTTGGCTATTGCCCTGGAACTGGTTAACAATCCTCCTGTGCTTATCTTGGATGAACCCACAACGTAAGTTGTCTTTCGTAAGGTTTCGTTTGTATAATCTTGAATTTATTGAACTGTTGATATCTTTAACGCAGGGGCTTGGACAGTTCAACTTCCAACCAGTTGATAAATCTTCTCAAGAAGCTCGCCGAAGAGGGCCGCACAGTTATTTGCACAATTCACCAGCCGAGTGCCTTGACCTTTGCCATGTTCGACCACATGTACGCCATAGGAGAAGGTCGATGCATTTACGCGGGTGGCTCTCAAAATCTGCTGCCCTTCCTGGCCGCCCTTAATATGCACTGCCCTGAGTCTTACAATCCAGCGGATTACTGTGAGCCCCCAACCTAGTTTTGAATGAATGGTTAATAACAAGATTGGTTTTTTGTAGTAATGGAGATAGCCACCCATGATTATGATACACCCGAAGAGAACCAGTTGGAGAAACTAGTGGCTTTAATGGACAACGGTCGCAATGAGGATTACAGACAGAACAAGACTGCCCGAGTAGCACAATTGGCAGCTATGAAAAAAATAGGTAGGCTCAGTTATTATTTAAACAAGTTTGCAGAGTGATCGAACCATTTCTTTTACTTGAAGATCAACTCATGGCTGCTGGCCTAATTACACCCGTAACTGCACCCGTAATGACCACCTCGATACCTGCACATTTTCTACAATCCGGGGGATTCAAGCCCTTGACGCCCATCAATGAGCTATCCTCTCGGTTGTGGGACAGTCAGGCGGGGGGTATCGGAAGCGGCGATGTGGGTGGACAATCCTGCTGCAAGCCAAAAAAAAGAAGCCCAGGCCAGCTCTGGACTTGGATCCATCTAATCTGTGTAAGCGGGAGAACATATACGCTACGCCCTTTTATCGCCAGTTGGGTATCCTGCTGTTAAGGACCTTTCTGCTGATTTGGCGGGACAGTTCGCTGACCACAATGCGGTTCGCCATTCACCTCATTACCGGCCTATTGATTGGAACTCTCTACTTTGGAATAGGAAATGATGGCGCCCAGACACTGAACATTTTTCGGTACATCTTCTACACGATCATGTTCATAATGTACTGTGCCTTTTCGGGGATCCTCGTAAAGTGTAAGACAAGCTGATTCATGAGTAACATCTATGATATTTGATTGAATTCCTTTTCTATAGTTCCATTGGAATTTCCGATCGTTTCGCGGGAACACTTCAATCGCTGGTACTCTCTGAGGGCTTACTACGTGGCCATCACTTTGGCGGACTTGCCGATCCAGATTATTTGCAGCGCCCTGTTCATAGTGCCCACATATCTGATGACCCAGCAGCCCCTAGAACTTTGGCGCTTCAGCTTGTTCTTCCTCATCGTGTTCATAACGGCATTGGTTTCACAGAGCATCGGTTTGGCAGTGGGAGCCGCTCTTAGTTTGAAACTGGGCTCCATTCTGGGCCCCTTCTTCATCTGTCCCTTCCTGCAGTTTAGTGGATTCTTTCTCATGGAAAAGGATGCTCCGGTTTACATGCGCTGGATGTTCGACATTTCGTTTCTTAAATACAGTCTGGAGGGATCCATGATGGCGATTTTCGGCTATGACCGCGAACGTTTGGACTGCGATGATATGTACTGCCATCTCACGAGGCCGAAGTTCATTCTCAAATATCTGGACATGGAAAATGGAAGTTACGTAATGGCATTTGTGTTTCTGTTCTGCATTTTCATCTTGCTACGCATTCTTGCCTTCTACATAATGTCCTTCCGTCTCAGACTGTTCAGATGAAACGCGAACCAGGATTCTGCCAGGCAACATTCCGCTGACTGTTTGAAGATTGTTTTATATCGATGGTTTCTTATTTAAGCATTTATCGGAGGGGAAATTTTGTGCCAAAGATTATAGGAGCCTTTAGAGCGTAAGAAAATCGTGATATATAACTGAAACAAAGGATAATAGAATCCCCCACCAGACACCCAAACACACACACACATACATGCAAATATACACACTTAGCGGTTATAGAGATCGATAACTGTAAATAGGACATTTTTTACTAGAGTAGCACATAAACAAATGTATTTTTGTATTGTATTAATAAATGATTTATTGAGTAGTTGTATCACAGGTCTGATTTCAGGCCTTGGATGCGAGATGACCTTGAAAAGATTATTAAACTATTTTTCCATGAAACTGAAAATGCTTTTTTATTTGGTTTTGATATTAAATAGTAAAAATTCATTACGGTTGGGCTAACATAGGGAACCCTTGCTTAAAACTATTGGAAATTAAATAAAATAAAATAATTAATAACATTAATAAGATGCTGCTTAAAAGTATGCTGCAATTTTGACGATCCTCATTCATGAGGATCATACTCGAATGCAACTCAGACATGTTGGTTGATTTGGTTTCAGTTGAATTACAATTAATACCAGTGACCGACAGTTGAAATTATTAGTGTTTGGTCCCAGTTCACGTTATTATTATCGGCTATACTAGGCTCGTGAATGCGTTACTGATCTAGACTCTAGATTCTAGAGAGTGGCCGTCGGTGTCTTGTAAGTTGGAGGACAGGAACCCGTTATTTCCTATTTAACCGACCGTACTTCAAACCTTACCCGGTATCCGTACTCAGATTTAAAGAAAGTGTTCTCATTAAGATGGGTGGATCTTGTCTCGTCGTCCCATCCGCCGATTCGCGATCGCGATCTGAATTTCAATGAACTTTTTGTGTTACAAAATCGATAAACGCGTGCCAAAATCAGTAATCATTTAAAAATGCACCAAATGAATTGTTGCATTACGGGTACCTGGCACTCATTAAAATCATTGTTTAAAAGTTACTTATTGAAACCCGTTTTCAAAGTGCTTCATATGCACATTATATGTAAAAATATAAACAATCTGAAAGACGTTCATTGACAGCTGCAAGTGCACATTTTCCTTCTAAATGAAAATTGCTGATAAGCAGCAGCTGCGCCAAATCTCGTTTTGTGAATTCCAGTCTAACGCCCAACTTCAATCGTATAACGCAGTTAGCTGTAGATACGCTACTTTCCATAAAGACTTTTGTGTAAGAGCTATCAGCGGTCATTGTTTCTTGCTGTTCGGGGCTGTGTATCAATTACCGAATATAAGCACATACAAACATACGTCAATTATTAATTTCACTCTCTACGATGCTATGAAAAACAGTGGCTCACTTTTAGGCGATTTTTAAAAGAGTGAAATGTTTGGAAAGTTGTGTTATTGTTAACATTATAAAAAGAAGTTATGCTACTTGTTTATTTTAAATTATTGAACTGAATAGATAACAATTTTGTTCAGCCGTCAGTAAAATTTATAGTCACTCAGACCGAAAAATATAATTCCACTATTGTTTTATTAGCCTTGAAACTAGTATAATCAAAAGATTAGCTCATCCATTTTAATTGTTATATTCATCCCAACCGTTTTTGCTTTTTCCATCAGGGTAACCCGTTTTAGTTTAGTGCACCTGACCTTGGACAAGACGCGATTGGTTTGGCTACTGGAGCTTCAGGTGCATTCGATCCCATGCAAGTTGCCTTGCAACAAGTTCGTTGTCGGGAACTCTTGACCTTGGTCCGAAAGTTGATTAGATTATCCACCCACGAACCCCCCTTAATCGGGCGACGGCTTCGACTCCAAATTTTCGCAAAATCGCGAAAGCAGCAGTTATGTACTCTCCGTCGGCCCAATAAACTTGTTAGCCGCCTGAGAGGAGTTTGGCAGTCGGCAGTTGAGCGAGCTGGTTTGCTGACCGATCGACGTCTTTCAGAGGAGTCGTCCGCATAAACAAAAATCATATAAAAACAACAGCCCGCACGGGTATCACAATCATAAACAATGACTGATAACGCGTTACCAGGGCAGCCAAACGGACTGGTCCCAAAGCAGCAGGCCCTGGAGTTGCACTTTAGCCAAGCAAATTACAGCTTAAAAGGATCTTCCAAGAGTTCAAGCCCCATCCTTAACGAGGCATGCGGCGTCTTTAAGTCCGGTCGACTGACGGCCATTTTGGGGCCTTCGGGGGCGGGAAAGTCCACCCTGCTTAATGCATTGGCTGGTTTCAAGTAAGTACATTTGAACCTATTTTTTTATTTTTGAAAATGAGAAACATTATTCACTAATATTTATTTTCAATTTATATAGGCTCAGAGGTGTTTCTGGGCAGTTCCTTTTGAACGGACGAACCAGGGATATGATGAGTTTTCGCAAGATGTCAGCCTACATATCCCAAGACTTTGTAATGCTAAATTTTCTGACTACCGAAGAGACGTTACGCGTTTCCGTTAACCTAAAAATGCCTAGGGGCACAACTCTTGCCGAGAAACAGAAAACTGTAAGTTAGATAATCTCTTTTTAAAATATTTAAACAATTTAATAATTTGCAGATAGATGACATCATAGAAATTCTTCAGCTCCAATCCTGCCGACACACTTTGGTGAAAAATTTGTCCGGTGGCGAACACAAGCGCCTATCGATCGGCATTGAGTTGGTGACGAATCCGCCTATTATGTTTTTTGACGAACCCACAAGCGGCTTGGACTGCGTGGCTAGTTACCAGGTGATCTGCCATCTGCAGCGGTTAGCCCACGATGGCAGGATTGTGGTCTGCGTGGTCCATCAGCCCGGGTCGAGACTTTTCCAGCTGTTCGACGATGTTCTTGTCCTGGCCCACGGAGAGGTCATTTATGCCGGAGAGCAGCGCGCAATGTTGAGTAGCTTTGCTGAGTCCGGCTTTATTTGCCCGCAGTACTATAACCCGGCTGATTTTGGTACGACTCCTATCTTAACTGTCTACGAATATTGATTTAGTAGTATGCATCTTGCTTTTCCAGCTTTGGAGGTCTGCAGCCACTCGACCTCCATAGAAAGATGCGATTCCCTTATAAGACAGAACAAATTGAAGCACAGCAACCAAAGCAACATCGTTAAACTTCAGGTGGATGAGGAGAGTAAGTTTCATGCTAGAAGTGTTTCTCTGAAAGAGGATTCTCACCCGTAACGTTTTGTTAACTTGACACTCGTACTATCGACCTTCTTACTATTGCACTCTGTTTCTTTTTACATTTTTACTTTACTGCACTTCAACCTTCTTTGCTCTATCTGTCGCATTTTCTTCTGTCCGCACTACTTTTTTCTCAGCAGCACTCATCAACGTTGACCGCGAGGCGTCCACCTGTAATTTGAGTCACCTGCGCGGCAAGGAGCAGGTGGGCTTCTGGTACCAGCTAAGCGTGCTTCTCTGCCGCCATTTGCGCTCAATGTCCCGGGATTTGGTATGAACCATCACCAGCAAAACTAACTCTTTACTCAGCTTGGATTTATTTTCAGATGGCCGTCCAGATGCGACTGATAATGCACGTTGTGATAGCCCTGCTCTTGGGCGTGGTCTACTGGCAGATCGGTGCCGATGCCGAAAAAATCGTGTCTAATGTGTCCTGTATATTTTTTATAATCCTTTTCGTCTTCGCCGGCAACGCTATGCCCTCCATCCTGCTTTGTATCCAGGACTCAGCGGTATTTATAAGAGAGTATTATAACGGCTGGTACTCCCTGAGAGCCTACTACATTTCCAAGGTCTTGGCCGACTTGCCTCTGCAACTGGCCTGTCCCACGCTCTTCATCAGTATAGGATACTTCATGAGTGGCCAACCAGCCGAGTGGCAACGTTTTGCCATGTGCTGGGGCATCTGCGTGATGACTGCTTTTATAGCCCATTTTATTGGTGTGATCGCGGGGTCCCTCTTTCCCATGCCTCTTGCTATATTTCTTGTGCCGAGTGCCACCATTCCATTCCTACTCTTTTCTGGCTTCTTTATCCGCCTGAACGAGCTCTCCTGGTTTCTGCGACCCATCTGCAATGTATCCTTCTTCCGCTACATATTCGAGGGCCTCCTGAGGGCCATTTACGGATATGGCCGGGGAGAGCTCGAGTGCCACGCCGCGTTGGGATACTGCTACTACAGGTCAGCCGATCAGTTCCTTAAAGACTTCCAAATGCAGGGCGATGAATTTGGTTGGGACCTCGCGGTTCTAGGGATGTTTATGGTATTCCTGCTAGTTTCCTTTTTCTTCACCCTGAAGGCAGTAATTCGACGAGCCCTACGGTAATAGATTTTTGTTTTTTAGATACATTTTTGTTATTTATTGTTTTATTTTGTAAGGTAAATCAATACTATATTACATCATTTGATGTTCGGCTGATAAGCTTGAATTAAACCGTTGTTATTATACATAATAAGGTAAAGCATTCTCTTTACTTATTTGCTTAAAACAAATGTATATATAATGGAGGTCAACCTATGTATATATATAGGGGTATAGAACTCGTATTAAAAATGAGGCTGTGGTTATCACTCATTACTAAACTTTGAATTCGCATTGACTAAAAGATTTCATCTTGAGTTATACTTTATAGATAAGAGTTTCTTTATTTCTGCTAATAAAAATAAATATCTTTCATTTTTAAAAAAGAAAGTTATAATTCTTGAAAATCATAAGTAATGTATTAATTAATGTAATATATTACAAGTTAAAAATTATTGTTTAAATACATTGTAATGATAATATTTACTAATATAATATTTAATATAAAGTATTGAACAATATTGTTGATAAGACACTTTTGAGACATACACACAGAAAACCTCAATTGAAATCTACAATATTACAGTACCTATCAGCGTCGAAGTAAGTTAGTTCGGTTTTTTCTTCCAAAATGTTAGGAACCCCAATGACTTTTTCTTGGCCATTAATCGTCCTAACTCTTGCCGCTTCTTCGGTGGAGCACTCGGTTGATGCCCTATCCATCACCAAGGCTTTCACCAAGATCGGCGAGCGATTCTACTACATTGAGGAACAAGAACAGCAGTCTTGGTATACAGCCCTATCCTCTTGCCGACGAATGGGAGCTCATCTGGCGACCTTGAAATCAGAGAAGGAACTTTACGACTTGGATGCTGAGCTCCGCATACGCAACCAGGGCTACTGGATTGACGTCAATGACTTGGATAGAGAAGGGCAGTTCGTGTCCTGGACAACCAGCAGCCCCTCACCATATCTGAAGTGGAAAGCAGGCGAACCGAATAACCTGTACAACAAGGAGCACTGCGTCGATATTTGGGATGGTCTGATGAACGATGACGACTGCAGCGACAAGCGCTATTTCATTTGCCAGGCAGGTGATGGAATTTAGCAATTTATTGCTCACAAAATGGATGTATTTAAAATCTTTTTAAAATAAACTTTAAACACCAAAAATTTTTGTTTTTCACAAAAACTTCTAATATTTAAATATTTTATCGATAAAGAATAAATTATCTACACTGCGAAAAACTAAAAATAGCATTACGTTTTGTAATGCTACAAAGGTGTTATTAACTAAAATCTTAGTTATTTCACACTGTATCGTATGCTAGAACCCAGTTACCGGAGAACACATTTCCGGACTCCCTGGGGCGAGAGCAAAAACTTACTTGCGTGAACTGCGTGAAGTAAGAAATGCCTGTGCAGTATAACATGGTTCCTTGGTAGCGCGTTGCGTAGCCGAGCTGTGGCGCCCCAATTGAAGAAGCCACCTGGCGTTGACGCAAGAATCAGAAAACACGTTGTACAATATCTCTTTTGCTAGAAAAAGAGAAGAAGAACTTCGAAAGCTCGATCTACGACGCCATCAAGCTAAGCATTTATTCTTTATATGGTTAATCTTAAAACCTTATAATAAATATAAATATATCTTCATATATCTTAAATATATCTTAGCAACATTAAACCGAGTTACTAAAGAGCAATCGCTTTTCGCAACACCTTCAAAGTGTTTAATTACATATGTATAAATAAACAAAAATGTTATTAATTAAGAGACCAAGGCTAAAGCGAAAATTGGCATCTGATCTTGTCGATAAAACTAAAGATTCCATGCCTCTGTTGTTGCATGCAACTTCTACATTGACCAAAAAATTGAAAACGGGCGACTTTTCTCCTATACTGCAAAAGAATTGACTAGAGAAAATGACGAACCAATTTAAGTAGAAAGAAATGACAATAATAAGTCCTCAAAATGATTTAGCCTTTTTTATTGAAAACAATTTAACAAAACGACATATATTAATAAGCACCAAGTAAGTTCCATGGATGCGGTATTTATCCCCCTTTTTCGGAAGTTACATAAATGAAAATGAAATGCAGACCAGAACGAGATAAAATGACTTATTCTGAATCTAATGTTGAAGTATCGCTGCAGAATTTATAAAATCATTCTGCTGACCGTATATTTGAAATGCAGAATGACAAGATTGCTCATTTGCAAGCAACGCGTTGCAAATTAATTGTCAACTACCGATTTGAAGGCTCAACAGGAAAAAGTATATATAAGCAGCTATTTTACACGGAGAAGCCTGTTGCATTAGATCAGTCACTGTTTGTAACTACATTAATTCCCTTGAATTTAATAGATTAATAATAAATTCTTCTCCTTAATCTGTCATATTGAGAATTGTAAGAATTAAAATATAATTTATTAGGGAAACAACTGAACTTATAAAAAATAAAAAAACCAACTTGAACGAGCAAATAAAAAGCCTTAAGCCTACACTTGCGAAAAGCAAATAATAATAAGGAAATATGAAGCACATTTGACTTAAATCGATGTCAAAATTTTAAATGTGTTAACAAATCCTGTACAATCCTGGTACAAATCCGATAATTAACGCTGACGTGTTCAATAGAGAATGGGATTCCTCTGCTTTCAACTATAAATCTAAAGGAACGCCAAAGATTGAATTATCAAAAATGGCTACCCAGAGATGTTATAGCTTTTTTGGAATCTCCTGATATTGAGCTTTCAACAAGAAGGGAATGAGTAGACAAAAATGTTAATCAGATAGAAAAAGTCGGAAATAATGAATTCGATAATTCCATTCGGGCTGGATTAGGTGGAGTTTGTTGGGAAAAGCGTTATAATTTCAACAATTTCAAAAGCTACAACATTTAACTATTGAAAAATGTAAAAAAATTGAAAATCGGCCTAAAATTACGGGTTCAGGAATTTTTAAGAGCAAAACACTTTCGAAAAACCGTTTTCTCGAAATAAATCAAGATTTGAGGGTGTATGAAAAATTTCAAACATGGTTTTATTCTATACTCGACCTAATGAACAATGACTACTAGGTCTCTTCAAAAGTTCCAAATCACTGTCGCACTGTGTTTTTTATGTATTGTGGTTCGCTTCCACATTTACAAGCAAATACCAAGTGAAGACTGAGCGTAGTATCGCACAAGTTCACTTTTTGAATCATTTGGGGTCCGATTTCGAATTCACTAGAAGTAGTAAAGATCGGATCCGCAAGCAAATCGTGTAAAGATTTCTTCGCCAACGTTCGCTGGGTGGTCTGCTGGGTAGCGCCAAGCTTCACAGCCTTACACAGGTGGATGCAGAAAATTGGTAGAATTTTAGAAAAAGAATGAGAAAAATCGAATTTCTTTAATAACTTTTGAACGGATTATTGGGCTGATTGAGGTGTCAATAGTCGGGTATTAAAAATTATAATGTTTTTAAAGAACATATACAGTATTTTATGAAAATATTTTGTCTGGAGACTCGAATGTCCACTCTAAATATAGTGAATCAAAATATCTTTACTTTCTACCTTGGAAAGTGTTTTGACAAAAATTGATTTAATTAAAACAATAACTTTCGATTGCTATTGATTCAAATCAAAGGCACACAGAAACTTGTTAATCGGCTACACAATATTTTATAGTTTCTTCATGCGCAATCTAAGGCTTTCGGCATGTTAAATAAACATAAAAAGCCTTTGGCATTAAAATCTTTCCTGTCGTCTAAACCTGACACCTTGTTTAAATTTTATACTGTTTCGTCATATTTATTTTTGAATCCGAAATGATTTCCGAATTTTGTCGAGTTTCCTTGAGTGTTGTTTTTTTTAAAACAATTTCAATCTTTCAGATAGGTTTGAGTCTCTGGCAACGATGTTCGAAAAAATTTTAATGAATTGTGAGGTTTGTGCTTTGACTATGTATGTGCAATCGAAAAATCAAAAAGCCCCGTTGGCGCCACTTGATTTAGATTTGAAAATAGGCGGGAAAAGTTTAACTCGCAGGAGATTTGAAGCAGAAACAAAATTGCGAACTTTTCATTATGACAAAACCTTTTCGCTTGTTGGAAAAAATGTTTTTAAACAGAATATTTAATTTTGACTTATTTGTATTCAGTAAAAGTTACAAAACATGGTTTTAAGGGGTAAGCTAGTGCGGATCAAATGGACAGTTGAAGTACGAATTTCGTCGTTATAGATTGTACGCCTGGAGCACTAACCTTTATAATATTTTATAAAAATCTTGAAATGTGTGGTACCCAATAAATGCAAATTGTGGTTTATTTTGTTTATAAACCCAACGAAATTAAAAAAAAAACGAGAGCGCTAATAACATATTTGGAGGGAGTGTTATTTAGAACTCCCGAGACTGTCGTATAGGACAACGGGTCACAATTTCGGTCTCACACATTCCAGAAGTTAATGCATCAATATGGGGTTAGGCATACACTCACCTCTGCGCATTCGCCACAGGCTAACGCTTCAGAGCGAGTAAACCGATCGGTGATAGCGAGGGTTTCGAATTTCAGGACTTAAAACGCCATTAATTGCAGCTAACACATGGCAGAATTTTGGCTGACTTACTGCCGCTGCACTATGGGTCCAACGAATGTGGTCGTGGCCAAATGTAATTTTTAAAAAGTCCTGAAAATAAGGATCTAATGACCTCATTACCTTAAGATAACATTAAGCCCCCCCATGGACCCATGGTTCATACCAAAAAAAATTAAACAGACTAAGCCACTGTTAAGATATAAGCTGTTAAATGTCACTGATATTACCAGAGAATAACACATGGTTTGGCAAGTAAATTATTGGCTTTTTTAATATCTTTAATTTTGAACTAAATATATTTAAATTTGATATATTTTATAACACTCAAATCAGTGGGACTTTTAGAGGGTTTTTGGGTATGTCCATTAAAGGCGTTGATCGGTTTGTTTTTGTTATTGGGTGTACACCTTTAAAGGATAAATATTTAAGGTAAATCAAAACTTTGAAAGGAGGAACAAAAAAAGATTCACCTTAATTTTTATACTGTGTTATAGAATGTTTTATCCACTTTCAATGAATGAAGTCTTAAAGTGCCAAAAATCAGTGAAAAATCTCTTTCGATTTACTGGTATTATTAAAGGCCACAAAAAGTGGTCGTTGGCCCCATAGTGCACTGTGTCGCGAGTCTTCATGGCCTTTCTGCATTTTCGATAATTTCGCAAAGCCCAAAAATGCATTTGCCAAGCTATTCGTGCCGTCTAAGAACTCGCCACGGGGCCGGGGAGAAGTAGGAAATTACATTATTTTACGCTCAGTCGTGTTGTAAATAGATAGAAAATTCGTTTACAAAAATATCCCTATGAGCTTTAAACTTGCGTCAGATTTGCGTTGTAAGGGAGTGGGAGTGTGAGAGTGCGGTGGAATCAATTAGCTTTCTTGGGTTGCCAAAAGGACTACAATATAATTATATATAATGAGAAGCTACCTGTAACTGGACATCTGCCGCGGGCTGCATACCAGGATACAGGACAGAACTGTTAAATCAATTTCGATTCAAAATTAGGTATGTATTTACCTTTAGGAATAACACTAAAGAAACATGAAACCAAAAATATAGATTCGTAGCATCCGGTTAAATTTAACTGCCCCTCACTAACTTTGTTTTCATCTCCAATGACCCAAATAGACAGAGAATACTGTTTGCAGCTAAAAGTTTGGAGGGTGCAGATGGGAAATATCGGATTGATGCCAGATGCCAGATGAAATTGCGGTAAGTGCTCTAGACCCGCTGGTCTGCTGGTAAGAGTTCAGCTTGAAAGCTCTACGATTGATATCGCCCCACCACGAAGTAATATGGAAATCATGTAAATATGTGTTTTTATAATTACTTGGCTGCGACTAGGCACCTGTAAATCGGGAACAACAAATGCTTTATCGCAGACAAACAAATCGCTTTATGAAACTTTATAAATGGCATCACAAACTTGCCATGTTTTCGAATAAATCAAATACAACAAACATATCCGAGAAAAGTGCACGAAACTTTGCCGGGCAACACTTTTGCTTTTATGTTATTTATTTTGTGGCTGCCTCAAGACGTTGCACGCCACGTCTTTGGCCACTGCAATCGCTGCCGCCCTTGCCGCTGCAACCTTGGCAATTTATGGGCTACACTTGTTACACATACGACATGTGGGACGTGTGCAGCGGCTAAGACAAATCGATGGCTGTTGGCGTTGCAGCCACTTCTTTTGTGGCACAAACAATGGCAAGGGTATAATTTATTGAACACTTTGTTGCACTCGGCACTATTCTTAAACCCCGAGCCCAAGAGCTATTAAATTAAGTATTTGCTTGCGCACCTTCGTGTTAGTACTTTCAGTAATTTGTTTCTTAATAATAATGCGTTAGACTTTTTCATAGTTTTCAAATAAAAACGCACTTGACATAAATGCTAAAATTGGGGAGAATGTAGTAAAACTGAAAAACAAAAACAATTACATTATTTACGTATGCTTATAGTGTTAATCTTGTTTTAAATAAATTTTAGATGGTTATGGAAAGATTAATACATATACATAATCAATAAGTCCCGAGACTTACAATGAAAACTGCTGTTGCTGTTCTTGTTCCATCGAAAGCAATCGCGGCACTCACATGGAAAAAAACCTTTTTCATGTTCAATTTTTTATGAAGTATAGTAAATACACTTCCGTATGATATCTGTGTCTTTCATTATAATTTTTTTCACTTCACTCACACTTTCCGGTGTAACGGCTTCCACAGGTCTACCCGAGCGTTTAGCGTGGTTTGTGTCGGTACGACCACGTCTAACTCCGGCAATAGCTGCCATATAACTGATCGGAAATGATCTAACTTTCGTTTCTTTAAAGAAAGAAGTTTGGAAGAATTCGGACTTAGATGTTATGGCTCCGCCATAAGTTAGTTTCCTTTCTTGTTAGTTACAATAGGCTGGATTGTGAGACTCTTATTCAAAACAATTTGGCATAAAAATGGTAAAAAAAATAAATCTCAGAAAACAAGAATGGAACCTTTGCAAGGTTTTGTCGATTGTCAGTTTTATGAAAGTTGTATTGCTGTCATAGTCAGCCATAATCAATAAAAATGTCCTACTTTGAGAAGATTAAAAATGTATCTACTTTATTTACATTAAGAGACTCTCTTCACACGTTGCATACGATTGAAAAAATTAAAATGCCTTCTACAAGGGAATCGTAAAAATAAGATGAAGTTGGTGTCAAAAATTTGCCACGCACACCCCCGCCCCCAAAACAGAAATCTGGTTGTACCACCAGTTCGTTAATGTTTTTGAAAAATGTTTTGATGCCCGACTGTTTTAATGATCAAAAACCAACAAAATCGGTAATTTTTAGAGGAGTTTTAGATTTTTTAGTCTGCCCAAGCCCAAAAATATGCAGCAAAAATTTGTTGCGGAGAATCTATGCCGTTAAAGTTTAAACTTAAAATTTTAGTTAAATAATATAGTCTGGAAAATCTACTAAAGTCCTTTCTTTTTTTTTTTTTTTTTTTTAAATCACTTATTTAATAATGTTTTTTACTCACTTATGTTTGTGTTCATTAGCATGAGGGAATATGTAATGGAAAACATTAAGCACTACCACGGATTTATTAATGGATTATGCACATTCGTTGGACTATATAATTTAGTTCCATCCTTTAACTAAAATTGTATTGGCACTGTGACAAATGTAATTAAAAAAAAGTGCTTGCTCGAATTACCAAAACATTTATTAATTTCGTGGCTCCTCTCACTCCCCTCTCTACAACTACAATATTTTTGACCCGGAGGGATTTTGAAATTAATTATGTTTTCATATAACTGGGGAACTAAATTGAATGGGCTTCGTGAAAATAATTTTATATATCTAGTTTATTATTGTATAAATTTTTGTGTTAACCATTATGGAGTATCCCTACGAGAAGCAACTGCGTATTAGGGAAGTGAGCACTTCCGTTTCTCCGGCCCCACCGCACACACCCAAACATCACATTTCCGGATATGAATTTCCGGCTCACTTTTCAGTCGGACTTCGTGTGGCTTTCATTGTTTGTTCAGTGGCAGGACTTTGACCCAAAACTGCATCCTGTCGCCGGCCAAAAACCGAATTCACATTCCAAAACGCATTCATAATTAACGCGACAAATGCGCAACAGTTTCTGACTTTGATATGGAAATCTCTGAAATCGAACACAATTGTGAGCTCAATCTTCAACCGGTTGTTACCAGTAACTGGCCATTAAACCTTATTAAATTTCGGAATTTTACCGGTTTATTTTTAGCTCTTTACCGGCTTTCCCGGTCCTATCTCTCCTCCATCTCGTCCAGTGCTCGAGTAAATTGGAAATCCTCAATCAGAACACAGAAATATTTTGGTTGCCCCCACTTGTTTACTCTGGAGCATTGTGGCTGCCAAAAAATTCTATTTTGGTTAGACGTGCGGTTTCCTCGGTTGGCTGGCACATAAATATGCATGAAGGCGGCGGCCCCAGGAGGATGCTTCTAACTTATTTGCATAATGGATGTTTAATTGATTTGGGTCTGACACGAATCATTTGTCGAGCCAAAAACAAAGAATATAATATATGGTGAAAAATAAAGAAAGGATTAGTTGAGTTCAAACTGGAGTTCCTACTATTATTCCTTTGGGATTGCCCTGCCGTTATGGCCCAAAAATAGGTCTAATTTGCCATAACTACATCTCAGTGCTGCGTACTTAGTTTCGATTACTTTTTCTAAAAAGGGCGAAACGGCCATAAAAACTCTTTATGCCCGTTTTATGCCGGCACAAGCTGCGAAATATCACACAGCTGGACTCACTGGAGGCTGCTCGTTGGCCTTTTTGGCATTCACTTTTATTATGCGACTCGTTCAAGGTCTTTGAGGGATTTGGCCATGAGGCAGTATCCAGTGGACAGTGGGCAGTGCAAGACAGGGGGAGCGTATAAAACAGTTTTGTCCAAATGGCTGCAGTCAAAAGGAAAATGCTTTGTGGAACTTTTGGCCAAAACTAAAGATGCATAAGAGAGTGGTAATCCTCCAAATGGGAAAGTTTTCCCAACGGCTCTGAAAGCAGTCTGATTGTCTCCCAGCTAGTTTTTTGAGCCATTTATTAATGCTCAAGTGTTTATATTTTCCATTTTCTTGTTTCCTTGTAATTTTCCTGGCGAACACCCTGGCAATTTTCCATTTCAGGGAGCAGATTCTTTCAGTGCACTTCCCACCGCAGAACCCATCATTTAAATTACAAAATTTCAACGGCTCCGACATCAATCAACGACTGCCCATCTGAAGTGTTAGTTTTGGCATTGGCCGAGTAAACTTTTATAATTAGCTGCTGCTCCCGGCTGTCGGAACAAGTGGAGAAAACTGTGAGTGCAAGAAAATCTAATTAAAGCCGTGAAGGCATTGGCCCGAAAACATCCTCTAATCAAGCATATAAATTGGGGCTTAACCCGAGCTGTGTATCACTTTCAATAAACTCTCCAGACTGGCCTTGCTGCTAAACTTTCCCCTGGAAGTGCTCAAAACTTCGCCAGTCTCCGGTCCGAGTCACAATTAGCTTTTCCCAAGCTAATCAAGTCTTTGAAGTGGCTTTCTAAATGCATTCAGCTATCAGAAGGCGACCCTCAGAAGCCTCATGCATATTGAAGTAAGTGGTTGGGTCGAGCTCGAATTGTCTCTTGACCTTAGAGTACGAGTATGTGATTACGAATTCAGTCCGCTACACTCGATGCTAATCATGCATCCTTTCAGAGGAGCGGAAACAGGAAGCTCCTAGCTTGACCCACAACAATTAATTTTGTATTTTCGATGCCATTCCCAGCCATCCAGGAAATTGTCAAACATTCATTTTTTTTAATTGCGGCGTTTGTCTCTTTGCACTTAGACAAATTTCCGTAACATTGAAAATTAATTTTCATTTAAGCCAGTGCACTGTTTTAAGACGAAATTAAATAAAAATATATCGATAAAGCTTGATAAATGTAAACCAGATGCAAGGCAATCCCCGCTCCACAGCATATGTATGTGCTGTTTTAATTTAGAATTGCTGAAACGAGAATAGTAAACCGCTGTCAGCCTGTGGCGTTGGAAATTTGCATTACATCCAATTTGGTGTTCTGGCAGTTTGGTTGAAAAGCAACACAAAAATTCCCACAACAATATGAAATCGGTATGTGGGACAAACAAGTACTTGCAGTGTTGTCATTAAATTTGTAGAGGAGAAAACAGAATACATACATATTTAAGTAATATTGACCAAATTTTACATAGATAGGACAAGTTCTATGCTTTATGTAATTAATGGGCTTACAAAATATGTATAGGAATTAGAAAATATGAGTTGTGGTTTTATGTGAGGATTAATAATTTCAGTTTGAAAAAACTTTTAATTTTTGAAGCAAAGATCAAAGAGCTATCTCAAAAATTTGTATGCACTTAATCATGTCTTAAATTTAATTAAAAAACAACAAATTAGACACAATTCCTTAAGCTATTTTAGGACATAAAAATTCAAAAATATTGCCACTACTATATATTAATATTTAAAGTTTTAATGCTTTTCAGATAAAACCAAAAAATAAATTTATTACCAAATAAGTAATAACTTTATTTTTGTTCCCTTTTGCTACATTGAAAAAGCTCAGTAGTTCACTATATTATTTCCCTTCTCTGTGATAATAGAGATTTTTTCTTAAATACACAAAGAATGAACCCTGACAGTGCAAAAGTAGGAGCTTGCTTTCCCCACGAGCTTTTTAGATTTCTTCACATTATATATAAGTGGGGGTAGTAGTGAGAAGTAGCTTTAACTTTTGTAATCTCCGTCCGTTAACTACAAAAAATGGCAAATCTTTTAAACAACCGGTTTCTGAAGCGGGAAACGCGTTACCAATTTCTGGCAACAATTATTGGTGAGAACAAATACATCATGATCCTTTCGACTCTTACAATTACAGGACCTTTTTATTTAGTGAATATCATAACATTTGCTCATGGAATCGGATTGGGGTGGCTTTCTCCGACCTTGACTAAAATCCAAACGACGGACTCCCCGCTCGACTTTGCCGTAAATATCGATGAAATATCCTGGCTGGGATCGATGCTGGGACTAGGAAGTTTGTGCGGAAATTTGGTTATTGGCTTTTTACTGGAGCGAGCAGGTAGAAAGTTTTTCCTATATCTGCTAGCTGCACCCTACGCGGTGAGTGGAAGAATTCAATAAATTAAAAAGCAATAAAAACAATAGCTTTTTCCCTAAAGTGCCTTTGGATTCTGATTTACTGCGCATCCAATGTGTACTTTCTGTATGCCGCCCGGTTTTTAGGTGGATTTATTGGAGGAGTGTCCTACGTAGTTTTACCCATTTTCATCAGTGAAATAGCGGACACTAGGTAAGTTCTTGTACTAAAGGTAAAATAAAAGAAACTATCTAATTCATTCCTTCGAAGTATTCGAGGATCCCTGACTTCAATCCTGATGCTATCGGTGAATCTTGGAGTATTAGTTGGGTATATTTCTAGCTCCTACCTCGACTATCACGTGGTTCCCTTGGTAGCCATATTCCTGCCAATTGTCTACTTTTTGGCTACTCTGATGCTGCCAGAATCAGCTCCCTATCTCTTGAAAAAAAACCAGCTCACTGCAGCTGAAATGTCCTTTCGGTACTACAAAAATCAACGAGGGGCGAAGCAGAATTCAATGGATTCTTTTCAAGAGCTAAAACTAGCAGTGTTGTCTCAGCAGATGAACAACCGTGCTGGATTCACATTAAAAGACTTTAGTAAGATTCTTAAATTTTTTTAACTCGAAATCTACTAATATTTGGTATTTTAGTTACAAAACCAGCTCTTAAAGGGTTTGCAGCAGCTTTTGTTCTTTGCACCGGATTCGAATTCAGTAATGTCTTTAGCTTCATCAACTATATGTCGGATATATTCGCCAAGTCTGGATCGTTTCTGGATGTCGACACCTGTACAATAATAATTGGTCTTGTCCAAGTAATTGGAGTTTACACCTCAACCATATTTGTGGACATCGTAGGACGAAGGTTGCTGCTGCTGATTTCCACTTTGGGAGTGGGAGTTGGATGCATGGCATTTGGATGCTTTACATATTTTGGAGAACTCCACGATCTTCACGACTATACTTGGATTCCATTTGTTCTGATGATTTTCATTATTTATGTGGCTAATGTGGGTCTGATTGGACTCTTCTTTCTTGTGATTGTAGAAGTACATCCAGCAAAGGTAACTTATTGACGAATTGTCGCATTACATTAAATAACTTTCTACTAAATATTACAGATTCGATCTGTTGCCACATCTATTTCGGTAGCTTGGATGAGCATCCTTGTCTTTGTAACGCTGAAGCTATTTCCATTGTTACTTCACTTCTGGGGAATGCCCTACACCATGTGGTTCTCAGCCATGTTTAGTTTAGTAACTTTTTTTTATTTCCTATTCTTTCTGTCTGAAACCAAAGGAAAGTCTATGATCGAAGAGTAAATATAATTAAAATATATTTTAATGTAATAGAAACTTTATTTAATAAAATATTGAGGCCTAGTTTGTGCTCTCGCCAACAGTAGCTGCTACATTCTTATCACTTATTTCTATAACTCAGATAATAGCTCGTCTTCTAGACTTCTAGGCAGACTAGACAGCAAGGAACCTTTTTTATGATTAGCCGACTAGATGATACAATTCTCAATCGAGTGCTCCGGTTGTGAAATGCTTGCGGGCGTCATAGCTACTTAGACCAGATGTTTTATATTTAAACAAGCTTTAAAAGTGCTGCTATCTTTCCTAGTGCCTAGTGTCGCGGAAAAAATAAAAAAAATTTATAATTGTACATAAAGTAATTTAAGAACCCTATTAAAAATGATAATTATCATTTTTCGCCATGATAATTACTATCTTATTCAGTCTGCCGCAATATTGAAATTCATGGAGATGACATATTATCAACACATATCCAGACAGCCCGTGTTAAATATACGCTTCTAGAAGTCATAAAATGTGGTAGCGGTAGGTAATGGTAGAAAAATAATTCAAATATAGTTCGAGTTAGGTAGACAGTGAGTAATGGTAATAAAGGCGTAAATACTTATGTAATTGTTAAAATGGTTAAGCCGTGTAAAACAGCTTTTGACAACTTCTCTTAGAAACAACTCACTGGAGGCAAAGAGTGTAAGCTGATAACTTTGATGAAAATTATATTCAAATATATGTTAATTTTCGAATGGTTTAAATTAACCAGAGTTGACATTTAAAGCCGTATGCTTATCCTTAGCCTTATATCCTTTTCGGGGGCCATAATAAAACCAATAAACTACAATAAAAAATCTAAAAACAAGAAAGGAAAGCTAACTTCGGGCGGAGCCGAAGTTTATATACCCTTGCAGTTAAAACCGGATATATATCGCAAACATCGGATATAGTTGGCCGATCCTTATGGGAATAGGAAAATATAATCCAATTTATTACAATACAAAATCTAAAAAATGTCCCAAACTTCTATCTTCAAAAATACGAAAGTTGATATTTCTACCAAATACCATTTCCGATCGTTCAGTTATATGGCAGCTATGGGATATAGTCGGCCGATCCTAATGAAATTTGGTAGGTTGGGTCAACTGACCAAAAATAGAATCTGCATTAAATTCCAGCTTTCTATCTTCAAAAACACGAAAGTTGGGTCATTTCCGATCGTTCAGTTATATGGCAGCTATAGGATATAGTCGGCCGATTCTAATGAAGATTGGCAGGTTGGATTAACTGACAAACAAAAATAGAATATGTACTAAGTTTCAGCTTTCTATCTTCAAAAACACAAAAAATGGGTCATTTCCGAGCGTTCAGTTTATATGGCAGCTATAAGATATAGTCGGCCGATCCTTATGAAATTTGGCATGTAGTAATGATTTGCCAAAAATAGCTCTCGTGTCAAATTAACTCTCTAACTCTAAAAACACCAAAGTTATACCATTTCCGATCAATCAGTTATATGGCAGCTATAGGATATAGTCGGCCGATCCGTTCCGACTTATATACTGCGTGCAAAGGAAAGAAGGGTGTGTGCAAAGTTTCAAGACGATAGCTTCAAAACTGAGAGACTAGTTCGCGTAGAAACGGACAGACAGACAGACGGATAGACAGACGGACAGACGGACATGCTTATATCAACTCAGAGAGTGATCCTGATCAATATATATACTTTATAGGGTCGGAGATGTCTCCTTCACTGCGTTGCACACTTTTGGACAAAATTATAATACAAGGGTATAAAAAGTATGAATGTATTATGTTTAAAATAGATTTCATGAAAACGGCATTGAGTTAACCACCAAAAATCAGTAAGAGAGACAAACAAGTAGTGTATTGTTGTTAAACTATTATGGGGCTGCCATAATACTTAAATAAAAATATTGTACCAATTTTAACATAACTGAGACACTTCTATAGCTTCTATTATTTTTATTTTTCAGCAAATAGTCATGCTCATAAAATGCTTTAATTTTGTTTTAGTTTAAAAAAAAATATCGTTTGCAATGTGCCATTCTTAAAAAATCCCAATTTTATTTTTGTTGGCTCTCGTTGACATAGATTTATGGCATACTTGAAGGCGTCGTGTAGCAAGCGCCGAGGAGCATCATCAATTTTAATAAAATCTTCCTTTGTTTTCGCTGCATGTGTGCTTTTGAGTTTGGGAGTGAACTGGAAAATTTGTCCCAGAGCGGAAGATTTTTTTCTGTCATTTTAAATGTTGCATTTTTGCTTATTGTGCTGAACTTTTTTAGAGGATATTTAGCCGCTTTTTCTGCTGTCTTTAAGTTTAGCCAACAATGGTCGCCAATAATAACTCAACAGCCTTTGTATTTGAGGGCCATTAAATGCAGCGAACTGGAGAGAAACTGAAACAAAGGCAATGACAGCTCCGAAACAATTGCACAACTAATCAATGATGGTCATCAATGGCCACCGCGGAGGGAGTGCAATGTGCAGGGTGGAAGAAGAGCAAAGAAAACACATTGGGAAAACAATTAAACTAATTGACGGCAATTTATACGAAACAAAGACACAGGAACTGTGCGAAAATAGTCCCAGTATATATGTGGGTAGAAAGGACCAAAGAACGAAAGAAGAAAACAGGGAAACTTACACAAAAAACTAAAAGTTTTATAGGAGAAAATTGGAGCTAAAAAGTTTTTCCACACAGCATCGAAAAGTAAACCGCTGAAAACGAAGGCAACCGCCAAGCAGAGAGAGTCTGGCGGGAAAATCCATTAACTTGGCCACTAATGAAACCACATTGAAAGAGTACCCGCCACCACCACCGGCATCCACTAACTAATTGACACAGTCGGGTCCGAAACGCGAATTAGTCCGTCGTGCAGACTCCGATTGCATCGCTCATACGACCCGTATGCCAGACTCAACCCGTTAATCTAGAAATTATATGGTCAAGCTGTTACCGTTCGCCACTAAATCGGATTGTGATTAGGGCTTGGATTACGTTTTCTCATATTTGTACCCGTGTTGTGGTCTCCGACCTAACAGTGCAAATATTTCATGATCATTTTCTGAATCTTTTCAGTGTGTTTTACAGAAATTCGTTGCTCTCATCATACATATGTACATGTACATTCATATGCCGGAAAGTACACCATACTTCTCATTGATATACAATATAAATATGCCGAGGTAATGATTTTAGGAATATTTTTCGTTTGCTGTTTGTGTAATTTTATAAGGAGTTTCTCACACCCCACACCTTATATGTATGTATATCTATACAAAGAAATATAAAAAATTTATTATAATTTTTTTTTTGCCGCATAGCGGTTGTAAATTTTAATAAATTTTAAAACTGGCTCTATCCTGCTGTGCATATTTTCTCGTTTTCAAAATTATGAGCTCTTAAAAATTTAGGGCCGGGTTCGAGACATAACCAGAACAAACTTAGGGGATAAGATGCTATCATTGAGCAAACATGAAAGCCAAGTGTCTTATCCGCTTATCCTGCAAGAGAATCTCTTGGCATCCTAGGCGATTGATCCACTTAGAGCCGGTCCCTGCAACTCCCGGCCAACAGGGTGTATGTGGACTCTAAGTTCTCCTGCTGTTTGCTTTATGGCCCCCTAACCCACTGACTGTCGCACACGTCCATACATTTATTAGCATATTTCCAGCCACTCCCCCGATGCTTAATGATGCAAAAATGTAAAACAACAGCGTGACCCCGCCAACCTCCCGAAGATGTAAGGGCTTTCCAACCCATTTCTCCAGCTCCCCCAGTCCGCCAGGATTGTGGATTGTCATTGGCATTTCTGCTGCGGCATACTGATTTTGTTATTCTGCGAACTGGCTCGGCATGACGTACGCGATTTTATTTCCCAAACGTGAATAGAAACCCAAACTGCGAAATAACCGTGCCAAAAAACTATCACCAAAGAAAGGAGCACCAGTGAAAAAAGCCAAGACCATGGTTGGGAGTCTTCGATTTGAGTGGCTTAAGTGCGCATAATTTTATGTACATAAACATATGTATGTGCATTCGAGTACAAGGCGATACATAATTATGAAAATAATAATAGTTTTATATCCTTGTCTTACTCAGAAATAAGACAATATAATATATATAAAACACATAAACTACAAAGAAGAATCTGGAACTTTCAAAATCTCTCATGAGCTTTCTATTTAACAATGAGGGTGGTTTTAGGCCAAAGTGTACCTCCAGTTGACTCAAAACATTCAAGATTGGTTTTTGAAATTTTCCTAAGTTGTTTTTGCACCTTGTGGCGGAATGCATACGCTGCTCGTCTTAAAACTTCTGTTTTCGTCCGCTGTCAAAATCCAAAGAGTCCTACCAGGACTTTCAAACGAGGAAGGGCTTAGCTCGAGAATGCAGCTGAGTGCCAAAAGTTTTGGCTTCAACTTTCGACGGACGGCAAAGTGGCGAAACTTCTTCGCAAAGAAAACAGCAGGAAGCCTCGGGTCTGATGTTAAATTGTTTGGCAGGGCGATGCCTAAGTATTTCGCAGGCCAACCGGTTCAAAGCAGTCAAGAGCCAAGCGAATATTTCAACCTTGTTACCGAATAGGTAAAATTTAATTCATGACAAAAATCTCTCCAATACATCCCACATTGCAATTCCCTTTTCCAATTCCCCCAGGGCTAATAAGCATCTGAAACTCAATCAAAAATACCCATTCGAAATTCAGCTTTGGTTATTTGCAATATAAGTATCAATTTTCTCACCTACTGGGAAAATCTAATTATGCTTCTGAAATAGGCTTTTCTTCGCATACATATTCAGTAGCTATTCAATTTTCGGAAAATTTGTTTGCCATAAAGGTACAAAGAACTTTCATGTTCTTTGAGCCAACATGTCAAGAAAAGAAGCTAACGGAGCAGAGATAAATGTAATGTGCTTATACTACAATGGCTTTTGTTGCAAGGCAGGTGTTGGCCTTCCCACTAGGAATAAAAAATGTTGTGAATTTGAGGCATGTTACCTTTTCATCTTTTGTAACGCATGCAGGATTAATCCATAATTATACTTTTTACAGGTGCCTTTAAAGGTTAGCACTTTATTTTCAGCTCAGTTTTAGCTAAAAGCCTCCTACCAAAACGCATGAATGCCCTCCGAGTAGAATTCAAATAGCTGAATGGTCGACTCTGGAGTGAAAGGTAAATGCGTGAACAGTTGGCTGATTAAATAAGTGGCTAAGACCCTCAACGAATGGGCCGGAGCTTGAATTAATAGGAACACTTTATGCCAACGTTAATGTCAGTTTGGCAACGAAAACTAATCGAAATTTCTTATGTAATGGGGCTTCCCGCCAAAAGCTTTGTGATCACTTCGCACTCCGTTTTATACTCATACACAGCGTTGGCGGACATGTAGGGAGCATTTCCCTGGCACCATCGTTTTGACACATGGCTGACACTTTCATTAGCAGGCTTGCACCAATTTCATCCGGAATTTGACGCCGCCAGACACCGAAGATTGTTTGGAAAGTTTACCTCGCTTTACAGAATTTCTCATACCGCTTAATTTTCCAAGCAATGGAAGATAAATAAAATCTTAATTAGCTGCTTGCAAATCCATTTAGTTCCGCACCTCCGTCATTACCATCTCTGAACCCTCTGGCCCTTGGTTTACTGATGAAAGCCATCCAAACTTTGTCACGCAACTGATGTCGTTCGTGGAGTGCCTCTGTTCGCCCGTGGGCAAAAACCTCATGGTCGGGCTCCCAGATAAATCTCTCGCCACACTCTCCATATCCAAGTAAGCACAAGCATAAGTTAAAACTTTCCAGCAACAGTTCCACGCCAGACCATTCATTAGCATGCAAATTTGAAAATTTATCAGTTGGTGGAGTCCGTACTTGCACTTAAAAAAAATTGCCAAAATGGCAATGTAAGGAGGTTTAATAAGTGGAAAGTGGAATTGTGGCTGCTTGGGTTCAAAAAACTCACAAAAATATATTTTCACCAAATATTTAATGAAAAGTAAAAATTTTTCCTAAAGTATTTTGACCGCCTGTGGTGTTGCTCCTGGCTAGGTCTTGCTTTTGATCCTAGTCCTGCTTCTAAGAGCAGAATTTTGTCTCACTTTTGGCCCTTTTTTGGCGCGAGGACCGCAAATGGTTCGGTGGAAGCTCCACTAACTGCATCAGCTCGCATGACAAACTTTGGAGCACAAATTACACATGGAAGAGGACAGTAGTCGAGGCTGGTGGAAAGTAGAGTCTCCTGACGTATGTTAACAATATACGGCGTGGTCGGTTGGTACAGCATATGCTCCGGCATGTGAATATTTATCGACATGACCTCAGTTGAATTGAGGTCAGAAAGGTTTCCAAAATTTTTGGTGCTCTGAAATGTGTGGAAAATTCAAAGAAAAAAAACTCAATGAATTATAAATACTTTCATCCGATACATTTAAAATACCCAAAACCAAACATTGAGGTAAAAACACTCTTTAATGACAATCATTTCTATTTTAGTAAAAGTTACCCATTTGAAACTCACCATTAAATGACCGAAGCACCTTTTTTTCATATTAAAATTGTTGTTTTTCTTATCGTTCTGGAAAATATTAGTTAGGATCGATAAAACAAGAATGCGTATGTATATGAACAAATGTTGACACAAGTAATTGATTACAAGCGTAAACAAAAGCGGCGTCTGATTTTTAAACAGATTTTAAGAACTGATAGTGATTTATGGTGTGCTATAGTCCATACCATTTTAGAGACAAGGTTTTCCTTGGTTGGGTGGCAAACAAGCAGGGTCGGAATTGCGACCCGCGAAAGATAGCCCCACTCCATATATTTGCCTTTGGTCCGCTACTGCGGTCCTCTGCGTAGCGGAACCCTTCGCAATATCTTGGTATTAACTAATAACAATTTTAGGTTTGCCATATCGCTACTGTGTATGTTGGCATTTAAAACTGGAGGATGACTCGGAAGATAAGAATCGAGTTTAGGTTTGGGGCTCAGTGTTCCAAGAACTGCGCTACCATATGCACAAAAATTAATAGCGGATGATTTAACATAATCATATATTTAACATCTTTCCAAAAAATGGAAACATAAAAACTTTTAAACCTTTAAAAAACTTTTAAAAATCGAAAATTAAAGTGAAATCAATCAAAGGTTTACAATCAGTTCAGTAATCCATGGTGGAACGAAACAGTGAAGTTCAGTACGAAAGAATGCCGACGGTTACCTTCAGGTAAGGTGTTTGGTTTAAAAATAAAATGTTTTCTTCGTAAATTCATATCGAATATTTAAGATACTTGATTATAAAAACTTGGTGATCCATATCCCTTTAAATAAGTGAGACTAAATGGAAATAATGTGATTGATCCAAAAAACCAATAGCGTTTGAGCATGTCAAACAAAAATTGATCATAGCTTGTCCAAAATCTATAATTATTAGTGTTTTCACACTTTGATCAAGTCAATGGGGCTCGATAATTTGATTCTGAAGGACACCTTTGTGCCTTTTGTTAAAATCGATTTCAGACAACTTGAGTTTCATAATCATTTCGCAAATGATTGACACTTTGCCCACGTAACTTTCACCGCAGTAAACAGTTTCTTCAGCTGATACTGAATCAGCGGACACCTCACAGCTTTTTCTATTATTTTCCAAAAACCGAAAAATATATCTACTAAAGTAAATACTCCGATGACGTCACATCTCGAGGGGGTATTTTTAAAATTAGCGTGGGTCTTTGACATTATTTTGGAGATCGTATAACTCATGTCATGTGTCATGTGTATGGGTAAATATTGGCTCGTCTTAAGATCGACAAACATTGTTGACCCAGTAAACAAGCCAAGAACACTGAAATCTAGACTGGAATAATGGCAGAGATAAGGCGGAACATCGTCTGGGAAATCAGAGGCGTTTACAGCACTCCGTACACGATAATCAACAATATTGACAAGTCGTTTGGAGATGACGCGCCTCACTCGTGGAATCTTGGAGGTCTCAATACATAGAGTTTATATACTGGGAATTGCAGGCGCTATATATAGTACATATAGCATACATAATGAAGTGCAAATAGGCTAATAAATTAAGGCAACAGTACGGCTGCAATAGATTTATTTACCCACACGGATCACACTCTCGTACCCGCACGGCAAAAATAGCAGGCTAATAACAACGCTAATCAGTTAGTCAAATATCGTCTGGCCGATAGCTCCGACAATTGGAGTAACTGGTTCAAAAACACCTCAGTCTTCCCACTGACACGGGTCTGTAAGGGCCGGAAACTTGCGCATTAAGTCTACTCGGGGATCTTCGGTTCTCGATCGGATCATCTTTCCACAAAATTGTTCATTGCCCCGACAATGTCCCTAGTCAATCTTAAATCTAGTGACCTGTACGATCAACCCATAAATCTGTGGAAAACCAAACAGCGGGTTCATTACCACCACGATGTGGTGTCCAGAGAAAAAAAGTGCGTTTCGGTCTTACATTTTCAAAGCAGTGGCACGGCATATAGTCCCGATTGAGTTTCCGCAACCAACAAAATAAAAATAATAAACTTAAAAGATATTCTATAATGTTTAAATCCCAATTAAAAATATTCTTTTTTTCGAACTGTGTTACATATTATATTTATGTAATGTCTTATAGGTATCAAAGAAATTAAAATTATTTTTCCTTTTTTTATTAACGAAATGTAGTGTAGTTCCTTTATTCGCTGAAGAATTCTTTCTAATCGGACAACTACCTTAAAATCAAAAAAATGTCAGTAAATAAAATGATTTTTGTTGGTAAATTGTTGTCTTTTTTTCAAGTTTTTAACATAACAAAGCCCCAGCTCAAATTCCAGACACCGATTGCGGGGCACAAAAGAAAACGTGATCACTTAATGTGAATGCAAACAGTAGAAACCGGGCACCAAGTTATCTGTCCATTGATTGATGAGACAACGGCTTGACTTATCAACTCACTTATACACAAATTAAAGGTTCTTCCTTCAAAACACGCGCTGTGATGTTAGTGATATTATCAGGGTGATGGGCAGAAATCGATCAAAAAGCAATCAAAGCTGGACAATTCTGCAAATGTGTGCGATTCTTCCAGGGTCATCCGAAGAAATCGCCTTTTTTTCACAATCGGGTGCCCAAAGTAAAGTCAGTTGATCGGAAAACTTTGGAACCGTCGAACTATATGCGTGCCACTGCCATAAAATCGGGTATCCTTCGCGATAGTCTAATACAAGTTCCGATCCCTCAACAGCAACCAAGCTACCGCCGATGGCTGTGAATACATAACCCTAAGTGTACCAAAGAAAGCCTCGTTTTCGCGCTCCCCCCCGAGCTCGCTGCCCCCGTCTATCCCGGGGACCCCACCCCACTTGGGTGCTGCTACCTCCAGCCAAGTGGTCCGCTACGCCAGGACCTCGTGCGATCACTGCGGACACCACCAGATTCCGGTCATGTCACCGCACCCCATCTCCCCGCTGGCCAAGTCCCAAACAAATCTGGACCTCGTGGAGCACGCCAGCCAGCGCCAGGCCCTGCTCCCCCTGCCGACGATCGGAGTCCATCGCGAGGACTCTGCCTGCACTCTTCAGGTGTCCCGGAGGCCCTCACTCCTTCTCCAGGAAATTCTCACACAGCGACCGCCGATCTACGGCCGAAAGGACGCTTTTCTCACACCACGGATAGCCAGAAATGGGTATTTTCCATAAAAAATATGTTCAGTTTTTTTACGTGTATTTTAGTTTTGTTCAAAAATATGCAACGGGGTGAAGGAGAATTTTCATCCTATCTGAATTCGTGCTATAGGTGGCTTTTTAGATATTTTTAATAATATCTATAGGTTTCTGCCATTTTGAAAAGGAAGGACTGAGTAAAAGTCTATTACATCGTGTATTTTATTACATTCGTGATCTTGCAGATAGAAGCATGGGACTTGGGGCAAAGCGTACGCGATATTTGCGAATCTTATTCGACCCAAAATATAACTTATAAATTTTCTTTTTTAAATTTAATGTTATTATTTATTAGAATTTTTAATGTTAAATTATAATATAATGCTATCATTTGATTGTTTATTATTTATTCTTAAATCTATACGTCTTAGCTTAAAAAAAAAGCTTATGACTTTAAATTTGTATAATATTATTCGTACGTCATTTTTAATGAGATTTATGAAATATTTTATTCGGACTCCTGTCTGCCTGTTTGTGAGCCAACAGTGGATTAGATCCGACAGACTTAAAAAACCTCACACACCCTTCTATCCAATGAGGAAAGGGTTAAAAGGTATAAACTTTATGAACAAAATAATACAAAATTTACTTTTTTTTTCTTAGAAACTTGCCAGAAACCGCCAGCGGCAGTACCGCAACCATAAACTTACAAAGTGGAATGACGAGCGTCAGAAATGGATCGACAGCCTTCTTCGACAATGGAGCCAAGAGCTTTCAGGCTAAGCAACAAAAGGAAAAGAACCGGCGGACCGGAAAGTAAGTCAAAACAAAATATCCATGCATTTATTCCAAAGCTAATAGACAATTGTCTTGAATTTAATCAGTGACGCCATAAGTTCGGCATTGTCGGCCACCTATTGCAAACTTTTGGTTCTGCTCGGCGTGTGTCTGCCAATCACTGAAGTGATATCGGATCAGATACCGACCTACGTTTACCAGGGATTCTACGTGTACCTCTACTGCGGCAGTATACTGTTTGTGGTATTTCTTTACATTAGTGCCTTTCGCCATAGATCGCTCTTCAATGCCCTAAAGGAGTACCGTAAGAACCGCTAATTTGATCGAAAAAGTACATTTTAAGTTTATATTTCAAACTTTCAGATGAGAAGAACAGCAATGTGCATTTGAAGCATAAAGTGACCCACTTTGGTAGCTTCTACTTGAGGGTAGGAGCCATAGCCTTTGCCATTGGCACAATGGTCTACTCTGGCCTAGAGTTCGGTCAGTTCTTTGAACTCAATGGCCATCCTGGCTGCCGAGACGTCTTCGTGGCAATCACGCCCATTTGCCGCATGGTGCTGTGCATCGCCCAGGTGCAGTTCATCTTTCTGAACACCACCTACATGGACATGGCCCGGCACAAGGTGACCTCGCGGTTTGGGCTGATGCACATGGTGGCCACCAACTTATGCGAGTGGCTGTACGTCCTGGTGGAGGAGACCAAGCACGAGATTTTTCACATCAGTCAGCACGAAGTGGATCCGGCCCACGATCTTGTGGTCCACAATCATAATAGAACCGACTGGGCGGCGGTCAACGAGTCCTTGCACTTGCACCACCACAGCCACTCGCACCTGACGGTCAGGGATCCTCTGAACAACACCGTTCTGGCCACAAATGTGAGCTCTATCATTGCAAACATAACTGTGACGCCCTCCCCCACAGCAGCCACTGTGTTTAGTGGCTGTTCCCGTACTACGATTATGGGCTCCTTGGTCCAGCAGCTCTCCCCCTTCCTCTTTCCCTGCACCATCGAGTACTCGCTGATATGCGCTGTTATTCTCTTTGAAATGTGGAAGACGGTGAAGTCCATTCCGGACATCGACAAGTCCCGCAAGAACTCCGTTAAACCGGTGACCCAGAAACCGGCTCACCACTTCTCGGTGGACTGCTCGCAATCGCACAAGGGCCTCTTCTTCGGTATTTTGATCATTGTGATGACCATCATCTCTATGATTATGTACTTTGTCCTCTACACCCAGCCTGGCTACGAGCTTATTGCCACCCAGGAGGTCACCCTCTGGGAGACCTTTATGTACTTCATGTGTGCCTCGGCTGTGATAACGGGTAAGTGAATTTAAACTTGAATTAGGGTCAAATAATATATGTAAAATATAAACCAAGGCATGTTCCTGATGCGGGATCTTCGCTACATCAAGGACACCAGCGACGAGCATCACTCCATGGACCTGGATAACCTTCTCCTGATTGTGGCCCAAACTGGGGTGTACCTGTATGGCATGTTCAGCATCCTGGGCAGCTACTTCGCCAAGTGGGACACTGTCCCCGACCGGGTGGAAGGCATTATAGCCGAGGTATTCGGGGTGGTGCAGACCTCCCTGCAGACGATGTTCATCCTCCACTCGAGCCACCGCCGGTGCAAGGGCGCCAAGCAGGTGCGGAGGAAGCCGGGCAGGGAAATCATCACCTTCCTGCTGGTAGCCAACATCGCCATTTGGTTCGTGAACACCCTCATTAAAGGGCGGGCCGTGTTCCGGGAGAGCCACCTTGAGTTCTTCGGCGTCTGGGGGTGGACGATCATCACCCACATTTCCATGCCCTTGGCCATATTCTATCGATTCCATTCCACGATCTGCCTGTTCGAGGTCTGGAAGATCACCTACAAGGCTAAGGCTCACTAGCCGCCGAACGAGCTTCTCGATAAGTTTTCTCTAACTCTTGTCCTTTAACGCAAACTTTCGAAGAAAATAGTTAATTTATGAATAAGCGCAAAACTGTAAAATTCCTTAAATGTATAATAAAAATTTAATTTATTAAACTAACAAAAAAAATATATTATATATTTACTATATCAAGTGCAGCCGTTATTATACCCTTTTGGTGAAACGCAGTGAAGTTGAAATCTTTAACCTCAAATATTATATATTCTTAATCAGGGTCACCTCCTGAGTTGATGTAAGCATGTCTATCTGTCTGTTTCTGCGCATACTAGACTCTCTGTTTAAAAGCTATAAACCTTAAACATCGCAAACACCCACCTTTCCTTTGCACGCAGTATATACAATATACATATATACGTATATATACGTATATATAATATACGTATATACATATATATATATGTAAGTCGGAACGAGCGGGATGACTGATCGGAAATGCCATAACTTTGGTGTTTTTATGCCCATTACTTGTATACTTTGAAGTCTATTGGAGATAGGATTTGGCATTTATTTAAACTTTTTTTCACGCCCAATCCCGCTCTCAAGCCGGAAATCACCTTGTAGCGCCAGTTCATTAATGTTTATCAATGGCTAGTCTACACCTATAAATCAAAATTCATCCAAATCAGATAGTTTTTAGAGATGCCATAGATCTTTGTACCTGGTACTCGTACAGTACAAGGGTATGTGGTAGTTGTGTGAATGTATGTAACCTAGAGAAGGATTCATCTTCGACCCGATGAAGTATACCATATATAAGGTCAGCGCCACAAAAAAAGCCGCACTTGAAAAAATTTGGAAATCGTGCAATCACTATGCTGGTGTTCCCCTAAATTTTATTCTTTGGGCATTATTTTTTTAGGGGGGTTTCCCTTGACTATTTTTGACATAATTTCGTCATTTGAAGAGCGCTGTTGCTTAAGTTGCTTTTGGTAGAATTTTTTTAAAAAAAACGTATTCTTGATCAGCATCAACACCCGAGTCGATATAGAAATGTCCGTCTTTCCGTAAGAACGCGTGGATCTCAGAGACTATAAAAGACTTATACAATACCCATGCAGTTCAACTTGGTTTCAAAATTTTGCAACACCCCCTCCCGCCCTCACAAGTTTTGAAAAACTTAAAAGTTAGAAGCTAATAATATTAACTTAATATATGTCTAAAAACAAATATCATCCCCATTCTTAGAAGATATACCCATATATATACCCTTTCCTATACAAACGTGATAAAATTGAACGTGTGGATCTCGAAGACTATAAACTATAGAGCTATCCGATTTGGAACTTAAACTGGTATGGTGATCAAGATCAAGTTTGTGTCAAAAGATCAAGTTTGTGTCAAAACTTTGTAACGTCCACTCCCGCTTCCGAAATAGAAAACTGGTGTTAGCGCCAGGTCGGTTATATTTTTGGAAAGCAGCCAAATGGGATAATTTTTAGAGGAGTTATAGACTTTTTAGTCTGCTTCCTTACTGAATCGGTAGTATGGCCGTAGGTTTGTTGTTGTTGTTTTGCCCAGGCCAAAAGTATGCAACAAAAATTTGTTGCTGAGAATCCATACCGTTAAAGCTTAAACATTAAGGGGTTAGTTAAATTGTGGTTGAAAGAGATGAGTGACGGGTGTAATATACAGGAAATTTTGTGTAGTCGAGAAACTCGACTTTCTTTAGTACTTATAACTTCATATTTTGCTTCATACCATTAAAATTTAAAGGTTACTCAAAGAGGCGGATGGAAGAGATGAGTACCGGGTATTAAATAGTCGGGGAACTCGGCTACAGCCGTCCTTTCTTGTTAGAGGTAGACCGTTGGGATTTTCCTTGGCAAAATAATAGGACCTACAAAATTTCATTGGGATTGGCCGATAAAGTATTTCATTTCATAGATTATAGTATAAAGGTTTAAATTTTTAACTTAAAGCTGCGTTACATGGCAAAATTAAAATAGATAGACAAATGTTATAAAATGAAATGTGAATCTCGTTAATGTGATAAGCAAATCTGATATATTTGAAATTACTCTTAATTGTCTCTGCTGTTAGCGCTAATGGAAGTGCTGAAGTGCCAATGGGTTGCGCAACTATTTTGGTTTCCTCATTTACCTTGACACTTGACAATGCCAGCAATTTGCGAGTGCCTAACTTTTGGCCACGTGGCTACATGGCTGGGTTGGAATTTTGTGAATGAAACCAGTTCAAGAACTGGCTTCAAGACGGTTTTTATTTGCTAACAAATTGCCTAGATCCGTAAACAGGCCATAAAACTCGCGTGCCCCAAAGCGAAATCAGGTATTTGGGTATCGAATTTATCGTGGCAGACATAAATCTTGAGCCGGCAGAGGCTGGGGCCAACAATTGACAAATCGTCGTATCCAGTTCCTGTTGCGTGTCCCGATGAAAAATGGCAAGGTGCGGAGGCTAAGAGCGGATTGACATCGAAAGGATGTTATCGAAGGGAGGAAGGGCTCATGGGGGCACACATTTGATATGCCCAAAATGGGATGTGTGTCTTGGTAGGGAAGCACCTCCTAACAGAAACATCAAGGTGAATAAAAAGGCATTGAACCATGAAGTTGATGAATCGGCGCATTTAAATTATGTATTTATGGAGAAGGAGACCCAAGGACTAGGTCATTGGTATGCAGGTGGCATACCTTACTTTAATAAACGCCCAATTTGGGGTTAACAATTGGACTGATGTATGGCTTATCATATCCACCCGATAAGTGCGTGTTGGGAATTCACAATGAGCTTAGCTCTTGCTTGATATGATACTCCAGAGTTGCAATTGAAATTATCAAATTGAATTCGGCTCACGTTCAGCGAAAATAAACTCCATCTTTCATTCATTGCATCCATTATGTGGCTTACAGTTGTGTTTTTAAAATAAATGCATTTTTAACACAACATTCGAGTCGATTATGTGAGGAATTTCAGATTCATATAAACTATAAATAAAAGGTTAGTCAACCATTCATAGCTGCAACTGTGTTTAATTGATTAATACTTCAATAATTATTGGACCAAGAGTTTTGCTTAATAATGTGCCCAGAAGGCTAGCCGACCATTAGATCATGAGACATCAGAAGGGACATTTTATTAATGGGGAAACTAATTATAAATGTAATCAAACCATTTAACATTTCGATTTCCTCGCCCTTGCAATGAATTCCGGACGCAGATCCTTAAAGAAGCAGCTCCATTACAATGAATTGCCAACAAACTTCCTCGATTGTCTACATTAATAAATCAGCTGGGAAAAAAGTGCAGTCGATGGCGTTTTTTATGATGCCATCATCATGCCATCGGGCCGACTGGGCCAGATGTCAACTGTGGCCCGCACCCTGCATCTCCCTGGCGGAAAACAGAATCAGGAAGAGTAAAAAAGGAAAAAGGGAAGCGAGGAGCAGCTGTACTCGCAAATGGAAATGACGCGGAAGCGCCAAGGACAATGACGGACGTCGGCGATGACGGTGACGATGACGAGTTTTGAGGTTCGGAATGGAGCTGATGGAGTGATGTTTGCTTTGGCCTAGGCGCCTTTCCGCCAAGAAAATGACATCGTCATGGAGAGGGGACCCAGGCCACAGTCTAGCGGCATCTGGCAACGGAAACGGAAATTTAAAGGCCGGGCAAATGGGCGAGGAAAATGGCCCAACAACTTATGAATGCTAATCAAGGTAGGAAACGGCCAAAGGACAGTACACTGGTTAGCTAGGAGCAGGAAACAATTCCTTTGATTCTTAATGAACTTTAGTTCATTCAGGATGAAGGTAGCACTTTTAGTCCGTTAAACAACATGAAAACATAAAAGTTATTTGAAAAATTCATAGTCTTATCATTCTAAAATAGTTGATAAAGTATATGTACGACAGCCTTTAATAAAACCAATATATATGACTTTTTTATTGATAACAGTTACCGGAAGTCTCAACGTGGCCTTGGGAATAAAATGTTCAAATGCTCTTAAAGATTTGAATCGTTATGCTTTTTAAAACTTAATGAGAAGTCAAAAGCTTTGGCCAGATATTTTTTCATCGATAAAAGTTTTGAAAGAAAAACACTATTGTACCAAAATAGCAAGCAGGATACAATTGGAGCTGAAGGACACAAATGCTGCAGCGAACATTTTGCTCTAAAAGCATTTTAGCCTGCAACGTAGAGTAAATAGAAATAAAGCCATTCACTCCCCATTAGATGAAACCGAGAAGGGACGAGTATCACGTAGATCGAAAGCATTTTTCTTGTCTTGAGGAGAGAAACTGAAACAAAACGTGTTTCTGGTGGCAAATCCTTTCGGAGACCCCCTCTTCCTTCGCTTAGGATCAGGTTCTCGGGTCCTGTCTGCTTTGGCAGCCCAAACACGTAAGCCACGCACATGGATGGCTAAAGACATTAGAACGACACAATTAACCTTTTTAAAGAGGGACGTCAACAGTTTGCGGTGGCTTGTGGGTTTCAGCTTAAAGGGAGGCAAGACAAAGTGCTACTACTGTCCCTTAGCTAAACAAGAATTTTTAATCTTTAATAAATAAAATTTTTAACAAGGTTAATTCAATTATTCACCTTTTGAAAAACACAATTTTTTGTTCTACCACATATTTTCTGATAATTCTGATATGAAAACATTTTAATAAAACAGAAGGAAAAGCTCGAGGCATTTTCAATTTGTTTTCAAGGGCGGCGTGGAGGCTCCCAGCATTTTAAGCCAGAAGTCAAGCACAAGGTTCTGTTTTCCCCTCAAAAAAGATACAAAAATACTTAGGGGAAAAGTAATATATTATAAGCAATAAAGTACGGGAAAAGACTGTATACTGTAGAGGAGAAGATAACCTTGGTGACGAGAAGCTTGATACATAGATACATTGCAAGGCTCAGCGTTCGCAAACGACTAAGTTTTAGCAATCGGCTTAAAAGTTGGGGGAAAGAAAAGAATATTTAAAAAACGTTAAGTAGTGGCAATCATTAAGGATTAATAAAGAGAGCAAACCTTTCCCCAATTGGGTATAAAACTGACCCAGACCCGTACAATCTGTTCCCAGAAATTGCAGTGGCGATTGGCACTTGCCGACATTGAACTGCAGTATAAACTTTAGGGGCAATATCTAGTTATTGCCGTGATTTTTATATCAATATTTTACGACACTTTTGATAAAAACCAGTTCGATCTAGCGGGAGCCTTAAAAAATATTCAATTGCCGATGGTGGAGTGCGCAAAACTGTCAATCATTGTCACGACTCCTTGTTTTATTATTTTTCTATCTGCTGGCCGTAGCACATGGCGGAAGAGTGATTGGCGGAGCGGGCAGACTAGATATAAATAATGAAACGGCATCAAATGCTGCAAATGCGGTAACTTCCAGAACTAAAAGAAAGAACAAATGACGAAAAAATATCAGAGATACTCGCCCACATACGCTCATTCGTAAATCAGTTTACGGTCCCAAAAGGACACACAAATCGACAGCTCTGGAAACAAATCAAATCGCAGCGCAGGTACCGAGTCCTGAAAAAGCCCAACCGAATAATTCATTTTCCTACGTAAATGTTTATATTTTCTCCGCGAGGACTCATGCAAGATGAATGTGCGAGGACAACAATAAAATATTTATGTATAAAATTTCACAGACCCCGAACAAATGCCGAATGGTGACACAAATAAACATTTTAGTGTCCGCTTAGACTGGGGGCTGGCTTTTCCCCTCTGTCGGTCATTGTTCCAAGCCATTGACTGATGGACATTTGATGGAAGGCTCGCATCACGAATACTCCCCAGTGGACGTGCGAGAATTGAAAGTTTCCCCAGAGCCTTTGACAGGTCAACAAATGTGACAGTTTTCGAGATTTATTTGGTAAATGGTCGTTAGTTTTAACTTAGTTTTAGTTGAAATGGGGAGTTTTATTTGTACAAAATATATACAATGGAAATGTTGGTGCGCATCAATCCTTCAAACTCGTTGCTTTGCAGGCTCGCTGCTCGTTTACAGTCTCCTTTGTTGAGACTCTTTGGGCTTCCATGGCTTTTCTCCTCTTCACCAGGTAGTCCTTCTGCTCAGGCAGCAGCTTGGAGACTATTTGGCTCAAAGCCTTCAGTTTGTTTTGTCTGCTCTCCTTTGGGTCACATAGTATCGGATCTTTAATGAGTTCTTTGTTGAAGCACAAATTGGACCGACCGATGAAGTTTCTCTTGTTTCGAGTGTCGTAATTTGATTTCATTTTGGATGGATTTACTTTCCTCGGTAAGGCGGCTTTGGTGTCGGAAGTTTCAAGTGTATTCGGTTCAGCTTGAGTTTTTTGCTGACTGGTGTTTTTGGGAGGAGCTCCACACTTTTGTACTTCCATCCTAGCCGATTGATTCGCATGATCTTTCGATTCGCGACGGGGTGTACTCACGGATTTTGGCGAGGAACAAGGAGTCTTGAAATTCTTATCCCTTGTCTGGGTCTTTGTCAGAGATGAAACCTTCTTAGGTGTGTGCGGCCTGGAGGGACCCTTATCCCTGTCACTTTTTTCAGATAAATGGGGTGATCTAGACCTTGATCTAAAGTAACGTTCTTTTGCTGACGATTTTTTGTTGATTTTATGAGAACTGGGAGTGTTTTCTTCGGTTTCGAGCACCCTTTCAAAATTTTTGTTGGTTGCTCCATTAACGATTTTCTTTTCCGACGCAGCTAGCTGTGAACTTTTTTCTGATTCTGCCTCATTTTCGGATTCGGGTTCCAGCACTCCACAGGGTTGGCCTTTAACTAGTGCCTGCTTTTTATTGAAATGTCAAAATAAATATATATTAAACATAGGGCGAGAAAAAGAGGATCAGAGGTCCTACCATCATGGCATCGGCTCTGGCCCTGTCGCTGCTCAGTCCCCAGGTCGGAAACATAAATGGCATCGCCGCGAAGATTCTGGACCATGCGTTGATACTGCCGCACTCATCTGAGCAGTACCTAGAGTCCGGCCGAGCAGTATCATCGCAGCGGTTCGTCCTACAAATGCGCCGCTTCATGCTTCGAGTGCTTGACGGCAGACTCGGATTGCCGGCAGTTCTTTCCGTTGGATTTGGGTTCAAATTGCACTGAGATGCCTTCGATTCGACGGACTTTGAGGGAACGGGCGCTGCCTTTTCGTCATTCTTACGGTCTTTTGGCGAATTATCCAGGAACCCCGCCCTTAACTTCACCGGATCAGCCGCACCGGTCGCCCCTTCCCTAACGCACCTCAAAGCACTGAGAGACTTTCTCCGAGTCAACAAGGAACTTGGTTTAGAGGCATCCGGCTGGGCCGCCTTAGAAGCAGCTGGTTCTGGTTCCGTGGTCTTTGTGGTTGGCTGAGACTTGTAGGTGCATTTTAGTCGCCGATTCATCAGCCGGCACTTGTCACAGTAGTAGACATCGTACTGAAGACCAACGTCCTCTTCCAGGCTGATGCAATCGCCGTGAAACCACACGTTACATTTGTCACAGCAGCTGGTTGGGAAAGAAAACGTTTCACTATCGAGGCTCATTCCTGCCAGAGAGCTGGCCAAAGGAATACCTACATCATAAAGCCATCCGCTCGACTGCTCCGACAAATGCAATACCGCTCCGGAGAGGCTGCCACAGGATCCTGCTTCTTGGGCATATCCTTAAAAGAAAATGTCTCAATTAGTCGGACTAGTAATTGTAGCCTGGGGCTGGAATACTTCTACTCACAACCTCATTAATTCGCCTGTGCACTACTGGCATTTCTGGCTACCCAAATGTCATCGGTTTACTGAGGAAATAATTTTTTCCATTCCAGGGATCTCCATTTCTAAGGGTTACGCCCAGCCTGCTTTGCCTCTGCTCAGCTGCCGAGTTGCCAATGTATTCCGAATTGCCAATTGCATTTTGACTTCAACCAATTGTGCAACAAACTATAGTTTGGTATAGCTGTAGCAGTTAACTGCTATGGCAGTTATATTGTTTTCCGAAAAACCAGAGTAGTAAAAATTCAGTCAAGTTTGAAGTGCTCTGCAGACATTGCAACTCCATTTTGGTTTGTTTCCCTCCTGGCCATGAATTATTTATTTATGACTTCTCATACGTATGTATGTATATGGTTGATTTTTATTGGGATATCAGTGTCAGATGGTACATTTTAAATTGACATTTCTATTGGGTATTTTGTCGTAAATAAATAATTTTACTAGCCATTGTAAGGCAACTAAAATTATTTAATAAAAAGGTAAACCTGAGTATGAAAGTGGCTTAAATTAAAATAAGATTTAGCGACTTCATAGAATATAATATTTTATTTCATAAACTAAATGCGAACTCCACATTTCCGTATTAAATTTAATTACTTTACAAAGCTCGTTGCTCTTATCACATTTGGTACTTGTGCCAGTAATTAACTTTCTTGTTTACCCACATGGCCAACAAATTTCCGAGAGCCCTCCATCTAATGCCGTTTTTATGCCCAACAGTGTGCCACTCGCAACTATTTCCTCCATCCGACCAGCTTGCATCTATCTCCACATCCCTATGGTGCCATTAACGTTTTTCCCGTACCGGGTCAGGTTTTGCAATTTAGAGAGTCGAACTCTTGTTCCATTTGGGAAAGACACTTTTTAATAGAATTTAATATGACTAGAATTACAATTTTATTATGGGGACTTACTACTTTAAACAGGGCACTTTAGCAGGTATTTCCGCATCATTTAAAGAATCTTGGACACCTGTCGCCTCAATTGGGGTCCTGCGAATCCAATAAAGTTGTTTCCCTAGTCGCCGTTGCGGACATCACGTCCCCAGAATAATTCGCAAACAGCAGCCCCTCACTCACTTTTTTTGCCGCCTCTGGCTGGGTCCACTTTTTGTGGCGCCACCAAGCGCGTGTGGGCGTGGCGTGTACGATGTACAACATTTACACATGGCGTTTACACTTATTAACATTAACATTATGTTCGGCGACGCCTGTTTGTGGTCATGTGCCACACACTCCGGTTAACATTGCGTATGAATAATTGAATATTTCTGGTTTTTGTTCGGAGTCCTGCCTCTTGTTTGATTAATTGTGTACACACGGCGTGCCGCGTAAAAAACGAGAGGCCAAGCGCCTCTTGGAGCTCTGAAGTCCGGCCAGCAGATGAATTCAATTGCAGCTTGACCGCAGGACGACATACAACTGACCCAAAAACATATGACAGTCAGGCAGGTGGCCCAAAACCAAAGTCTACGTACAAAAAGCGGACAATTTTGTGTAAACATGGCTCTTTCACAGCCACAACTGGAACAGATTTACGCTGAAAAATAGTTAGCTTCGAGTTTGTGTGCTCCTGAATTTTAAAACATAACACAATCATCTGTTTTTTATTTGGCTTTTACTTGGCTTGGGCCTCTAAATTAAAGTTTTGGAACTTGGATTAAAAATTTACAGTTTTTGTGTTTTTTATTATTTAAATGTAAGGACTCTCCTCGTCAACCCTTCTTTTTGAATTTTTACCAACAGTTTCTGAAAAGCAAAGTTTCGGTTTGCCAGCGAATGGGAAATGCAATCGACAGGAGTTTTGAAAGTCAAGGAATTGCCTTTATTGGAAACCAAAAGGCTGTAATAAAATAACTTGCGTCACACAGAGCGCATGAAAATCGAATCGATTTCGAGCAAAGGATAAAAAAAGCAAGCTCACATGTGTGTTCAATCTGCTTGTGAATGTGGAATAGTCCAGATTAAGGATTTGTACCTTTACCACAATTTGCATTTACTGGCCAATAAGCACTGAATAAGATTTTAGAGATTTCAAGCTTACTTTTAGACTTTTATAGAATTTCTGTGATTTTTTATTGGTTCAATGATCCGACTTAAATAAAATATTTGGATTCTATCCTCGGACCTCTGGGCCTAGCACGCTTCCTGCGCCTTTCTGTTTACATGTTATGGGGAAATAATAAAGTATGTAATTTTAAATAATTTGCACTTTGAATTTACTTTTCCCAGTAAAGAATAGAATAGGTTTCGGTGCTTTAAGTGAATGAATTGAAATGAAATGAATTATGTGGCTTTAGGAATCGCTTTTTAATAAAGTGGATTTATTATTTTTACCCTTCGATTAGGTTCTTAGTTTGTTTTCTTTTAGTATTAATGTAAATATTAATAATATAAATACTTCATTGGTCAAAATTAGAAACAATCCTCACTTGTAAAATTTTGTTGAATAAAAAGATTGGCCAAACCTTTTCAATAAAAACACAAACAGGAAGCCATAAAACTTAGCTATTTTATTGTGATTGCCATGCATTTGGTAAATTAAATCATAAAAATTCAAATTAATGCTTCCGAAGCGATAAATTTCTAATGGAGGTTTCCAACAGGAAATGGCCGGAAATAAAATCTGAGGGGTTTTTGAATAATCTATTTGCCATAAAGTGGTTATAAAGGAATTCAAATAAGTAGAATAGATTAAGTGGTTAGAGCTATTTTTGTTTTTAGCTTACATACTTTTTAGTATAAAATTTGAAAGATTTCTGATATTTTTGCTTCAGGGCTGTAAAGTTTTTTTACTATGAAGATTTTCTTAGAATTTTGGCATATTAACATTTATTTAATAACGACACAATTAAGAACCGGAAATAAAGATTTAAAATAAACAATAGTTGGTATTTTTACCAAATACCAAAGTTAATATTTTTACCAAATACCAAAGTTGGTATTTTTATCAAAAACCAAAAGTTGGTATTTTTACCAAATATCATTTCCGATCTTTCAGTTATATGGCAGCTACAGGATGGTTTATTTGACCAAAAAATGATAGTTTAGTGGCAGCTATAAGATATGGTCGGCCGATCCTGATGAAATTTGGTACGACGCGTCGTATTATTTTGGAATAAAAAATAGCATTCATACATAATCCGAACTCTCTAACTCTAAAACACAGAAGTTATAGTATTTCCGATCAATAAGTTATATAGGATATAGTCCGCCGAATATTATAAAATATGACAATGCCTGAGGGACGAAAATTAAACATTTTATTCTTCAGACTTGGCTAATAATAGTATGCAGTAGGCATCTGTATCAATAAAGACGGTTGGAGTAATTTTAATTTCCCATATTTTTCCCCGCGGCGCACTCGTTTCCTCATACCACTGTACTATCATTTGATTTTCAAGCCGCACTCAGACTAAATTCCGCACTAATAAATTCCAGTGCCTGTCTCCGAAGTACGTCTTCACGTCTGCCCTCGAAGTACCGAGGGCAATAAAAAAGTTTCACTTAGAAAATGCGGCTGGTTTCATCAACGCTTCGTCAGCGAGCCACATAAACTTTGTCACATTTTAGCCATCAACACACTTATACATTTAGTCCTTGATGTATTTTGGTCATCTTTATCCCCGGTACTCGTAGAGTTCAAGGGTATATTGTAGTCTTTGAATGTAACATAAAGAATTACTATAGCGCCATACAGGAACTTTTTTCGATGCCAAACTATTTCGAAAGTTAATATATATCTGAAAAACTAATTTTATCGCAATCAGCCGATTTTTGGAGGAGATATACCCATACATATATACCTTTTCCCAAACAAACGGGCTAAAATTTAACTAGCAAAACGCGAGGATTTCGAAGACTATAATAGATTGAATTATCCGATTTGGAACTTATACTCGTATGGTATCCTCGGAGATCCAGTTTGTGTCGAAATTTTGTCACGCCCACTCCCGCCCCAAAACAGAAAACTGGTGTTAGCGCCAGTTCATTAAGGTTTTTGGAAAATGCTTTGTTCAAGCATCAAGCTTTGATAAGCTTTAAAGGTGAGTACCGGGTATAATATGTATAGTCGGGAAACTCGACAATAGTCGTCCTTTCATGTTTTCAATTAAAAACTTGAGACACGTATTACTTAATTGCGGTAAAGATGAAGAGGAAGATAATCACAATATTGTAGTTCTGCATTGATCTCAACATAAAAGCCAACAGTATCGCCGCGCAAATGTAGTGTAATAGTTAACTGTTTATACCCAGAACTACCCAAAACTCTTTGAGACCATCCCTGAGATTTCTTTGCATGAATTCCTCTAGAAATTAGCTTCTTAATGATTTTCATTTTTTTGAAGTTTTAATTCCTTTAGAGTCTGGAACTAGTAGTTCTGAACTACTTAACCAACTCATTAAATTTCCGAAATTTTTGGAGTCAAAAATTTACCAAAATGCTAATAAATTATAATTTATAATAAATGGATAATTATCCACCATTCATTCCTTAATATAAAATCAATAAAATGATACAATAACATGAAAAGAAAGCTAACTTCGGGCGGAGCCGAAGTTGATATACCCTTACAGGTAAGACCGAAAATAAATCGCAAATATCGGATATAGGCCGTACAAAAATGTATACAATAATGTAACACTATATCCATCATAACCATACATAGAATAAACCTGCAAGACCACTCGAAATAAGCATCAAAAATACCAAAGTTGTTATTTTTACCAAATACCAAATGATATTATTGTAATTTAATAATAAAAAGGTAATACAATTAAGTATTAACCAGACAACCAATGAATAAATAATAACGCCCAATTTGATTTTTAGTGTACCACACGCTGTCGATGCCAGAAAGGAAGTGAAGGTGAATATCGATAGGTCAAGAGATCAACGATAGGCGGGATAGATGTCAAGACAACAACGAACACATTTTGATGTGCATAATTAATAATGCGACTGTTGCATATTTGAAGATGCGAATTTCAACAGATATTTACAATTTAAAGTTACAATATGACTGCTCA